TGGTAAGGCAATTATGTAGAGTTTTCAGAGATAACTCCTGTGGTGCTAAGCCTAGGTACACACCGGCACGAAAAACGGGCAACTTAAAATTTTGATGTATTTTAAAGTTTTAGATATACATTTTATTCTAGTATGCAGATTTTGATGATTTTTTAAGCAATATGTAGCTAAATTATTTGACTTTTTAATATCTCTCATTTTCTTCTTTCTCAGCCTGGTTCCATCCAGTGTTGGATATATGCCTCTTCTAGGTTTTTCCACGCTTCGCGATCTCTAGCCAATCTTATCCATTATCTTCCCGCCACTGCCCTGACATCATCGACCCATCTCTTTTTTAGGTCTCCATAGGATAACTTTTTGGGGCCATCGGTCTGAATCCTGTCTTGCCACATGTCCTATCCATTGCCACTTCAGACTTGCCACTCTTTTAACAACATCTATTAATTTTGTTTTTTGACGTATGTGGGTGTTCTGTATTTTTTCCCTAATGGTGACTCCCAACATGATTCTTTCCATGGCTCTTTGTGCTACTCGTAGTTGTTCTGCTGTTTTTCGAGTAATTCCATAGTCTCTAAGCCATACGTAAGCACAGGTAGAATGCAGCTTTCGTAAGCCTTTTTTTAGGTTGATGGGCACCTTTTTATCCTTGAAAATATCGCTCATATTTCCAAATGCTACCCAATCTCTCATTTTAGTACCTCAATTATACGAGGGAAAACTAAATGCTGATATGTTGGTGACACTTTGAAACACCCTGTGGAATATGTTAAGACAGCAAGGAATTTAATCGTTTTATCATCTAGGTATACCCTTTCTCGATAGTGTGTTTTTTGGTTCTTCTCAATTGCTTTATTTTAAGAAGATACTAATATTTTTTCGTAATTTTTTAAAAATTTTTAATAATTTTTGCCAAATTAAAACCATGCCTTGTCCTGGTCATCAAAGTCCCTGGACGTCTAGCATATGAACTTGTCTCGAGGAAGCGACTGCACTGTATTTCGTGCTCATCTAAATCTGTTGCGACGTAATTTTGATCTCTATGATCTTCAATTAAAGCAACTATAGCGGATACAACTTCTGGCCTACTACCATACTACCATACAACTGTCCAGGAGCCAACAGGCAATAGTATAATATGATTTTTCAATAACAGACATTACATAAACCATAAACAGTATTTCATAGGTTTCATGAATGAAGTAAAGAAGTAAACTCTTGATATGATACAACTTCTGGCCTACTACCATACTACCATACAACTGTCCAGGAGCCAACAGGCAATAGTAATATGATTTTTCAATAACAGTGACATTACATAAACCATAAACAGTATTTCATAGGTTTCATGAATGAAGTAAAGAAGTAAACTCTTGATCAAAAGCAAAGGTTTTAACGTAAAAATTATGAAAAAATGTTATGTGTGTCTTTTTGAATAGCGAATTCTTATAAAAAAATAAAGCTAATGAGATGAACCAAAAAATAAACTGTCGAGAAATCATGACAGTAAATGTTTTTTAAATTCCTTGTTTTTTTAAAATATTCTACAGGGCCGTTACAGACTTTCACCAAAATAACATTTTGTGTTCCCTCTTAAAATTGACAGATGGGAACTATTATTTTTAATTTAGAAAGAGACACGAAAAAGTCAATTGATATCAAGCACCTATACGCGTGGGACAATTCCTAGCCCATATGTGTTCCTGTTCCTGTGCCCCCTGTTTGCCGTTTGTCATCCTATGTTACAACCCGACAACTTGTTGGTTTGTTCTCGTACTGGAGTTACATACATATAAACACTTCATATCTAATACACTGTTGTCTAAAATGCAAACTCTTGTATATTATTTGATATTATCTCTCTTGGGGAGCTCTGTTGATCCAAAAACTGAGTCATTGTGTGAAAATAAACAAGTTTAGTGATTACGGTTTTGCGGTTAACACAAAAATAATGAGTTAGTAAAATGTAATTTTGACGATCGTTGTTAAACACAGACTTTTATAGCCTATAAAATACAAGGAACAAAACTATATTGTAAAATAGAAATACACCGAAAAGAAAAATTGTGAATGGAAAAGATAAATTTCAGTAAATTAAAATTGCTCACTCTTATATTTGTTTTTACTTTTTTGTAAAAAGAACGTACAAAATTCGAGTGAAATATGTCAAATATCCGGAATACGATGTTATAGAACTCGAAATTGTGAACTTGAAATAATTCAATGTCATTATCGATCAATAACGTTCTGGCATGGCAAATTAATGACCATTGACAATGGCTTCGTTATATATTTTGCATTGTTGGCAAAAACATCGCAAATATTCTAACCGGTATGTTTAATGCAATGCTGAAATATCAGACAAATGCGGATTACTATAATTAAAAATTCCTATAGCTATATTTGCTTGTAAATCCAACGCAGTGTTCGGGCTATTATATGATTATTCGACATAGCCTATTAACACATAATCAATAATAATTAATGGAATGTTGTTAATAATATAATATTAATTAACTACAGGGTGGGCGCCTCTCATACGCCGCGGAAGCTCCAAGGAGAACGGCAGTTTCGAAATGGAATTTTGGCAGCATAAATATGTAGGTTAACTGAAAGCATTTTACAAAAATATATTGAATTATACAGGGTGTCCCGAAAAGAAGTTACACATCAAAGTTGTGTTTTTTTCTAATGGAACACCCTATATATTAATTGATTTTCGGATTCTAGGAAAAAAATGAAGGTGAGTTTTATTAAAGAAGCATATACCTAAAATCTAAGGATTTTGACATATTTCACATTTTGTCAAAATAAAGAGTAAATTTTAAATTTCGATAACAGCTACCTACCTAAATTTTAGTTGACCTTGTATAGCCTGATATTTAATTACAGTAATCATTGTATGTTAAACCAAATTGAAAATTGACCCGAAAAGTTATACAGGGTGAGACAAAATTAATATGGAACATTAGTCACTTTTAAAAGCAAATTACTCCTTTATTTTAAATGGAACACCCAGTATATTTTTCTGGTGTTCAATGGGGAATTTATATATCATCAAAACATTATTAAGATTGCCTACCCCTCAGACAAAGATTTTCCTAGATATTTTATTTTTTATGATTTTGCGTCAGTAGATCTTTTTTATTTGAAAAAAAAATCTAGGGTGGCTGTGTGATATACCTTTTGTTAATTTAACAAAAATTAAAGATTGTAGAGTAAAATACTCAACGGTAATAAAAAGATACACGTTTAAAACATATTTTAATTATTACAATTACAGATAGATTTTATTTTCATTTAAAAATTGTTCTTCATTTCTAGAAAATGTTAAGTATGTCAAAAACCTTACATTTTCTCCCAGATTTCCAAAAATCAATTAATATATAGGGTGTTCCATTAAAAAAAGCACAACTTTGATATGTAACTTTTTTGGGGACACCCTGTAGAACTCTATATTTTTAAAAAAGTGCTCTGAATTAACCTACAAATGCTCACAAAATTTCATTTCAATACAAACTGTCGTTCTCCATGGAGACTCCGCGGCGTATGAGAGGCGATATCCTGTATTTCGAACATGGTTGGGTATTTAGATTTGTATGCTTCTAAGCCCTTTTTTGCCCTAAAGTGACGCCAAAACCCCGCAAAAAAATTTCTACAGATAATATCTAAGCTCCGTTACAAGGTAGCAACCATCGCCTGTTGACATTGTATTTGACGTAGTAAAATCGTAGGCAGAACATAAAACTCGACGAAAATAGTGATTAGGTCGATTTTGAAAGGAGTCGCAAGTAATAAAACCTGACTGTGGATCGAAAAAAACGCATTAGAAACATGATCGTTGGATTTTCACGGACATTCAGGTCCTGTCACCGAATTCTATTGTCCTTCTTGACCTACATGTGTGTAGGAAGTCAGTTTTCAAAGCTGTATAGGAGGTTCCTAGAGGAAAACAGGAAAAGCTCTATCGTGGCCGATGACTATCTTTTTAGGGTCGATTCTGACGAAAATTTATAAATGCAAACTGCGAGATTTCCTGGCTCTGGGCCAAATTATTATCCCGCTATTCCCTAGGAACGAAAAAGTACTGAAAGAGTTTTCGGCAAAGGGTTAAAACGTCCAACGAGCTTAACTTTCGGCAGTTTGTATTTCAATTGATTTCATTATCCTCCAAGAAAATAATTTTCATATACGGAAAAATTGCTAAATGTTTCGGTTTTTCTGAGAGTTCCGAAAAGAGGATATTTTTTCCATACGCAAAATCATGAAAATTGGCGATTTTTCGTCACCGATTTTGATAAAACTGCTGTTACTAATTAAAAAGTGTAGAATTATAGAAAATATAGGCCATTATAGTCTTACGAGAACAATAATAGATGTAAGGAGCGTTTTAACCACCATCAAAAATAGTCCAAAAACAAGGGTTAAAAGAATTAATTTTCTCACAAAACTAAGATACCTAAGCTTTTAAAGGTGTATATATTCTGAATCTACATAAAATTTCCTACAAATACTGATATTTTAATAATTTTAGGACTATCTTTACTATTGTTGTAAGACCATTGAGAGTAAAAAATAGCCAAAAATAGGCGTTTTTTCGACTCTTTTCATACATAATATATAGTCATGAAAATTGTCGATTTTCGCCATGTCACCGATTTTGTTAAAACTTCTGTTATTTACTAAGTAAAAGGCGGAAAATAAGAAAATATAGGCCATTGTAGTCTTACCAGGACAGTAATAGATATAAGGAACGTTTTAACCATCATCAAAAATAGCCCAAAAAAAAAGGGTTTAAGAAATTATTTTTTTCACAAAAACAAGATATTTAAACGTTTAAAGGTAATAAGTATATATTCTGAATCTACATAAAATTTCCTACAAATACTGATATTTTCATAATTTTAGGACTATCTTTCTAAGGCAAAAAATAACTTTTGATTTCAATATCTTCAAAGAGAGTAGCTGTTCTATATAAATTATATAATGTGTTTTTTTTGCAGAACCGTTTCTTGACTTGAACCACCGTCAAGATGACATCAGGCACTACATCCCCCACCCCTAACGACTCGCCAACGCTATCGCATCGCCCTCTGCTAATCACTCGCGAACTAGAACTGAAGACAAAAAAAACGGTTGAGTTTCAAGCCGTTTACAAGACCGACGATGACAAATCCAACGAAGGATGGTATCAAGACCAGTAAGTGATCTAGACAATAAGTATTTTGAAAAATTATAGCATTAAGTGTATTCTAGAAGTTTTGAATCCCTTCATTGGTTACTCTGTATCCATTCCAACTTCTCTTTTGTTTGTTTCGTTTTATACTGAATAATAAATTTAGACCGATTTTCAGGACCAGAACTTTTTAGATGTTTGTTTGTTTAGAGATCTATATTTAACATCGCAAACATACAGGGACCAAAACATACTCTGAATATTAATTCTTATTTATCAAGACAAACAAAGCAGTTGTCATTATTTTACAGCTTTCGCGAACAAAAACGGCGTCATACTAGGCTTTTTTTTAACCCTTTCTAGTGTTAAAATGTAATTTTTATAATACTTTTTAGAAGCTCCCGTTAGACCAAGTTATTATAGATTATTTTTCTATAACAAACTAAAAAATAGAGTAATTAAATAATTTTATAATACAAATAAAATATATATCCCATGCATTTCCGAAGCATATATTATTGTAAACCATTAAAAAAGTTTAGTTCAGCCTAAATAATCATTTTTTAGGCCCGTGTTTTTGCAATAATAAAATGCGTCAGGTGGAAACATTAATAAATTCATTACCGCGTTTATCATATCTCCAACATTAATGTGGATTATATTTTCCCATTGCGTGACATTAAATTAGTAAATAACCGTCGCTATATTAATATTGTTGGCATATAATTCAAATCCACAATTATTCAAAAACACCTAAAACTTATATAAATTTATATACAGGGTGAGTTTCCTACGAAATAATTTTAAGGTTGAGTTTCCTACGAATTTTTGATTTTTCAATAGAACCAATATGAGAAATGGAAATGAATTCAGCTACAACACTTCATAAATCACTCCAGCAGCCCTAAGAAAAGAAAAAAAATTATACATACTGTAATTTCTGAAAATTTTCAATTTTATAAGTTTAATTTATTTTTTTTTTGTTTATAAATTATTGATGAAGAAGAAGAAGAATATATGGGAGGGGGTTAATCACCGCGACCTTACAGATCTGTTGTGTGTCCCCCTTTCTTGAGTGAAACTCATCATACAGTTTCAGAGCTTTGACACAGGCCAGTATCTGGGACGGTTTTACAGAGGTTGGTTATCCATCTCCGATATCAGTCGTACCAAAGCTTTCAGTGATGAGGTGTTCTGGAGTTTCCCCATTTTATTCGAGAGAATTCAAAAGAATCCCAGAAAGTTTTAATCTACTGAGGTGTTCGTTGAGGAGACAGTGTCGTGTTAAAAACCCTGTAACAATCCGAAGATTGTTTATCAAGAATCTTTACTTAAATCAAAGATCTTTGATATTAATCTGTGCTGTAGTGTGTGCAATCGGTGTAATAGTTATGTTATCTATCGTCAATCGTCAGCTTTATTGGTGTAGTATATTCGCATGGCCAAACATGAGCATTAGGTGTATATAAAGTGAATGAACTAAAACTCATTAATTGCCTTCAATTATAACCAGACAATTAGTAGTTATGGCTGTTGCGTATTGCAAATCGATTCAGCAGCTGCAGGAAGTGCCAAATAAAACTGATTTTCGGTTCAATTTCACTTCTTTCAAAACTATTTTATGATGTTTCGCGAAATTTTAAACATAATTACTAGAACAGCATAACTAAAGCTCATATTGTAAAATGCCAAGAACAGGATTGCCGGGAATGTGTTATACGCATTCCCTAAGCTTCTCAGTTCTGAAAATAAAAGAACGAAACAAGATTGTTTCCTACATTAACTGGGTCTCTGGATATTTAGATTTATCTATTAAATTAGAAAATATTTTTGAAAAATAATATTTCAATTGAAAAGTATCCTTAATTTTCACTAAATGTAATTTCGTATGTCATGTCCCATGTCTAAAATTTCCATCTCTAATTCAATAACGCATTCAACAGTTTAGCTGTTCAATAATTCAATAAGCACTTATTTTACTACTTCGAGCCGTAGTTTATTTGCCTGAATGCTCATAAAAATGAAACGATGTTCGATGAAATTTAGAAACGCGTTTTTTATAACTGAGAATCCTTGATTTTTTCAGGAATTTTATTTATGAGGAAAAACAACTTTGAACGATTTTTGTTTTTAAAACAATAATAAAATCATGGATCGTGGTCAAGTTACAGATTTTGAGCAGAATATTTTGATTGACTAATTAGAACAAACGTAGAGTATGAAAAGACACTCATAATATAGCACAATACTAGATATAAGTGACATTAAAGCTACCATCAAAAATCTCTGAAATACAAGAATTCAAAATATCCACTTTATCACAAAAAGAAAGTTTTTACTTCATTAAAACTTTAGGTGCTCGAAATTTAAATAAAATTTCCTACAAATGGCAAAATTTTCAAAATTTTATGACCATTTTTACTATTTATCTTAGACATCTGAAAACATTTCAAGAATTTACTCGTTCAAAATCAAGGTTTGAGAAAACCCACTTTATCGCAAAACCAAAGTATTTAAATCATTAAAACTTTATATGTTCAAAATTTACATAAGATTGTCTGTAAATGCTGAAATTTTCAAAATTTTATGACCACGTTTACCAGCTTTTTAAGAGCCTTGTATATATTTATCTAAAAAAAATTCACACACATCACGGCATATTGGCACTATTTAAAACTTTTGTGGTACTTTTAGTAGGTCGATCCCACTTCTGATGTCAGAATGTAGTACGTATTTTGCAAATAAAACACTAGATTTCCTTTATAACTTCTTTATTCCCTCGTAATACTCAGGATTACAGGATGACATAAGAGCAACCGGACATTCCCAATCGCCTATTCTTAATTAACTATATCATAATATCTAGGATCATTCTCTGAGTTATAAGGAGCTAAATCTCCCATAATATATAATAGCTTTTAAAAATTAAATATAGCATTAACAAGTCTTCTGCGGATAAAAAATTTCGAAAAAAGGTCAAAAAGTGAAATTTCCATGTGTGTTTAGTCTTCTACAGCTATTACGTATGGAATAAAGCTTGACAAAAATCCATTAGTAGACTTTTATAAAGTTTGGAGCGAGTTGATAATCGTGGACGGCGCACACCGGCTCTTTCGGGCACCTGCTGAAAACGCTCCTTTCAGCGTTTTCAGTTAGTTTCAGCGATGCGTACCGCACACACCACCATTGCTGGTCTGTGGCCAAGGCGCCGCGCGTACTGGAAATGGAAGAACTACTAAGACACCAGTCAAAATGATCGTTATAAACTCCGGTGCGAGTTGTTTTCTAAATTCCAGTGTTTTTAGCAATTTTCCCAGGACCGATTGGTCCAAAAGTGGCGCGAAATGTCGCAACAACTTTTTCAAGACTGAGAACGGCTAGCCCAAATAATCCTCATGCAAGTATTCTCAATTTTTCTTCAAAAATATATATTTTATGTTGCACTTTGCGGTGGTAGAATTTCGAATTCCGTGCACAACCAACGCATTTTTTTTAAATCAAAATTTAATTTTGTTTTATCATTTTTGTCATGTTTTTGGAAAACTTCTGGAAATACAACGTTTTATGTATGTTTTTAATATTCTGCATATATAAAAAAATAATAAAGCGTTATATCAACTTTATTTGGATGAATTTGATTTTCACACAGTTTTTTACATATTTTTCTACAGTTTTTTTCTAATAGTTGTAGTGTACTGTCTATATCTTTCAACACCGCAATGCAAAACGTTGTAACTGATTTATTTTTGGTTTTAGAACAAACCAACAAAAATCTGGAATAGATCGTTTTTTTAATTTTTTTAACAACCTCAATGTTTAATTTATTCTTCGCACAAAAATATACAGGATGAGTCTTAATAAGTGCAAATATTTTTAGGGGTAGTATATTTCGACCCCAGAAACAACTCACATAGGTAGTGGATTAAATTTCAAGAAAGAAAACCCAGAAAGATACAGTGTTTTTCAAAATTTAATTAAAAAAAAATATTTTTTTGGAAATTTTCAAAGTAAAACAACTCGGTTATTTTGAACTTATTTGAAAAACGGTAAAGAGAAAATATGTTTTTTTATCGCGATCTACCAGCCCTGAAAATATTTGCACTTATTTAGATTCACCGTGTATATGCAATCTTTTTCATAAGTGACCTCTCTTTTGATACATATTCACAATTATCATCTGATCAAAAAAAAATGGTGATCAAAGTGGCCTTAGAATTTGATAGTTATAACGCTAAACAATTACACTATATACAATGTGATCATTATTACTTTATATTATTTGGATCAATATTATATCTAATTTATAATATTGCCAGAGATAATTTGTGTAATTGATAAAATAATATTTTTTATAAAAAAAAATATATATCAAATAACTTTGATATCGTAAAGCCCTACTTATTTCTGCAAAAGTTTTACCGGTATTTTTTTTATTAAAGAATAACTTTTTCACAAACGAAATATGGAAAAAACAACATATTAAATAACATATCAAAGCCGTACTTATTTGTTAAAAACTTTTGCCCGTGCTCAAATATATTAATTAATTAAATTTGTATTTATAATGTTTCGTGATATTCGATTCCCGAAAATTCTTACCTAACAATTATCTTTATATACCTCAGCCAGAGAAACTTTTTAATTTCCTTTTACTTGGCAGGCCTAATTAGATTTATTTTAAGGGAACCAAAACATTGTATTTTGTAATATAATAAAACGGTTTCCCTCATTCTGCTGTCGAAACCGTAGATAATAATATAAAAAAACGGAGGTTTATTTTTTTGTCCGCTAAGCTTTCCCAAATCCACGTGTATTTTTTTAAATTGTTTTATTGTTTATCTCGCTCGGAATGCACAGAGAACTGCTTCAGTGCTGAAATCGAATTTAAGCTCTATTTTTCAAGCCATAATATGCAACTTCGGAAACTGTTTCGCCAACTTTCCGACAAAACAAAAACGTATTATTTCATTAGCGCTCAGTTTGCGAAAATACAACTTAAAAAATAGAATAGTAAATTTGAAAAGTAAAGGAATAAACGTTTTGTTTCTTTAGAAACCTTTTCCTTACTCGAAAAAAAAGTAAACCTGAAAAAATCTTCCAGAATAAACGTATTAAACTTTGTAAATTGTTTTAAATTTCAATACAATTATCATTCGTCAAAAACTTCCTTTTCTAAATAGATTAAACATTTTTAAAAATGTATTGGGCCACTTAACATAATGAGGGGTACAAAAAGAATCGATTTCAAATTTCAAATGCCAACATTGCCACTTATTCCGAGTAAAAATACTTGTGCCGTAAATGTAAATTTAATTATAGCTCTTCCCAACATGCAATCTATTAATTTCACTGCTAATATCTATTTAAAAAACATTTTGCTCAAAATACCTGTGTTATATATTATTTATAATCTATACACAAACAATAAATCAATCCCACTATAAATCAGAGCTTGAAACTTTACATTACACTTACGTACGAGGTGTTATGAATACATTTTATTTTTACGCTAAATTTACTAAGCCAGGCTGTAAATTCATTATTACTAAAGAAAAGTAAAAGAAAACTTTAACTTTTACTTTTCTTTAAAAATAATAAATTTACAGAAAAGTGCAGAGTCAATTATTACAAAAAGTTGGATAATTATGTTTATATTAAATTTGAAGTTAAGTGAAAATTAAATTGGAAAACTTATAGATATATCATTAAAAGTTATCCTGATTATGGTCTTTTTTATAATAATATATATAAAATTTCCTAGAAATGCTGAAATTTTCATCGATTTATAGCTTTGATTACTATCTTTCTAAGGCCTTTGAAAATGTGTAAAAAATAACCAAAAATTGGTAATTTTTTCCCATAGTCTTGAAAATCGGCGATTTTCGTCATGTCGCCGATTTTGTTAAAACTGCTATTATTTACTAATTAAAAGGCGTAGAATAACAAAATATAAGCCATTGTAGTCTAGCGAGAACAGTAATGTATGTAGGAGACGTTCTAACCATCGTCAAAAATAGCTCAAAACAAGGGTCCAAAAAATTAATTTTCTCACAAAGCCAAGGCAACTAACCCTTTAAAGGTGTATATTTTCTGAATCTATATAAAATTTCCTACAAACGCTGAAATTTTAATAATTTTATGGCTATGATTACTATATTTCTAAGGCCTTTGAAAATGTGTAAAAATTAGCCAAAAATTGGTCGTTTTTCGGCTTTTTTCCATAGTACATAGTCGTGAAAATTGACGACTTTGACCAAGTCTCCGATTCTGATAAAACTCCTATTATTTACTAACTAGAACGCATAAATTACGAAAATATAGTCCAATGTAGGCTTAACAGCGCTGTAGTGGATATAGACCACCTTTCAAGCATCGCCAAAATTTTCTCAAAAACAGAGCTTCAAAAAATGTTTATATATTCTAGAAGTACATAAAACTATCTACAAATTTTGAAATTTTCAAAATTCTACGCCGAGGTTTACTGTTCTTCTGAGAGCTTTAAATAATGATACTTATCTTGTAAAGCTACTATGACGCCGGTTTTGTCTCGATAACACTAGACCAAAAATTCGATAAATTCTAAATTAAAGCTTTTGAAGTTTTGCGCTCTAGTGCTAAATTCGCTCTATCTCGGAACGTAGCGGTTTCCAGAGCATGCCGTTAAACGAATGGAGTGCAATAACCGTTGCTAATAGTGTGTCTTGACGAAGGCTCTTTAGTTACAGGAGCGTGGTTGACGACAAAAATCAGAAAGTCCTGGGGGCGAGACTCCTCCAACCTAGGATGTCTCTTCATGGAAAGCCGGTGATGGATCGTCCTCCCCGTAGGGATGCCCGCTACAGGAAACGGCAGAGTCGCATCTATAACTTCTTGGAGAGACCTAGTGGTCCCGATTGTTACTATCACATCGTTGTGTAAGTATTCTACAAAAAAAATTGTTTATTCACCCTCCATCGTCGTTTATCGGCTTGGTGCATTCTCCGCCGGTGCTGCCACCATCGGAGAATATCGTAAACAACTAGTACTTACAAATACACGGGTTTAAATAGCGAGATTATTTAATTATTCTAAAAGTGTTAGGAAGTATAATTTGTGAAAATTCTATAAATAAAAATAAAAAAGTAAATATTTTGATATATTCAGAAGGTCTAACTTGGATTATATAGATGAGTTCAACTACGGTTTTGCTAGTGGGGCATAATTGGGGCTATAACGAAATTTTTTAAAGGTGCATAATTATAATTTTAGAAGATGTTCATAAAAAATTTAAACACTAGATGATTAAAAAAAGTATACCATTAATATTGCAAATTATATGTTATCCTCTATTAGTATATATGTATGTCGATTGAGCACTTGGTTTACTCACTTGTTTCGTTGAACTGCTTGAATCAATTTTTGCTTTTGGTCAAATCGGTGTGAGAAACTATGAAGCTATAAAATGTTGTTTCGGAAGAGTTGAATATCCGGGAAAGTTGTGTTATTGAATGTTATTGCACTTAACATCGCCCTAATTACGCTCTCGTTTACGAGTTAACATTTTTTCGGCAGTTTTATTAACATTTGAAATTGTCACAACAGAACACGACGCGACGCCTAGTTCGAATTCTTTTTCACTTATCACTTTTCACTTAATCAAAAAATTGGTGGATGCAAAAATTACTCTTATTTTCCCATGCTTGAAATTTAATGTATCATTTCATACTATCATAGCATAGACTATAATCAAAAACAAGTATTGAGGAAAAAAAATGGGAAAATTTGGGAAAATAAGTACCGAAAATCTCCACTGCCTCCTGGACTATAACCATAGAAGCTTAAACGAATATTTTTTTGAATGAAGAATGTTTCAGCATCGTTTTAAAGATGTTAATGTTTTTGCTGGAACTCTCAAAAAGAATGTGTTTGCATTTATAATATCTGCTCTCGTTTGTGATTCAATAGCAACGCATATAATTATAAATATGCACATATATTCAGAGGGGGCGCCTATAGATTTAGCTTAGTATAATTTTTCAAAGAAGCGGAATCATTTACATGCTATTAACGGAATTAAAGGTCTGAAAAAGGTTTTATCCGCGCGTAGTACATGTTACAATAGTAAATGTACAGTCATTTGTATTTTGTGAAATATTTATTTGGAATACTGCGGAGATTTCCGTTTGGCTAAGGCTGGAAGTGTCCGAAAAATATATAGCATATAATAACCGAAACCTTTCCAGATGTTAAACGATTTATCTTTATTGTTCAGGAGGTACTCCTATTGAAAATAAATTGGCTATTATGCTAGGTCTAGATATATTTTGAACAATTAGTGAACTATGGAAGGAAACACAATAGTCAGAACTTTATAACGATTCTTAAAATTCATCCATTATTCATTGAAAAAAATACGGAGTTCTCTCTTTTTTATTATCAACCTCCATTCGAAAGGGAAACTAAGGAAGCATTGTCCTGAAACTTTAATTTTAACCCTGCATTGAAAATTCCTGCAATCGCTTCAAACTATGGGCAATTTTAACCAGATTGCTAAAATAAGTTATTGAATACCACGCTATAAAAAAGGGGAACAGAATTTATAAGATATGAAAGGAAAAATAGAAACGCTCTGGCCTGTAAAATGAAGAAAGTTTCTCTCCATTTCCACTAAAGGTCTAGCGATATCGTGTAAACTCGTATTGACCCTTTTTTGAATCAATCTCACTCCTCTCAATTCTAATAGAATAAATTTTTGATAGGGTGAAACTGAATTTGGTAGTGATGAAACTCCTTAAAGATTAATGAATCCCAAATTGTTTTACCATCCCGCATTTTTTTTCTCCAATTGAATAAATGAGAAACAGGTACGAGGCTTTTAAATTGCTTATTATTGCCCGATCATATATAATATAGAATATTTTAATTTTTGGATGGCTAAATGTATTTGCGAACATTTAATCCAATTAAGTATTTTGTTTTCGCATGCATCCGGCTTTTAATTAACAATAATTAAAGAGCAACAAATGAAGCGGTTAAAGCGTTTATCTTTCCAATATAAAATTTTAAAATAGAAAGTTATTTATATATTTATCGTTTAGAATAATTTTGCATTGATTCAATATGTAAGGAATTGATTTAGAAGTTATGGCCTCAAAAATCAATCTTTAAACAATACTGTTCTAATTAATTACCCAATTATAGAAAACTTAATCAATTACAGCAACTTAAATTGAATCATTTGAATTCATACTCGGCTCCAAAAACGAAAGAAGACTAATCCATACCATACGTAGCCTATTTAAACCCTATAGAACCCGAGTTTTCTCTGACATAACTCAATTATGTAACAAGCCAGGTAATATTCAACTGAAAAGAGGTGTTTTTCTTGATAATTTCGTTTGGATAATCTAATTACTGAGCGAGAGGCGCTTTGTTTAATCAACTGTTTAATTTATTCCGATTTTGATCAAAAGTAGCCAGATTGCAGAAGCTTTAGAGAATAATAAAACGCGGGTGTTAAATCGAAAAAAAACTCGTTCAAAGAAAAAGCTGTTATTTCCTTCAAATATGCTGTTTTAGGCACAAACAAAACACAACAGCTTTCTAAGTGAAAAAAGGGCACCCTGCTGCTTATTGGAAATATCTTAGCTTTGTCAACATATTGTCTCTAGTAGTTCTACAAAGGAAACAAATTCACCCGTACATACTTTTAGATTGCTCTTATATGTATTAACAAAAGGAAAATTAAATTATCCTTGAAAAAAAAAAAATAGCCAATGCCATGACACCGACGTTAAGGAAATAGATATTGATGCTTGTAGGGTTTATTTTATCGAGAGCCAGTTCAAATTAAATTTTAAATAAAAATGCGCGCTGAAAATGTCAGAAGGATTTTTTAATTATTTCTCTAGCTCGAATACAAAACTTTTCGAGACCTCTTAAATCTACGACGGTTTCCAATCAGCAAATTGGAATTTTATCAGAGGAAAACTTAAAGTTTAATTATTGGTACATTTGCTAGATTGAACTTGGACTTGAATACATTTTGTCAATCAATACAATAACTATTGGCATAATTTAAATTTCCTGTTTTGTAAGTCCATAATAGTTAGCGTTTCTGGACGTCCGGATTTACCCAAGTGATCTGGCCGGAATTTGAAAAAATCCTAGATATTTTTTTCATCTAACCGTAAAACACTTTGTTAAATATTTTAATTGGTACGATGTCACATATCTACTGCACTCTTGGATGTGAACAGTGAATTCGTTTGCCTTTATTTTATTATGATTACTTGCGCTTTATGAATACGAGTCTGTCCAACGATCCATTACAGTGAGAGCCTGTCATTTAAAAAATTTACAGATAAATTGTATCTTCAGATATTTTTTGAATGTCATATGTCGAAATCTTCCCTGGTTTGGTTTGGATCCAGCTCAAGGATTGTTCCTTTCATCATATTTTTGAATCAAAACCTAATTTTTACGTATATTTATGAATAAGGGAATACACTTTTAACAGAGTGCTAATCAATAAAGGGGTTGCCACGGGTCAAAGTTTTTCTTACTGTTTTATATGAGTCCGGCAACAATGCGTCGGGGATCTGTAGCTCCTATAATAAATAAACTTAGGAATTTTGTTTAAGTGCAAACCGAAAGTATGTATGGTTTGGATAATCTAATTACTGAGCGAGAGGCGCTTTGTTTAATCAACTGTTTAATTTATTCCGATTTTGATCAAAAGTAGCCAGATTGCAGAAGCTTTAGAGAATAATAAAACGCGGGTGTTAAATCGAAAAAAAACTCGTTCAAAGAAAAAGCTGTTATTTCCTTCAAATATGCTGTTTTAGGCACAAACAAAACACAACAGCTTTCTAAGTGAAAAGGGCACCCTGCTGCTTATTGGAAATATCTTAGCTTTGTCAACATATTGTCTCTAGTAGTTCTACAAAGGAAACAAATTCACCCGTACATACTTTTAGATTGCTCTTATATGTATTAACAAAAGGAAAATTAAATTATCCTTGAAAAAAAATAGCCAATGCCATGACACCGACGTTAAGGAAATAGATATTGATGCTTGTAGGGTTTATTTTATCGAGAGCCAGTTCAAATTAAATTTTAAATAAAAATGCGCGCTGAAAATGTCAGAAGGATTTTTTTAATTATTTCTCTAGCTCGAATACAAAACTTTTCGAGACCTCTTAAATCTACGACGGTTTCCAATCAGCAAATTGGAATTTTATCAGAGGAAAACTTAAAGTTTAATTATTGGTACATTTGCTAGATTGAACTTGGACTTGAATACATTTTTGTCAATCAATACAATAACTATTGGCATAATTTAAATTTCCCGTTTTGCAAGTCTGTAATAGTTAGCGTTTCTGGACGTCCGGATTTACCCCAAGTGATCCGGCCGGAATTTGAAAAAAATCCTAGATATTTTTTCATCTAACCGTAAAACACTTTGTTAAATATTTTAATTGGTACGATGTCACATATCTACTGCACTCTTGGATGTGAACAGTGAATTCGTTTGCCTTTATTTTATTATGATTACTTGCGCTTTATGAATACGAGTCTGTCCAACGATCCATTACAGTGAGAGCCTGTCATTTAAAAAATTTACAGATAAATTGTATCTTCAGACATTTTTTGAATGTCATATGTCGAAATCTTCCCTGGTTTGGTTTGGATCCAGCTCAAGGATTGTTCCTTTCATCATATTTTGAATCAAAACCTAATTTTTACGTATATTTATGAATAAGGGAATACACTTTTAACAGAGTGCTAATCAATAAAGGGGTTGCCACGGGTCAAAGTTTTTCTTACTGTTTTATATGAGTCCGGCAACAATGCGTCGGGGATCTGTAGCTCCTATAATAAATAAACTTAGGAATTTTGTTTAAGTGCAAACCGAAAGTATGTATGGTTTGGATAATCTAATTACTGAGCGAGAGGCGCTTTGTTTAATCAACTGTTTAATTTATTCCGATTTTGATCAAAAGTAGCCAGATTGCAGAAGCTTTAGAGAATAATAAAACGCGGGTGTTAAATCGAAAAAAAACTCGTTCAAAGAAAAAGCTGTTATTTCCTTCAAATATGCTGTTTTTTTATATGTAAATTTATATGGGAAATGTCATTGATGTTCATTTCCCAGCCAACTGGACGCCGTTTTTTTTCGATCATACGGTATTTTAATAGTTTCAGAAATATTAATAAATAAAAAAAATCAGCCTTTTTTAAAATAAAATTTTAAAAATTCAAGAACTGTCCTGAAATCAAAACTATATTAGGCATTTACTTTAGATGGTCTGTACTTGCCTTGCTATAAATATCGTAATTTTAAATCATACAGGGTATTCAAAACTGTACGTAAATATACAACATAAATTTTCTTTGTTTTTTTTAATGGAACATCCTGTATATTATAATTTTATTAGATGAAGAATTAAAAAATGAACACTTTTTGTACTTGTAAGTATTTCAAAATGTTTAACAGTTTCGCAGATATTCGCGGTTTTATATTTCATATGGCATTCTCAACAGTAAATTTTTATCAAAGCCACCCAATGATTTTCTCTCTGAAATACTCCAAATACAAAAAAATGTTAATTTTTCAGTTCTCCATCTATTGAAAAAATTATATACAGGGTGTTCCATTAAAAAATAAACGAAGAGAAATTATTTTATATTTTAGAAAATTTGGCGTAGAATGTTGAACACCCTGTATCACTTAAGATTACGATATGTATTTATAGCAAAGTAAGTAACAGACCATCTAAAGTAAATGCCTAATATAGTTTTGACTTCAGGACAGTTCTTGTATTTTTTTAAGATTTTTTTTTAAAAAGGCTGATTTTTTTTTATTTATTAATATCTCTGAAACTATCAAAATACATTTTAAAATATCTTAGGATTATGTAAAGTGATCAGAAATGAAGCCAAATTTGAAATAGTATACAGGGTGTATACAAAAATCATCCCGATCCACTCACACTTTTTTGAGACACCCTGTAGAGGTTAAATATTTCCCTGAAGTACATCCTAATACATACTTTATTATAGGAGCTACAGATGCCCGACGCACTATTGAAGGACCCTGTATAGCAGCATCAGTTAGAAACAGAAATCAGATCAAATTTTTACGGGCAAGTCTAAAACTATTCTACATATACCTACGATAATAACCATGTGAAAATACGAGAAAGGCAATACTATTGCGCTCCTCTGCAAGTTAGGTCATGCATTAATAAGATGAGGGATTTCCCCCAACTCGGAAAAACACCCGGAAATTTCACTACCAGGATTATTTTGTAGAGCGGTGGTGAAATTGGGGCAGGTAAAAAAATAAAATGCTCGAAAATGAGTTGCCGGCGAAGTTTAAAAATAACTAAAACGAATTAACATAAAGTTTTACAATTTACTCCACTGGATATTGTGGAAATCGAGCTTCCAAGGCAAATGAACACGGTGCAAACTGAAACTGATATAGAAAATTACTTTCTATAGATACCGCATTTATTTTCAGATTGTGTTACAAGGTGTATGTCCACTGTACGACTACACTTTTAGGTATTTTTAGAGCGAAAAAATACATTACACTAATTGTACAGTCAATATTTAATCTGTTCTGGTTGTAAACATATAGTTTAATTTCAAAAGGTCTTGTTTTAGAAATATCTTTTATCGTCAAACTGTAACTCTATAAGCCATGAAAATAATATTGGTGTATTTATTGTCTGATAATGCTACAATTTGTCCAAATAAATTTTCTTGTGAGTTTCAAAATTGTTAAAAAACTTACAGTACAGGATCCAGCTACGGGATTACAAGACTCATCATATTAATAATCAAAACCTAATTTTATATATATTTATGAATAGGGGAATACATTTTTAACAGGGTGCCCATCAAAAATTTGCCGCAAATAGGGGTTGTCACGGTTCAAAGTTTTTCCTATTACTTTATACGGGCCCAGCAACAATGCGTCGGTCAACTGTAGCTCCTATAATAAATAAACTTAGGAATTCTGGATAAGTGCAAACCTAAAGTATGTATTAGGATGTATTTCAGGAAAATATTTCTACAGGAGGCCTCAATAAAAAGTGAGGGAATCGAGATGATTTTTTTTTAATGGAACACCCTGTATATTATTGCATTTTTGGCTTGCTTTCTGATCACTTTATATAATCCTTAGATATTATTAAATATATTTTGATAGTTTCAGAAATATTAATTAGTAAAAAAAAATATTTTTTTCAGTGCCTTTTAAAAAAATTAAAAAATCCTAGAAATGTCCTGAAATCAAAACCATACTAGGTTGTTCGTAACTAAATATCGTAATCTTAAACCATACAGGGTGTTCAAAATTCTATGCCAAACTTTCTAAAATATAAAATAGTTTTTCTTCATTTTTTTAAATGGAACCGCTAAAAATTCTAAAATGCTTTAAATACAAAAAATGCCCATTTTTTAATTCTCCGTCTAACGAAGAAATAATACCATTGTGTTCCATTTAAAAAAAAACGAAGGAAAACCAATTTATATTTTAGAAAGTTTGGCATAATTTTGAACACCTCGTATGATTGAAAATTACGATACTTATAGTAAAGTAAGTACAGACCAACTATAGTAAATATAGTTTTGATTTCAGGACAGTTCTTGTATTTTTAAAAAAAATTAAAAAGGCTGAAAAAAATATTTTTTTATTTATTAATATTTCTGAAACTATCAACAGCTCAATAATATCTTAGGATTATGTAAAGTGATCAGAGAGGAAACCAAAAATGCAATAATATACAGGGTGTTCCACTTCACTCACATTTTTTTGAGTCACCCTGTAGAAGGTAAAATATTTTCCTGAAGTACATCGTACTACATACTTTAAAGTTTGCACTTATCCGAAATTCCTAAAACTTAGGAATTTATTATAGAAGCTATAGATGCCTGAGACGCATTGTTGCCGGATCCGTATAAAGTAGTAGGAAACACTTTGAACCGTGGCAACCCCTCTAGGGGTCTTTGATTGGCACCCTGTTAAAAGTGATTAAAAATATGATGAGCGTAATAATCCTACAGCCGAATCCTGTAGACTATAAATCTAAATAAAATTCTATACAAATAATGAGATTTTCAAAATCTTACGACAAAATTAGCAGTTTTGAAACTTTTTAAAATTACAGTTGAGGGTTGGAACCTTTGGTGTTATACAGCAAAATAAAAACACTAAATCACCACAATACACCAAAACACTTTTACTTTTACACTGGACGCGCGTTTCGCTAACCATGTTAGCATCATCAGCAGATGATTATAAACTGAAAAGTAGTTTATAATCATCTGCTGATGATGCTAACATGGTTAGCGAAACGCGCGTCCAGTGTAAAAGTAAAAGTGTTTTGGTGTATTGTGGTGATTTAGTGTTTTTATTTTAACTTTTTAAAACCCCAATTTATCATGAACGAATGATTAAAGTTGTCAAGCTAGCTGAGTTGTCTTTTCCAGGTTTTTTATGGTGTTCGCCGGATTAGTTTTAAGTGTGTTTTCAACCATCGAAGAGTACGAAGAAAAGGTGGGAAATATCTTGGTATATACGGAATCAATTGTCTGTGTTATATTTGGTTTAGAACTAATGCTTAGGTAAGTCTTATGTGAACTATTTATTTTTTCTAAAATCTATGTATGTATGAGTAGTGTGTGTGACTAGTTGAAAGTGAATAATAATGGTATAAATTTATCTGGGTACCATGCCAAAAAAACGAATTGAAATGTCTTTTTATGAAAATGTATTGAAAGATAACAGGTGATATAAAGGGAAATATCCAACCAGGTAAGAACAGTAGATAAATTTAAATATCTCCTTTCAGCCGAGCCTCGAAAATATTTAGTGGGTCGTTTGTAAGGCAAAAGCAGACAAACTGCGTGTTATACGAACATTTTACAGACTTTTAGGACTTCCAAATGGTCCATGTGTACGTGTATATGTCTTTGTGTGGGCAGAAACCTTTTTTTTTTGAAGAAAGCGCGACAAAAAAAAGGAAAAGAGATGTTTTTACGCGCCAATAATTTTTTTACCGTACGGATAATTTATTTTATTCCAGAATCTGGTCGTCGGGCTGCCGCTCACGCTACCAAGGCTTTATTGGCAGGCTTAAGTTCATAAAGCGGCCTTTTTGCATAATCGGTAAGTGTCAATTTGCCTACTAACAAGTCGAATGAAAAAATCATATAATCATCCCCTTCCAGGAAGTAGGTTAAGGTTGACCTTTGACCCACTCAATTTCACATTAATTGTCCAATTTCTATGAAACACCATTGCACTTAATAAGGGCAAATACAAGAGCCAATGCTAAATAAAGCCAACTGTTTGCTCAACGTTATGCAAATGATGTCGAGATTAATTACTCAAAATGGAATAATTAACAGTTATATATTGCTTTCTTCACTCTCGTTAATTATATGCGGTCAAACACAAAGTATAATTAATAATTCACTCTCGTAGCGTAAGCTTTAACCCATGTAAAATTAAAATTGCTATTTCTCATTTTCCCACATTTTAGTCAAATAGAAAATTAATTCCAAATATCTAAACCTACCGTAAACTGGAGTATCTTTGTGACTGCAACATAACTTTCGTAAATTCCTTATAGTTTCACATTCAAATTCATTTTGAAAATTCGTCATTTTCAAAAATAAATGTATCTGTACTACATGATATTAAAAGGTAACTAAAAAACGACTAAATAACCCAATCTGGTTTATTAACACTTCAAAAACTACAAATAGGTGTAATTTACGAATTCTGTATACTTTCAAAGCTACAAACAGAACTGTAAAGTTCTATGAAAAACCAGTTAGTATATCTTAAAACACTGTTATTTTCCTCATATTGGTAGTAATTATTACGTAAAAAACGTTTTTTTTAACTGCAAATTTTTTAGTATGTATCCTGAATATCATTTTGTACTAAAGTTGGACATGGTAATTGAAGTGGTCTTTTTAACGAAGTTATTTAGTCTATTGTATGTGTGAATTTTAATTATTAAGGCTAGTGCTAAGCAAAGGCATACCTAATGTCAGCAACAGGATGTTTTTTAGAAAACAAATATGTCTCGTAAATATTGGCGCTTGCCCAAATCACGAAATTACAAGGGATTAAAAGAGGAAACAAGGATTTTTTGATGGAGTTATTGAATCCCCAAAATTAGGGTGCACATACATATACAGGGTTGTTCACCACATACGACACGGAGTATTGTAGCTAAACGATTATATTTTTACAAATTGTAAGTTTTGGATTCGATGAAGGACTATTAAGGTACAATTTAAAAATAATTTTACAAGATACAGAGTGTCCCAAATAAGTAAAAAATATCAAAGTTGTATTTTTTTAAATGGAACACCCTGTATATTATTACATTTTTAGTTTCTACGATTAAAATAAAGGTAAATTTGATTAAGGTTTATTATACTTAAACCTTACCGTTTTTGAAATATTTTCAATTTTGTGAAATTGCAGTAAAAATTTTAAGACTTCATTTCTCCAAGGGTATCAAAGTTTTTAATACTAAATATTTACTGAAGTTTATTTATTGATCAGTTATTCTGTTACAATAATAAAAATAATACTACCTTATACAGAGTGTCTAAAAATTTATTTTAAATAATTTCTAGCTTTAAACGCCAATAACTTCTTTAATTTAAATGGAACGCCCTGTATATTTTGGGAGAATCAGATGCACAATTTAATTGTGTTATACCATTTTTTACCTATCCCTTCAAGGTTTTGTAGAAAATGCATTTTCTTATAATTTAGACCTCATTTATCAATATACCCATGGAATATTGACATTTTAGATTGTTTTTAAAGCAACAAATGTACAAAATGTACAGGCTATTAATATTATCGTTTTCAGCAAAACGATAATATTACTAGCCCATTTGTATGCAAAAAGAAAACTATTTAAATCTTTATAAAAGTATATACCATTAATTAAATATAACACCATTATTTCCGCCCATATAATAACTAATTTCATACTTAATTGTGTTCGTTAATAAATTAATCTAAATAAATGTGGATTTGAGTCAGAAATCAATATAATAATATAATAATAAGTTATCAAAATGAACGTCTCTGTTGTTATAAATAAGCATTTATTAAAAAATGAAATATCATTTTTAAGGTGTTACTTTTTACCACACTGTCTAATACACATACAAAACTCAGTTTTTTAGTATTTGGGGCAAATATTATTAATCAACGCAAACAGTCAGTTAATGTAGTTTGAATACTGGAATCATATTAATTGGTCCTCTTTAACAAATATTTAAACAGTTTTTTTTTATTTTTTAATGAAATAAACGAATTATATCGACAATATTAGTATCTGTACTCTTTAAAAATTTGGTACATCTTTAAGAATAATCTAAAATGTCAATATTCCATGGGTATATTGATAAATAAGTTCTAAATTACAAGAAAATGCATTTTCTACGGAAACTTAAAGAGATAGGTAAAAAATGGTATAATACAATTTGATAGACAATTAAATTGTGCATTGATGCAAATCAAACAAGTTATTGCCGTTTAAAGCTAATAATTATTTACAATAAATTTGTAGACACTCTGTATAAGTTACTATTATTTTTATTATTGCAACACAATAACTGATCAATAAATAAATTTCAGTAAATATTTAGTATTAAAAACTTTGATACCCTTGGAGGAATGAAGCCTTAAAATTTTTGCTGCAATTTCACAAAATTGAAAATATTTCGAAAACGGTATGGTTTAACTGTAATAAACCTTAATCAAATTTACCTTTATTTTAATCGTAGAAACTAAAAATGTAATAATATACAGGGTGTTCCATTTAAAAAAAATACAACTTTGATATTTTTTACTTCTTTGGGACACTCTGCATCTTGTAAAATTATTTTTAAATTGTACCTCTAATAGTCCTTCATCGAACCCAAAATTTACAATTTGTAAAAATCTCATCGTTTAGCTACAATACTCCGTGTAAAAAAATCTTGTCTTATTCAGTTTTTTAAAAGAAACATATGTTAATATTACGAAAATATATTTTCTCAAACTTTTTTAGCTTCATTTATATACAGGGTGGTCCGAACTGTATTCCGGAAACTCGGGCCGCATATTCTGCAAATAAAAATAAGTAAAAACGTTCGTATATATACAGGGTGTAGAAGTTTCATTTTTATTTCGATTTTTTTTCAAATAATTTCTGAAGTAAAGTCAATATTTGAATGAAAATTGGTGTCTGGGAGTTTTTTGACATGAGAAATTTGATTTTGATGCCAATGTGACTCCTACTTGTAGAGGGCGCCACCTACATATATTTTATCTGCTTTGAAGAGTAATAACTTTTCGTCCGTACCTGTGTAAAATTACTGACTGAAAAAATATACATTTTTTAACGTAAAAAATGTCCCTTGGTAAAAATCCCTACGAGCAACCGTTCTGAAGATATTTAGAATGGAAATAGTAAATATTATGTACATTATTGATAAAAAATAAACAATGTTGACTAAATAGTTATTAGACTGAAATCATAAATTTGACATGTTTTTGTGACAAAAGTTCAACAGAAACTATTTTATCGTCATTTTTCCGAAGAAAATTTATGATTAATTTTAAAAAAAAGTTCCCAAGTTTATCATTTCAGTCAAATAACTATCTACTCAACATTGTTTTATTTATTAATTTAATATCTTGAGAACGGTTGCTCGTAGCGATTTTTTTACCAAAGGACATTTTTTACTTAAAAAAACACGGAAATGTATATTTTTCCACTCAGTAGTTGGTAGGTGGCGCCCTCTACAAGTAGGAGTCATCAAAAGTCCATCAAAATCAAATTTCTCATGTCAAAAAACTCCCAAACTCTAATTTAATTTTCATCCAAATATTGACGTTTCTTCAGAAATTATTTGGAAAAAATCGAAATAAAAATGAAACTTCTACACTCTGTATCTCCGAAAGTAAGCATTTTATGACATACATTTATACGAACTTTTTTAGTTATTTTTATCTGCAGAATATGCTGCCGAAGTTTCCGGAATTCAGTTCGGACCACCCTGTACACGGTGGCTCGAATTCGACGCTCATCATTGGGATTTCGGAAACCGTAAGAGATACAGGATCGGTTAAATGGAGGTGAAGTTGTGCAATTTGAATACTTCCGAATATATTCGAAAAAAAAACGGAATTTTCAATTTGGTTTTCTATTGTTTCCTGGCTTTATTTGTTAAGATAACTTGAAATGAAAAACATATTTTTATGTCCACTTTTCCTGCTCTATAACTCTGTGTGATTAAATATTGACTCTGACGTTCCGGCTTCTGGCGACCATCATCAACTTAATTTTTTTAAATACGGACCTGATTTTTTTTCAATTTAATTAAATCCTTTCATCACTCTTAAAACACTATATATAGTCACTTTGATATTTGTCGACGTTTCGTACAGAAAATTCCATCACCAGAATATTTTATGCAAAAAAAAATAAAAATGCAATACTGGATTTTATTGAGCTTGAAATTGCGCAACTTTGCCTCCATTCAACCGATCCTGTATCTCTTACGCTTTCCGAAATCCCAATGATGAGCGTCGAATTCGAGCCACCCTGTACAGGGTGGGTCAAATTCGACGCTTTTAAATGGAAACACCCTTTTCTATTGGAGATAGACGAAAACTAATATCGGTGTCCGGAGCTCAATTTTCATCAAAAACATGATGGTGAAAACCGCATATCGATATCTGTTACCGTTTCGGAGTTACGGGGTGTTTTTCAAAAATATGCATTTTTAACAAATCGCTGTAACTTTTTTGCTATGGAAAATTTTGTATTTCTATGAAAACATTTCCAAAGCACCTTTTGACGTAGAATTTAATGGTTTAAGTATAATTTTTTTAAAATTAATAATTAAAGAGTTATCAACAGAAAAATTGATTTTTTTATTTGGGACACCCTCTATATTTTTAGTTAACTGAAAAGAATTTAAAATTACCTTTCCAAAAATATAGCACACTTGACATTTTGTTATAATCCCCTTCGAAATACAGAATTTTTAAAAGTTCGCCACTTTTAACTAGTAGGCTTTGGACCCCTTATTGATGATATGCCCTTAATGGAACTCGAAAACATATTTTTCCAGCAAGACGACGCAGCGCGTCTGAACGCTGAAGTTATTAGCAAATTTTTGCAGCCAATTTCAAGTATAATTGAATAGCTGACCAAGATCCCAGCCGTTGGCCGTCGAGGCCGCCTGACTTAGTGCCCATGGATCTAATCCTATGGATATATTTGCGGAAGAATAAAGGTTCTTTATTCTTCCGTATAATCTAGACAAGAATTAGAAAAACTTAGCAGTAATAAGAGGATATCTTTCACCCCTACTGAGTTAATGAATTCCGCGAGAAATGTTCAAAAACTGCTCCGTCTGTCCATAACAGAAGACGGTCGATATGTCGAACACCTGTAGCAAAATCTCATGTCTTGGTTTGCTATTTATTTTTATTGTTATTAGATATATGTAGTTTAAATGTGTTGATGTTGGTTAAATATATCTTAAATTGTTATAAAATTCTGCATCTCTCGAAGCAAATATTATTTTCGTTTTAATTTTTACCTAGCCGGTGCCGTTCAAAGCCTACTTATTTAAAGCGAGCGAATTTTTATACACTCTATATCTCGAAGAGGAATCGAGCAAAATATAAAGTGTGTTGTATTTTTGGAAAGGTAATTTTAAATTATTTTCAATAAATTAAAAATATACAGGGTGTCCCATATAAAAAATCAAATTTTCTGTTGATAATCCTTAAATTATTAATTTTAAAAAAAATTATACTTAAACCATTAAATTCTACGTAAAAAGGTGCTTTGGAAATGTTTTCATAAAAATACAAAATTTTCCATAGCAAAAAAAAAAAACAGCGATTTGTTAAAAATGCATATTTTTGAAAAACACCCCGTAACTCCGAAACGGTAACAGATATCGATATACGGTTTTCACCATCATGTTTTTGACAAAAATTGAGCTCCAGACACCGATGTTAGTTTTTGTCTATCTCCTATAGAAAAGGGTGTTTCCATTTAAAAGCGTCCAATTTGACCCACCCTGTACAGCTGTGTGTCGTTCCCTTCTTTGGTACAAAATGCTTATTTACGGCTATTTACGTGTAAAATTTATCTGTGTCAAAGTTACCCCGACAGACCCGGGGTTACTTTAAAGTCTAATAACTAAAGTACTGTTTAGAATTTTTAATTTTTATTTGGGCTAATTTTTGGGTTATAATAAAGAGGTAAAATAACACTGCTTAAGTTTAAATATTTCATATAACAAGGACTAGGTTTACGGTACATCTTTACCTTTTTGTTTTTACTTTACTAATCCTGTTTCAAAACCGCACCAAATCGACACATTCAAAAGGATATATATTAATTACGAGTCTCAATTATTAATAGACAACTCGCCCTTATTTATATTTCACACAGATGAGCAGCATTTATTTACCTTACCCGAACGAAGGGCGAGAAGATCAAAACTTTTAGGTAAATTAATTAATGAATTTATGTACATAATTTTCAAACGCGGATTAGTTCTAAATACCATCAACCTTTGAGTCTCACATAATATATAACCCTCGTGCGAAAAAATGGGTTTATTGAAGTTTCAAGCATTTCGGTCTGAACTATATGCGATACAAAAAAAGTTCGAAAGAACCAAAATATGAGAAATAAAATAAATGGTTTTCGGAAAATATTTAACAGGGGTGGGGACATGCCTTTGTTGCTTTCATTAAATTACCATGCATTAAGAATATCAAACATGTCGACTTCAATATATAAGCTAGCGTGACAAATGATAATTTGTTAGGCATTCATTCCTACAACAAACTTCATCCTGCATTTAGCAGAGTGGTCGGGTTAAAATTAAATTTAAAATTTCATTCTCCGATATAATTACTGAAGCTAAAATAAAAATATATAATAATATACGAAATTATAGTAAGGAAGATGTCAATCCCAGACGTTACTGCAATAAACCCTGGTGAGGTAAATAACATGGGTGCAATAACAGACTATTATATTTTATTTAGAATCGAAACAAAGGCAGAATATTGATTTTGTAGAAAATTTCATAGAGCTAAATGCATATAACTGGAATTATTTATGCATAATAATAGTTTCGATATACTACAACGTGTATTTCTGGTCGATTTGTAGATATAATAACTATAGTGGCCTCGGTGGTAGTTTTCGCCCTCACTATGAGATCAGGGGGTCAAGTAATAACGGCCAGTGCTCTAAGAGGGCTCAGGTTCTTCCAGATATTACGTATGGTACGAATGGATAGACGGGGTGGTACTTGGAAGCTCCTAGGTTCCGTAGTTTACTCCCATAGACAGGTGACAGTTGATTTTTCTATTTTTAACCACCCTACCAACCTTGACGTGTTTTAATTTTTTAGGAATTAGTCACGACATTGTATATAGGATTCCTAGGATTAATTTTCTCGTCTTTTTTGGTATTTTTGGCGGAAAAAGACGTACCCAATACTAAATTTACTAATTTTGCTCAAGCTTTGTGGTGGGGAGTGGTAAGACCTGAAAAATCAATCATTTGTTTCGAAATTTAATTAATAAAACTCATGGTATTTCTAGATAACCCTATGCACAGTAGGATATGGTGATATGGTCCCATTCACCTGGCAAGGAAAAATAATAGCCTCTTTTTGTTCGTTACTAGGAATATCGTTTTTTGCCTTGCCCGCTGTGAGTAACCAAGTACCAATTATTTTTACATTAAACTATAGAGATGAGCAAAATTGCAATTCTCCAATCGCAATTGAAACTGCGATTGCGATTTTTAAATCGCAGCGACTGTAACCTGCAATTGCGATTTTAATATTTAAGTATTGTACTAGGTATACAGGGTGTCCCAGAAATAAGTGCAAATATTTTAAGGGGTGGTAGATCTCGATAAAAGAAACATATTTTCTCTTTATCGTTTTTCAAATAAGTCCAAAATAACGGAGTTATTTTATTTTGAAAATTTCAAAAAAAAGTTTTTTTTGCTAAAATTTTGAGAACCACTGGATCTTTTCAGGATTTTCTTTCTTGTAAATTTAATCTAATACCTATGTTGCCATATTATCAAGAAATTATGTTTTTTAACTAAAAACTAAACAAATTTCCAAAAAAATTTTCTAAAAATTTCGAATTTTCCAAAAAAAATTTTCGCGAAAAAAAACTCATAGGCGTTTTTCTGGGGTTGAACTATACTACCAGTTAAAATACTTGCATTTATTTCTGGGACACCCTGTATATTTGTGTATGTATCTATAGCTTAACAGTTCAAAAGAGTTAATAATAATCAGTAGTTTAGTTTTTAAGTTGTTTTAACTTTAACATCTGCCACACACATTATAGGTATTAAAACTTCATATATATGTATGTATGTATGCTGCAACTGTTGCAACTACACATACCTACTCTTTTTACAGTTCTCAATTATCTAATTCTTTACCCAATTCTTAAAAATCTAAAAGATTTTTTAAGATAGCACCCTTCGTAAAAATGCTTTTTTCTAAATATGCCAAGGAGTCACCCTTGTCACCTGTGTCACCAGATTGAAATTTAAAACTACATTCTATTCAGAGTTCATAAAGCAACTGTTGAAAATACCGAGGGTGTCATTTTAAAAATCAAAAGTTGTAGTAATTCTTTACCCAACAGGAAGTGGCCAAAAACAATTGAATACGTCAGTCAATCCGAATTTAAGGGTCATATATACCAAATCTAGTTTTTTTTATCTTGAGAAACAACCGGTATATTATTGATGGTGGTCCTAGAAAATAACACCTTCTCTATAAATAAGTAATATCAGAGAGAACATACAATCACAGTTTACTATAAAATGCTTCAATAGACCACAAAATTAAATTCGCAACAATATCGCAAATCGCAACTCCTAAAAATTCAAACTCGCAGATATAAGATTATCACGGTCTTGTGACTAAATTGAAACTCGCAAATAGAAGAACTGGCAATCGTATCGCAGGTTTCGATTGCGATTTTAAAATCGCTGCGACTGAATCGCAGTTTGCGATTTTTTGCTCATCTCTACTAAACTTCCTATTTTTATACTCAACGGGAATATTGATATAATAGACATTAATATCAATAACGGGAAGTAAAACAAGCGGGGTATTACTTTTATAACTTTATTCTAACTTTATATACAACCGTATTAAACACACAAATTTTACAGCACCATTTCAATAATATACACTCGGGTTTTTATATGTAAGCATTAATATTTTATACACACGCCCTTTAAAAAAAGTTGTTTTTTATATGAAATTTTTATGCCAATCCCGGTAAAATTTTCGTGATGAATATTTTATCAGGAAAATTTTGATAGAGCATATGGAAAATACATGTAAAATCTTTGATAAGCAGGGTATTCTTGGGTCGGGATTCGCACTCAAAGTCCAGCAGCAGCAAAGGCAAAAGCACATAGTTCGACGCAGACAGCCGGCCGCCATTTTAATTCAGTCTGTATGGAGATGCTATGCTTCTGATGAACACTCAACTTCAGACGCAACTTGGAAGATATATCAAGTTCCCTACAGTCCACCTTCGTAAGTAGTATACGTTTTTGATATTAAAAATTTTAAAAAAATAATGTTTCCATCTACAGTATGTCCCCGGATTGTCTTTACAAAAGGAAATTTTTTTTATTATTGGCATTTTGAGAAAAATGTGCGTTTCGCGTTCTTTATAATTTTTTTTTGCTAAAATGGTTAATCCTGTTTATACTTTTCCAAATTTCCATACCGTTTTACAGAAAATTGTACAAAAAATGAAAATAGGGTTGATTTTTTTCTCAAAGTCGTAAAATTCAAAAGGCGTCTCTATGGTAATACAATTTCGATTTCATTCTTTGATAGATGGTTATTATTGATTTTGATTACCATCATATTTTTTGCTGTTGTTAAATTATCACATTTTCCGAAAACTATTATCAACCCTTTCTGTAGCAATGAACTAAATCAATTTTTTGCTTCTTAACATTTTAAAAGTTGTTTTTCAAATAATGAAAACAAAATAATATTACCATAGAAACGCCGTTTAGTACTTAATATATAATAAATTTTAGGACTTCAAAGGTATCAAGCAAAAATTGAACTAAATTTTCATGTTTTAATTTTCACTAAAACGGAAATTTGAAAAAGTGTAAACGGTATTATATATATAAACTGGATATATCTAATTTGAAAAATCAAGAAATAACAGATTTTCAGAGAGGTCTTTTTACAATAATTGGAATATTTGAACTGTATATAGTCTCTGGATGATTTCTCTCCTTTGAAACATGAATATCTTTATATACTAATTTCCAGAAAGTGTGTTTACAAGAAAGAAAAACATGTCTGAGGTTCGAATTATAATTCTCTGCTAACACACCCTATATTATTTGGTAAAACCCCATCAAAGTGAAGATCAGATCACTTATTTCGTCGTATATCGCGTGAAATTTGATGAAATCTAAAACGGTGGATTATTTGACGTTTGTAATTTAAATATTTATTAAGTTTGTGGTATTATTTAGATAGTGGCATCAAAATTCGAGCTCGACATTTGTCGAGGAATCCAAGATACGGAATCCACGCGAAGGAGGAGTTTGGGGGGCACGACAAATGGCGATAACTAACCGGGAAACTTTTATGACAGCTAGACTAAGTAACGAGTTTTGATTAAAATGTTTTAATTATGAGATTACGCGTTTGTTACAGGAGACTGACGAGTAGTTTCCGGCAAAATGCATCTTTCGTCGGACGGTTTTCCACAATTCGTCGACACAGGAGCCAGGCATCGGCAACCAGCCTGCACCCGCCATCGCTGATCCAGAGTCGTAACCTCCCAAGGATCAATTCTTTCAACGACAGTGTGGGTAAGTGCCACTTATTTCTTCATTCCATAGATACCTACATCTCATTTTAAGCTTATTACCTATGTACGTAACATTTAGCTTGGTTAGGTCCATTTTTTCTAATTCATTTAAAGCTCGGGCTCGAAAAATTGGTAAGTTTCTCAATTTTACGTAAATATTTCATCCCGACAAGCAAGTAAAAAAAATCTTATAGGTATCCTTGATATTGGTATTTATTGTTTTTTCATATTTTGTTTAATGCACTATATGATTAAGGCTCTATTCACACGCTTAAAGTAGCCATCCAAGCTTTTTTACATTGAGGGCGTCCATTAATTACGTGAGGTGTTTAATGGGTTTAAAATGTGGGAAAATAAGATTAATTTAAAGTAAAACATGATTCTAGACAAGAATATGCCGAATGAAACAAGTCTTTTGTATATAAAAACCCATTAGATTATATTGTACAGGGTGGTCGAAATTGGTCTGTTTTAACAGGGAAAACCTATTTCCTGACTAGACAGAGCAAAACCGACGTAGATGTCATGGGCTCGATTTCTGAGACACGTTTAATGGCATAAATTGCCTGTTGATATTTTCACTGCCAACTGAGATACGGGGTCTTTTTGATTTTTTTACCATTTTGAAAATTGCCCATAACTTTTTTAATTCACGGAATAATAAAATTCTGTGAAGACGTTCTTAAGGCACTTTTTTTAAGGCACTTTTTTAAGGCACTTAAGGCATTATACTTGCTTTTTTTGTCAGAAATAATAAAAAATATAATTATTTAAATGAAAATTTCACACCTCAACTTTTCAACCAATAACATGCTTTAATGTTGACTAGTTACCATATAACTGAAAAATTTCCGGAAATTTTTTCGAGGCGCCACGAAAACTTTAGTGGAAATTTTTGACAGTTGAAAAAGGTAAACATAAGATCTACAATCATAATGTGAATGAACTACAATGTCTATATATTGAAATATTACCCATTTGAGTTTTAGCATTTGATGTAACTAATTAAAAATATAATAATATTTGTTAATATTATTAACAAATTGAAATTATTTTAAAATGTCATGTTGGATTAATATTTTTTTTCAAATTTAGGTAAATTTTCTTACCGAATACCACGCAAGCTTAAATTATTCCTGGAAATTTTCTTTTAATGGGCACGAATATTTTAGAGAAAAGTATCCCTCGTCTTTCGACTCGGGATAATTTTCAAAATATTCGTGCCCTCAAAAAAATTCCGAAAATAATTTAAGCTCTTGTGATATTATAAGTGAAAATAATAGTTGGCTATACATTTAAAAAAATGTTGATGTTTAACCCTTTACAACGATATAAAGTTATGGGTATTTATTTCTAACAATGAGAGAAATATTAGGGTTTTTTATCTTTGTATCGAAGGCCTTGATTTTGTGTTGACCTAGTTGCCTAAATATTTTTTATCACAATTTAATATTCTATATTATTATTTATCTACAAAATTAAAGACTTTTGAGAAGATAAATCAACATTCTATATTAGTTTTACCAATTACAATTAAAACGCCATTAAATGGAGAATTTAGAGAGAATCGGATTGAAACAAGAGACCCCATATCTTGGCCTGCTAGGTCCTGTGGTGTAACTTCTTTCGAATTTTTTATGGGGAAAATAAAATACCTTATATATAAGGGAAGAACCATTGGGACGAGAGAAGAATTGCAGAAGGCTACTAGGCAAGCTTTTGGACTTATTACACTAGTTTGCCTAATAAATCGCTGTAACTCTGTGCGCAAAAGATGTTTATTATGTATTCAACAAGTAGGTGCTCAGTTTGAACATCTGAGATGATTTTTTAGAAAACTATAATCATCGCTCAAAAATATGTTTTTTAGCTTTGTTCTTTGTTTATTGTATCGATTTCAATTGTAATTACAAAAACTAATATAGAATGTTAATTTGCCTTTTCAAAAGGCTCTAATTATGCAGATAAATAATAATATAGAATATTAAATTGCGATAAAAAAATAATTAGACAACTAGGTCAACACAAAATCAAGGCACACTTCGATACAAATATGAAAAACCTAATATTTCTCTAATTCTTAAAAATAGGTACCCATAACTTTATGTCGTTAGAAATGGTTAAACGTCAGCATTTTTTTAAGTTCATAGCCAACTATGATTTCCATTTAAAAAATTATATTTTTTATTATTTCTGACAAAAAGAGCAAGCATAGAAAAAAATTAACTACGCCACTGGATTGTGCTTAAAAAAATGCCTTAAGAACGTCTATACAGAATTTTATTATTCCGCGAATAGAAAAAGTTATGGGCAATTTTCAAAATGGTAAAAAAATCAAAAAGACCCCGTATCTCAGTTGGCAGTGAAAATATCAACAGGCGGTTTATGCCATTAAACGTGTCTCAGAAATCGAGTCCATGACATCTATGTCGGTTTTGCTCTATCTAGTCAGGAAATAGGTTTTCTCTGTTAAAACAGACCAATTCCGACCACCCTGTACACACTCCCACATAAACACCCCTAAAATAGAGATTGCAGAGGAATGAAACTACTCTCAATTGATGCTTATGCGCTCCTGGATCGAACGACACCTGATTTGAGTCGATAGTCCCATCTGTTCTCGATTTCTTCCCAAAAACATCAAAAATTCAAAACTACCCCTAAAGTAGGGGTTGCAGAGGGATGGAACTACTGTTAGTTAAGTCCTATACACTCCTGTATCCTACGATACCTTAATTGTGTCGATAGTCATATATATGTTCTTGATTTATTCCCAAAAAATTCCCTAAAATAGATATTGCAGGGGGTAAAACTACTGTCAGTTGATGCCGCCTCTTGCACCCCTGAATGCAACGACAATTTATTTGAGTCGACAAACTCATTGGTTCTCGATTTATTTCTAAAAATACATTAAAATCAAAAACCACCCTTAAAATAAGGATTGTAGAGGGACGACAGTACGCTCAATCCATGTCTTTTACGCCCCCGAATCCAAAGCGCTCCATAGCTCCATCCATTCCTGAGATATCCTTAAAAAAACTAGTTCTCCATAAATGACATTTAAACTTCATTCAAAATTTTCAACGTCCTAGTTGAACTTGACCGATATTTCCGCATTCCTTATATAGTAGCCCACATTTCATTCAAACATTCACTCAGTAAAATTGAATCGAAAATTGTAAGACCTATAGTAAAGTCCTAATGGAATATAGAATTCATTGATGGTCATACGGAATGATGAGATGGGGGTACATTAGATTAAACTGTATCTCCTCTAAATATCTGCCTGATTTAAAGGGATATAATGTTTTAAGGCTCATGGTATATTGTATACATGTTTGTAGACTATTTTCCGTTAATATTAATTAATATTTATGTTTAATTTGTTTATATTATTATTAATAATAATATAACATGGCTACATAGATTTTTTGGTATTTTTACACCTTTTCCAGGCTGCTAGAAAAATGGTAATCTCTATGGTAAAATTTTCAAAAATTCAGTATATATAGGAAATTTTATGTATTTTCAGGATATATAAACATTTAAAGGTTTCAGTGCCTTAGTTTTGTAACAAAGAGTATTCTTTAAATCCCTGTTTCAGAAAAAGTCACCATTTCACATTTTCATGGCTCATAGAAAAATAGTACACGTAGTAAGAAAATTGAAAACCTCGTACATAAATTGAAATTTTATGTACTTTCAGAATATTGAAACGTTTAAAGGTTTCAGTGCGTTGGCTTTGTCAAAAAGTGTATTTTTCAAACCTCTGTTTCTAGGAAAAGGCGAAAAATTGACCATTTTTGCTACCTAACTTTTAATCTTTTCAAAGCCTTCTAGAAAAATAGTAAACATAGTAGTAAAATTGTTAAAATAGTAGTAAAATGGTTTAAACGTATTAGTTTTTTGAGAAAATTTATTTTTCGAACTAATTTGCCCCCTTTCCTATAATTTAGACAGCATGTAAAACAAATAAAAATAAAATGCCTAATAATAGTTAAAGACAATTTCGAAAATATCTTTCCAGAAAAGCCTCTCAAAGACTGAAATATCTCAATTTCAAACAGAAAATAATATTTCTTCAATAAAAATCTTTGTGGACTTTAGAAGTTGACTCTATAATATTTCCTTGTCGATAATTTCAGGAAATGAAAAATTTCAGGTCACTAAATGAAGTAAAAATTATATTTATTTGCATAAAGGACTTTCAATATGAAAAATGCAGCTCTTAAAAACAGTTTCGAGTTATAAATGAAGTTTGCCAGTAATTTTCTTTTCAACTGCAGAACATTTTAGATTTATAAAACTGGCGTTTTCGTGCGAGTAAATTTATAAACGTATAATCAAAAATTGTTGATTGGTTCAAAAAATGTTCCACCCACTGCTTACCGAGTTTGTTATTTTTTTTTGACGTAAAAAGAAGCGAAAACAATTCAGCCAGAACAGATTGTCTAATTATCTTGACAACTCGCTGAAAGGGATGTGATTTTGGCAATCAGTTTTTTGCAAAAGTTGGAAAATTAAAATTTGTTTTCAAATTTCACGTGGCTTTTGTGACTGGCAAGGTCAGGCCTGTCAGGTAGAAGAAACCTTTAGGCTTCAAAGGTTATTTAAAAAAAAACACACAGAGCTGGAGTGGGTGTGGTGTGGTGGGACGAGGACCAAAAAGGTTTAAATCGAGCTTAATTTGAGGCCGAAAAAGACCAAATTTGCTAAAGTGAGGTAAATTAACCAAAAAGAAAAATTAATTCGGTAAGTCTTTGATAATTAAAAGCCTGTGGGCCCATCAAAGCGATTTTGTTGTTTGCAAAATTCGGTTAAATCGAGTAAAATATTTCGTTTGCCCCGGCAAAGGACAAGGGCATTTTTTAAGAGGCTCCTTTTGACTAAAAAACAAGCGAACATAATGTAGTATAAAATGTCTGACAGGTAATTTCTTTTGTTATTCTACCTTAATCATCTTTTCCAGTTCCCAAAATTTCGCCTGTGTTTCACATAGAAGTACTTTGTTGGAAAATTAGAAACCGTAATTCCCGTTTGATATCTTTCATAAAGGAAATTGATATTTTTATATCAAAAAAAGTCTGCGGCACACTTAATAAAAGATGAAGACCTTAATTTTTCTATTAGAGCGAAAAAAAACTATGAATAGCCTCCGAGACAAGAGAAGGTTGATGAATGTGTTATTAACATATCTTCACTGTCATTTAAGTTTTAAAATCGTGAATAAAAAGGCCGTTTTCTGTATGAAAAGACTGGCACCATTCAAGGAAGACACTCCAAACGCTTTGGGCTAAAATAGGACGACTTTGTACGCCTAGTTTTTAGCCATCTTCGGGTCGGTAACATTTGTCCCTCCAAAGTAAATAATTAATCCCCATTTGTATGAGCCTTCCATTTATCAAGCGATAGTCTCATTAATAACTCTTCAAATTTAATGGATATTTTCCAATTTTCACTGTCTTTTCTTGAATAAATCATCCTCGATTGACATATATATTTCTTTGTTTTATTGTCGGAGAGTTATTTTTTGTTGCTAGGGGATGTTTTATTTTTTTTTATTTTCACAATGCACGTACATTAAAAATCGGACGACAGAATTGGCTCCAGACCAGAAAATTCATGCAAAACGCCACATGACTAATGGATTAGAAGGGTAAAAATGAAACCACAATTACCCTATACATAAATCTCAAACGGGACTAGTATTAATGCATATTTGCTCCAACAAATAGAGGGTTTAAATAGAATATATACACATTTAGAGCTCTAATCATAAAAACATAAAATTTTATCAAAGAAAATCAACATGCTAATTATCGTAATAAACCCATTTAAAACGGAAAATTAGAATTCATGGTGGAAGAGGTGTATTTCAGTCGGAGTTGTAAAATCTCATGTTTTAACGACTGCTGTCTATAAGCCCACAATACGGAAGTCGAAAAGAAACTTTATTCCTTTTGTTAATTTAACTAAAAAATCGAATTCCGTCATAGAATTCATAAAATATTACCCCATAAAAACACTGTTTGTTTCACGAGCCAGCAGGAAACTCGGACGACTTTTTTATATTTACCATGGTTTTTTTTTTTCAACATTATACCGCTCAATAAAGTTTCAATTTGTTAAGTAAACTTAGGCAGCATGGCTCTCTACCAATACCAACAGATCTGAACGATAAGGACATATCAAGAAAGTTTTTCTTTTCGAACATAGGCTCACTTAAAATAACATAAAGACCCTAAAATGCTGGGAATTTACTTGAAAACAATAAGTTCCTTCCTAACTATCCTGCTGATATATACGTGTTTATTAAAAAAAACTGTAAATTCTGGATTGCATTTAACTCGTTCGAAAGTGCTTTCTCGTTAAACTAATGTTCGTTTTTCATAGTTTTGTGCACATCAGAAATTAATTAAGTTAATTAACGCTGCTTGCAAAATAAGAAAATCGATATCAAACTACTTTTATTTGGTTTGTTTTTAGTTTTATCTAATCGATACTGACTTTACACAAACTCACAATCAGTTTAACTAGAATCAAAAAATCCGTATAAACGAGGGTAGTTAAAATCATTTTTTTTTTAAACCAGAATATTCTACAAATAATAAAGTTACAAAATTCTACCACCACGTTTACCATTTTAAAACGAACTTTGAAAACACGAAAAAGATTTTTTGGACTTTTTTAGTTACAAAATTTATCGATTTTCATAAAATTACAGTTATTTACTAATTAGAAGGAGTAGAACACGAAAATATCGATCATTGTAGCCTGACGGGTATGGTTATAGATGTAGAGAAAGTTTTAATCAACATAAAATAGTCCACAAAAGCAAGGATTTAAAAAGCAATTTGTATTAAAAAAAAACAAAGCATTTAACCATTAAATGGTAATAGTGCGTCGGGCAATAGTATCTGCGAAGCCGTTAAAAATTTTCAAATAATCTAAATGCAAAGAATGTTCATTTTTTTATTCTCCGTCTAATAAAAAAATAATATCCAGGGTGTTCCGTTTAAAAAAACGAAGAAAAATTATTCTATATATTAGAAAGTTTGGCGTAGAATTTTGAACGCCCTGTATAAAGTAAATACCTAATATAGTTTTGATTTCAGGACAATTCTTGTATTTGTAATCTTTTTTTTTCAAGAAAGGCTGAAAACTATATATTTTTTATTTATTTATTAATATTTCCGAAAAATCCACTATTGCCAGACTCTGTATATGTCTCTATTCTGAAACTATCGATATCTATATCTATACTAATATATAAAATCCTTAAGTGACTGACATACTGATTAATCACGATCCTGCTCAAACCACTCAACGTAAGAAGCTCAATTTTGGCATACAGGTTGATTCTAGGGTGAAGAGGTTCGATAAGAAGGGATTTTTCGAAATTCCAGTTCCAAGAGGGTGAAAACCACCACTCAAATATTACAATATTTTTTATTTAAAAAACGGTCAAATTTCCGAAAAAACGCTTAAACACGTATATTTTATTTTGTTTTTTACATATTTTAAGATTTTTCAAAAATGTATACAGGGTGTTTCGAAAAATCTGGTCATTGATTAATCACGATCCTGCTTAGAGAGCTTGACTTAAAAAGTTGATTTTTGGAAAACAGATTGACATTAGGATGTAGAGGTTCGATAAGAAGGGATTTTTCGAAACTCGAATTCTAAGGGGGTGAAACTATCCCTCAAATATTAAAATATTTTTTATTTAAAAACGTACATTTTATTTCGTTGTTTTACATATTTTAAGATTTTTTATAAATTTATACAGGGTCTTTCATAAAATATGACCAATGAATAATCACGATTCTGCTTAAACTGCTTGACGTTTAAACCTGATTTTTGGCAAACGGATTGACTGTGGGGTGTAGAGGTTCGATAAGGAGGGGTTTCTCGAATCTCAAATTCCAAGAGGGTGAAAACGCCCCTCAAATATTACAATATTTGTTATTTAAAAAACGGTTAGTCTTTCGGGAAAACGCTTGGACAAGCATAATTTATTTCGTTTTTTTACATATTTTGAAATTTTTTAAAAAATCATACAGGGTGTCCCAAAAAGTTGAGTAATTTCTTAATCACGATTGTGCTTAAACTGCTTGACGTAAAAAGCTTATTTTTGGCAAACAGATTTTTCGAAAGTCAAATTTTTAACTACCCCTCAAATATTACCAAGTTATATAATAATATCGCCATATTGTTTTTTCTCATGCTGACATAAATGTGAGAAAATGTTATCCAGTTTGTATGTTAATGGAAATTCTTGCTTTGCTTTATCATCACCATTACAAATGATTAACTCGACTCGAACGAATACTGAATTTTTCTAAATTTTTGAGGCTATGTTTAATATTTTTCTAAAAGCCTTGAAAACGTATAAAAAAATAATCAAAAATGGTCATGAAAATTAGCCATTTTCACCAAGTCTAGTCTCTGACATAGATGAAGTTCCAAGCAGCAGCAAAAAATATTTCAACCTCTTTTAAACTATTAAAAAAGACACCTAGCGACTCAAAAAGAATGACAGAACTTGAACGTATTTAACATGAAACCGTCATATATTGTCCCCAGACAAAATCTTTATATCGCATGTAGCCAGATTTGCGCCATTTTTTACAGGAAACAGCAGCAATGGGCTACGAAGCAATTTGAACGCCAGCTTCAATGGGGAATCCATCGAAACTAAAGTTACCGTAGATAATTCAGGAGGTCAGTATCACCAGCTTGTATCCATATAGTTTTGTAACCCGTACATCTATTACCATCTCATCTTAATGTACAGAAAGCTTAAATTGATTTTATACCTATTTAAATATGTTAATATACCTATTTGCTAGTTGCTGAATGCTTTATTATCAAAATTATATCGTCGTTTCATATAAATTATTTATGAAGATATTACGATGTTTTATAGATGACGATGAAGAACCTCAATTAATCGAGTTGACACCAGAAGATAAAGCAGCTATCAGAGTTATCAGAATGGTAAGAATCCACGATTTTTTCAAAATATTTTTCATCAACGTTTTAAAATAAAAAGGGGCTTCATTAAGGGACGACCGCAAGGTTTTTAGGCTTTTAGTTTTCGAGAAATCCCTTGATCTAAACACCTTTTTCATATTGACACGTCTTTCTGTATTTTTCACCCTTCACATCAATTTTTAAAAGGAGCATCATCCCCAATTACGCTTTTGTGGATTTTTTAGCGCTTAATCTTTTTTATCTGTCCGTAAATCTCGTTTTTTTTCCTCTTTTTTATTTTACATAAGAACGGTCTTAGTAATTCTAAAACAAAAAAAAAGGAACGCACATTTTATACATTCAGGTGGTGGCTTTGTTGAAAAAAATACGTTTAATGTTAAAGAAAAAAAATCGATGTTCCTTTATTTTTCAAAAGCATTAAATATACAGGGTGAGTATTAAATAAGTGCAAATATTTTCAGGGCTGGTACATCGCGATAAAAGAAACATATTTTGTCTTTGCCGTTTTTCAAATAAGTCCAACATAACTGAGTTATTTTACTTTGAAAATTTCCAAAAAAAGTTATTTTTTTCTTAAATTTTGAGAAGCATTGGATCTTTTCTGGGTTTTCTTTCTAGTAAATTTAATCTACTACCTATGTTACCATATTATCAAAAAATTAAGCTTTTAACTAAAAACTAACAAAAAAATCGCGAAAAAACATAATACTCATGTTTCTGGGATCGAAATATACTACCCCTAAAAATATTTGCACTTATTTAAGGCTCACCCTGTATATTCAAACTTTAAAAAAGGCTAATTATTATTGTACCATTTTCTACAACAGATAGTAGTAAGTCTCAAAAAATGTAGATATCCATTTGAAATAAAAAGTGCTATCAATTGAAGATATTTTGAGTGAAGACAACATTGGTGGGCAAAGTATAATTGAATATTTTTTATGGTAATTTCTTTGATTATACCCGCCTGTCTTGTTCAGGGTTTACATCCAATACACAAATTGACTCGTTTAATTAAAATACGTCAAAAGTTTTAAAGAGAGTTATAAAACCTGACTTCCCAATCAAAAAGGTTCCTATCTACCCTTTTAAAACAAAGGTCCTGAATAAAATGTAAAATAAATCGATCAACTTTCTTTAGTTAAAATACTTGGTCGCCAGAAAGAAGTTTCGCGAAGCCCTCAAGCCCTACGATGTCCATGACATTATAGATCAGTATTCCACCGGACACGCCGATATGCTTTCTCGAGTAAAAAACCTACAATACAGGTAAATCATTTAGTACGAGGGTTGTCTTTTATAGTTTGCATATAGAGGTATCAAAAACAGATAACGTAACACTGTTGTTTTTTGAAGTATTCTTCACGAAGAGAATAGCATTTTTGCATCCGTTGGAACTAATTCTGAAAGCAGTTATTCCACTTGCTTGTTGGTACCTTCAAAATTGCGTCTTTAAAGGCGCTGACTTTCTGATCTTTTTTTACATAACAAGGGGCCGTCCTCTGTCGGAAACATTGCGACCTGTGAGGCCTGTTGTGTTTGTCCCCTTTCTATATCAGCACCCATTCTCCAGGTTCTTGATAGGATGGGAGCATAGTTCCTCCGGTTCTAGCCTAGCTTTCCCAATAAAGTGTCGCTTGCGATCCAGAGCGATCCAGCTTGCGATCCATGACAAATTCCGTTTAGGTACAGCTTTAAACGAAGCGGTATAAAACTTTGGCATTAAGTTAACTAAAGATGACAGTTAATTTTCACATATACATTTTATATACCGGGTGGTCCGAACTGTATTCCGGAAACTTCGGCAGCATATTCTGCAGATAAAAATAAGTAAAAAAGTTCGTATAAATGTATGTCCTAAAATGCTTCGTTTCGGAGATACAGGGTGTAGAATTTTCATTTTTATTTCGATTTTTTCCAAATAATTTTTGAGATAACGTCAATATCTGGATGAAAATTGGTGTCTGGAAGTTATTTGACATGATAAATTTGATTTCGATGTCAATATGACTTCTATTTGTAGAGGGCGCCACCTAGGACATATTTTTTAACTGGTTTGAAGAGTAATAACTTTTCGTCCGTACCTGTATACAACTACCGAGTAAACAAATATACATTTATGACTGATAATAAATTTGAAATATTTTTGTGCCAAAAGTTCAACAGAAACTGTTTTATCATCATTTTTTCAAAGAAAAATTGATTTAAATTAATTTAAAAAAAAGTTCTCAAATTTATCATTTCAGTCAAATAACTATCTACTCAACATGTTTATTTTTTGTCAATAATGACATGTAATTGACTATTACCATTCTAAATATCTTGAAAACGGTTGCTCGTAGCGATTTTTACCAAGAGGCATTTTTTACGTAAAAAATCACCGGAAATGTTATAATGACATACAGGTACGGACGAAAAGTTATTATTCTTCAAATCAGTTAAAACACATGTAGGTGGCGCCCCCTACAAATAGGAGTCATATTGACATCAAAATCAAATTTCCTGTTAAAAAACTCCCAGACACCATTTTTTATCCAAATATTGACGTTACTTCAGAAATTATTTGAAAAAAATCCAAATAAATATGAAACTTCTACACCCTGTATCGCCGAAACTAAGCATTTCAGGACATATATATTTATACGAGGTTTTTTACTTATTTTTATCTGCAGAATATTCCGCCGAAGTTTCCGGAATACACTTCGGACCACCCTGTATACCGGGTGCGTCTCAAAAGTGGCTCACCCCTATAACTTTTTTATTTTTTCAGTTAAAAAAACGAGATTTGGTATGTTAGTATATGACATAAATTAGGATTGATTGACGTATTCAATTGTTTTCGGTCACTTCCTATTTCACCGGAAATGACTACAACTTTTGATTTTTAAATGGCACTCGGTATTCTTTTACTTTATTCGATAGAAAATAACAACCAGAATAGAATGACATATCATATGTCAACTTTTGACATTTTCGCATATGGTCTATTTGAAATTATAACTTGCAGTTCGTTACGAAAATTTGACTCGAAATACCAAGTGTGTGGCATCAAATTATTCGTAAAACAGTGCTTTTTCCAAATATGCTAATGAGACACCCTCGTTCCATTTGAAAAAATTGAGATATGATTAAAAATACGATTTAAGCATTTTCTAACTGGCCAGGACAAGACACTAAACTAAAAGCATTAGACGATCAAATCTATTTTTCCAGGGCTCCTTGATGAAGAATTAGTGTTTTTAACATAACCACGGTACTCTAGATTGAATTTTAAAATACGATTTTTTATTAAGCGAGAATGTCAAAAGTTGACATATGATGTGTTATTCTATTCAAAATGTCATTTTCTATTGAATAAAGCAAAAAAATACCGAGGGTGCCATTTAAAAATCAAAAACTGTAGTCGTTTCCGGTGAAACAGGAAGTGACCAAAAACAATTGAATACGTCAATCAATCCTAATTTATGTCATATACTAACATACCAAATCTCATTTTTTTATCTGAAAAAATAAAAAAGTTATAGGGGTGAGCCACTTTTGAGACGCACCCGGTATTAACAGGCGCCTACTATGTTTCTATATGCAAATTATAAAAGACAACCCTCGTAAACACGAAAAAAACCTAAGTATTTAAGAATCGATGTATCTTCCAGGCTGGACCAGATCCTGGGCAAGCAGGGCTCCCGATCGAAAGACGTGTACGCCTCGAAAATATCTCTGGCATCTAGAGTGGTGAATGTAGAAAGACAAGTAAGTTCTAAACATGTTCTAAACCAACACCGTTTTACAAATTTATGTTAAAGATTACGTATAACGTAATCCTACGGGAATTCGAACTAATCTAGGTTGAGAAATACTGCATCTAAGTAACTAGCGAGCTAGGCTAGCTTCCCTCTCAAATTTGCTTAGGGGTTATTTTTGATCCTGCCGAGAATTAAGCCCTTTAAACGACGTTTGTTTACGCTCTCTACAAAGCGGAGTAAAGTTACAGCATTCCTATAGCTTGATATGTTAATAAGCCACCTTCAATATTACTCCAATAAAGTATAAATTTTCGTTACACATTACCTTACATCTAAAAAGACTGCTAAACAATTTATTTAGCTTTCAATGATGTTGCTACTACAACGAAACCATACCTCTGTATGGTTGCTCAATTTTTACTAGTACGATTTAGCAAAGTACCAGCTCTAATAGAGGAATCTCTTAAACCTATCAAAAGAAAACATCTTTATAATATAGTTTGTCGTAGATTGCATGGGAGGGGGAAATTAATAACCCCGACCTTATACAGGGTGTTTCAAATAATATGTTCCATCTCTAGTGGGGAGATTCCTCATGTAAAAATAAGATTTATTTTTCATATCAACATAGGTCCGATTCTGCTTTGTTTCGTAGCTACAGGGTGTTAAAATCTTTATATTTTTTCGATATGTTTGGTTTGGTTTGGTTTTATCTTCCAAGTACTTTTAAAAGTCAGTGGGGCACATTATTTTCTTTGAAAAATATGATGAATTTATCGATACATTTTTAGTATTAAAATATGTAGCACTTATAGTACCTTTTACCCTCAAAATTTCATTAGAATCACTAAAAGTACTTGGAAGAAAATTATAATAAATCGAAAGATTATTAAGATTACAGTTGAGGGTTGGAACCTTTGGTGTTACACAGCAAAATAAAAACACTAAATCACCACAATACACCAAAACACTTTTACTTTTACACTGGACGCGCGTTTCGCTAACCATGTTAGCATCATCAGCAGATGATTATAAACTAGTTTATTTATTTTTTTATTTTTTCAGTTTATAATCATCTGCTGATGATGCTAACATGGTTAGCGAAACGCGCGTGCAGTGTAAAAGTAAAAGTGTTTTGGTGTATTGTGGTGATTTAGTGAGATTATTAAGACTTAACACCCTGTAGCTACGAAACAAAGCAGAATCGGACCTATAATTTGATATGAAAAATAAATCTTATTTTTATGTGAATCTCCCCATGAGAGATGGCACATGTTTTCTAAAACACCCTGTAGATTTATTGTGTCCCCCCTTCTACGGAGATTGTTCTTACTTTAATGAAAGAGAATCTTTGATTTTTCTCGGTCGTAAGTTCTGAGAAATGTCTTCGAAGAAATGTCTTAGACCGTTGGAGGATTCCCATTAAGTTCTTTTTTAATTTTTTAATATAATTTGTTACTTTAGGTGGACGATGTAGTTATAAAGATCCAACAATTCTTCGAGCTCTACATGGAAGACCGGAAACATCTTCTATCCGAAGAAGCATGTCAGCGAGGATTGCAAATAGCCCAACTGGATGTTTACAACATGTCTTCGCCGGTTTCCATGCCCTCGACATCTTTCCAGGGTTCCACATCACGAAACTCCTCGCACTTCAAACCTAAGTCCATTCTGGTGTCTCAACCGAACTCTCCTGTAAACCGAGGAGGAATCTTCACTCAACCGTTTCCCGACAGTTTCGAAGAAACCTTCTAAGTACCTCGATCCTGGCAACAAAACGAAGAAACGCGTTACATTAAGGTATCACAAAATATCTACAGCTACTTCTACCGGAACAAAAATTGTATTATCTTTTAGTTCAGCCTGTTGTAACTATATAGAACCGAAGAGTGATGCAAGTCCAGTGAAGGATAGCTTTACGATAATCGTACCTCAAACCGCATCGGCCCCAACAACATCCATACCGCCTTCTGCAAGTGCTCAAAGTCTTTCCATCAACTTGGAGCTCAATAATTCCGAAACCACAACACCTAGAAGCGGTAAGTAATGTTTTGATTTTTTTTTCACGAAAACCAAAGAATTTAAGGAATTCAACCATTTGCATATTTCAAAAATGCATAAAAGTTTATACAAACCAAGGAAGTTTCAAAATTTTCTCGCTGATGTTTATAATATTTTTCGAGAGGCTTTAAAGAGGTTTAAAAATTTTAAATAAAAAGTCCCGAAAATTGGCTACTTTAGGCAAGACAAGTTTCTTACTTATTACAATGCATAGATTATGAAAATATAGGCTATTGTAATCCTATGAGTCTCGTAGTAGATATACATGACGTTTTATTTATTATCAAAAACAGAAAAGCATTCAAGAAATTAATTTCCTCACAATCCCAAGGTACTTACGCCTTTAAAGGTGTATATATTCGTAATCTACATAAAATTTCCTACAAATACTGATATTTTCATAATTTTAGGACTATATGACTATATTTACTATCTTTCTAATACAATTTTTCGACTTTTTTCCATGTCACCGATTTTGTTAAAACGGCTGTTATTTGCTAATTAAAAGGCGTAGAATAAGAAAATCTAGTCCACTGTAGTCTTACGAGAACAGTAATGAATGTAGGGGACGTTTTAACTATCATCCAAATAGCTCAAAACAAGGGTCCAAAAAATTAAGATATATCATCAAAAAAGGCTCAAAAACAAGTGGTCGAAAAATATGAATAGGTACAAAATAGGTACTAAAGATACATGAAATTTCCTACAAATCCTGAAATTTTCAAAATTTTATGCCCACGTTTACTATTTTTCTAAAAACATGTAAAAAATGTTCATCAAAAATAAGGGTTTGAAAAATCAATCTTATCACAAAACGAAAATATTTCAATGTAAAATATATGCCTTTTTGGTATCAGGAGTATGGCATTTGATGCAGGCAAAATTTAATCACTGCTATTGGCAAAAAATATTATGGATCACTTCGAAAAGACGACCGACAAAAAATAATTAGAGTTATAATAAAAATAAGAAGATAGGGACGGTATATTTTCTTTCATTCTGTTTTCTTTTCCTCTGCTTTTAAATGATATGTATATTCTATATAACTCTCTCTCGTTTGTAAAAGCTTTAGATAATGCTTATTTGAATCCCATATTTGAGAAACACCTGAGAAACGCCATATGCTCATTTTCCTTAATTTATTTAAAAAAAAAACCGCTTACGTTATTGTATTTTAAAATTATCTCAAATTACGTGGGTTAAACTTTATGCACAGGGTGTCCAATTTTAGTTGAAATCATACGGTATTTCCGTTAATAGTGAAAATAGAAAGATACGGTTTGCACAAACCTGTCCAACTTTTTTGTCAAACGAAAGATGCCATAAACAAATTTCATAGCTCCCTTGTTTCTGAGCTACAGGGTCATTTTGAAAATTTTGCATTCGTAACACCTCCCGTATTTCTGTTATAACGAAAGTTATCAAGAAGATGAAAACTGTTTATTGTCGAACTTTTTACGTAGAATACAGCGACGTATCTTTTAAATATTGCAGTAAATAGTAAAAATAAATATAGAGTGTTATATATTTTTGAGAAGCTAATAAATGAGAAGATATAACTTTAGTTCATATCTTCAACAGTATTTTTTTCGTTGAAAATTAGACTACGCCACTGTATTCTACGTAAAAGGTTCTACAAGAAACAGTTTTCACCTTCACGATAACAGAAATACGGGGGGTGTCCCAAATTGCAAAATTTTCAAAAAGACCCTGTAGCTCAGGAACGAAGAGGGCTATGCTATGAAAATTTTGTTTTTTGCTACAATCGCATTACACTCCTATCTTCACTAATAAGGGAGATACCGTATGATTTCAACTAAAACGGGACACCCTGTACAGTTGCTATAAATGTTGCTATTTCTATGTAAATATTAAGGTTTAATCCATACAATTAGGGATAAAGGCATTTCTCAATTACGAGACTCAACAACAATTCAACGTTATTTTTCAGCTACGTATGATGCTTTCTATATGTCATCAACATCGCTCTAAGATTAAAATATAAATGTCCCGATCATGTGAGTGTATTTACTGCGGTTATATATTTATTTATCGGTGTTACTTATACATATCCCCTCGTAATGTGATAATTTTTGGTGTATTTTATTGAAAAATCAGTATTGCATGATCAAACTGGCGGTCAAATGTTCAGAAGCCCTCAAAAAATGCAGATTTTTTTTAAAAACAATCAGTTGAGAATATCTGAGCGCTTCTAAATACTTTGAACGAATTGGGCGAGTCTTAAATGTTATTTTTGGTGGTTTTTTCAAACCAACATGAGATAAGGTAGTTTTGACGATGTGTATATGTTTTTATATTATTTTTTTGCGATTGTGGAGCGAGAAAGAATATTTAAGCAACAAGGGCGTAAAAGGGATGGAAGGAAATTCTAAAATTCTATTAAAATGTCGCAGAAATTTATCTTTTTTTATTGTCATTGCTGACTAGGTTCCTAGGGATGATAAAATATAAACGTGATGTGGCCAATTGGTCCTCGGTGAGCTAGAATTGTTTTTTCTTCTCATTTTCCTCCCTTTTATCTCCGAATGGTAATTTAATGCTAAAAGACACTATATATTCTTCTCGCTCACTTATACCGGGTGTCTCGAATAATGTGAAGAAAATTTTACCAGCACTGTCTATCAGGGTTATTAAGATAAAAATAAAAATAGAGACGGACGATAACTAATTTTACTTATTGACAAGTTAGTGTCCCGAATCTATAATAGAGATAGAGGATAATAGCCTCCCGGTGTTGCACGGCTTTTCATCGACAGTGAGATACTCCTTAGCTCGACAGTGAGATACTCCCAGCTAAAGTACCAGAGGAGATTTCCCTTAGAATCTGACTAGAAGCTTCCCTAACATATAAAATTTATCTAACAGAAAAACTGTAGGAATTTATTAATGAATATGTTGGTAAAATTTCGTCCGCCTAATTCGAGACACCCTTGTATTCTTTACACGTATAAAAACATACAAAACAGAGCATGATTTGACTGGATTACGCAGGCTGTCCACTAATTATTGCATATCTGGATGTCTACGGAATTAAAAAATAAATTTTCATTCATATTTGACGATTTAAAATATCTGAAATATTTAAAAAAAAAATAGGTATAATTGGCTACAAATTGGCTATTCGGGATTGACCTTTCCGTTTTTTGGGCTTTACAAAAGGCTTCAATAATTGCTGTTTTAAAAATAGAATGTTTTTTGTTCCACTGCCATCCAGAAGCAAAATAATTCTTGAACATCCGTCACATACACGTGCACGAGAACATGCAATGTCGTTGTTATTTCCAGAAAGTTCTGTTTTTATTCGTTTTTAGTAGTACAGTCTCGATCACGATAGTATTTGTGAATTGAATATTGAATAACTATACACCTCATTATAAACATTTTAATATAAAAAATGTCGAAATAATAAGGGTATAACAACAATGAATGATATGTGTTGAATGTGTGTTAACTATGTAATATCCTTATAGAAAATTCATTTGACTATGAAGAAGTTGAAGAAGGTGAAGAAGGAGAGCGAGAAGAAAAGTTGGACGATCAAGAGTTCGATGATCAAGATGACAACGAAGATGAAGCTAACGAAACCACACTGTTGTGTCCCACAACGCAAAATGAAATTATCATTACACCGAGCACCCTAAACTGTACATCGAAGGTAGAAATAGGCACCGAGGATATTTACATGACGAACTTCAACCCTTTAAACTAAAAACTCGACGTCACGTTAGCTTTAATCGATGCCAAAAACTATTTTTAAACAAGGAATGATTGTTGCTTTGATCGGAGCAACAACCATTAATTTTCGTGCATATTTTCATGTTTGTAGATGTCTATAAATCAATTAGAATCGTTGATATTACATACCCGTCACTCAATGGACTAAAAGTAAGTACCTATCTAATTTATCAGAGATCTGGTAAAATAAATACAGGATGTTTCAAAAAACATGTACCATCTCTCGTAGATTCCTAAGGCTAAAAAAAAATTTATATCAACATAAGTAGGTCCGTTTCTGCTTTGTTTCGTAGTTACAGGAAGTTAGTCTTTATTTTCGATTTATTTTAATTTTATTCCAAGTGCTTTCAGCGACTTGTATGAAATTTTGAGGGTAAAAGTTACTAAATTTTGAGGGATAAGTGCGACATATTCACTATAAGATAAACGCAATTTTATTAACCTTAATCCAAGCCTAATAGCACCCTTTAAACATATTTAATATCCTTAACTGACCAAAGTGTTAAATAGGCACGTTGATTCCTCATAAAAATATGAAAAAAGTTCCTATAAACATGGGTGCGGAAATGCATAGTTTTATAGTTACACGATGTTAAAACTTTAAAAAAATAATCTTTAGTAATTACCTTAAATACCATCATTTTTTATTGAAATTTGCTGTAGGTAGCACTAAACATCAGAGTTATAAATTTTAATAAAATTTAATAATAAATTAGATAAAAATAAGACTTTAACCCCCTGTAGCATCGGACCTATGTTGATGTACAAAATAAATCTTATTTTTACGCGAGGAATTTCCCCACGAGAGATGGGACACGTTTTTTGAAACATCCTTTATAACAAAGCCCACTAAAAAACCGCAATATATTCCTGTAAATAGTATTTCGCGAAAGGTGTTTACTTCCTTAGTATGTATAGTTACTTATGACAGATGTTTATTTTTAATATGTAAATACGTTTTTTAAATGTTAAGTATACCCAAATCTCTTCCAAGTTTTTTTTAAACAAAATATAGATGTCTGTTAGAATTATTAGGAAGATCTTTAATATTCTAAATTTTATTAAATGTATAATAAATCTAAAAAAAGTATCAGATAAATTTATTTAGATCTATATCAAACTAATGACATTTCTGATCAATATTTCTACACTAAGTCCAGTACAAAAAAGGTAAAATAAACAAAAAACATCTTGTATAGGACGATATGACGATTTTTTTCAAATACAGGGTGATAAACTGAAGGTCCAAATAAGTGGCCTCCTATGTATTAACAAGATAAGATAAAAAGATAAAAATAGAAGTCGGTTTGATAGAGAGTTAAATAAATTTTACCAGACTTAGCATTAGGTAATTTGCTGTTTTGACGTTGTTTAGAGCATGTTTATTATTAGGTAAATGTAAGTTACTGTGTCAGAAAAAAAGTCACATATTCGGAACGCTTAAGATACTTCCCTTTTAAGAAAAAAAATTAGGTAAGTTTTAAGTAATTTACTATTTTAATTCAATAGAAAGAAAAAATATAGGATACAAGAACTGAAAATCCTAGGGCACAAAATATATTACGCTTACAATAGACCTAAAATTAAATTATTAATAAACTAAAGGTAGTGCCTGAAGTAAAAGAAAAAAAAAGAATGTAAACTACAAAATATATAATTTATTTTACTTTCGACAAAGGAGTAAAAATTCTGCGCAACAAAAAGAAAACAATAAACATATAATCAAATTAACAAAAGAACATTTACAGATTGGTTACTATTTCCATGCAACGTATTTACCTAAAGCTCTCCATAGACGAGACGATACGTAGCAACTGCAAACTGCAAGTCGTACAATCTTCCTGGATTATTTTAATTTATTTCTCTACTACGAGGGCGTTTTAAACGTATTAAGAGAATAAAAGTAGTAAAATATCTATACAAGTATATTTGGAAAGAGTACAAACGGTTTTGATTTTATTTTTGGCTAAGTGGGTGATATAGTTTTAGAAGACAGATTAAAAAAATAAAATTTTAAAATTGAACAAACTAAGTTTACGCAATTTAAACTATATATGTCTGGAGGCCAATTTATACAGGTGCTAAAAAGTTGAAAATGTTTTGTAAACGTTTTTTCTTTCGCACCTCAAATTGATCTGTTATTATTAAAAATGCCTGTGATCATAAAATATATTTGTAAAACTCGATTATTTTAAGTAGTTAGTAGCTAAGGAGTATTTTTGTTAAATTCAGATCGAGAAAAGTGAGATTAGTCTAACCTCTTTATATTATGTCTAATTAGTTTATACTTTATCTAATTAGAAAAATTAATAGATATATTTCGTCTTATTCCTTAATAGTTCAGTCATTGGGGATCAAAAAAGGGGCTTGCTTGGAAAAAAGTCCGGAAGTTTTGAAACTTTGCAGGTTTATAGGTTTTGGGGTCCCTAACTAAAATCCATAAAATGCACATTTCCAGACTTGCCGCCGACGCCGCCATCTTGCCAAAATGGCGCCCAAAATCGGTATTTTGTAAATATCTCGAAAACTATGCGTTTTTCGCAAAAATTTGAAGAGAGCAAAATTAAAAATTTCCTATAAAAAAGGTTATATGAAAATTTTCGCTAAAGTCAACCTTTTAGGCACAAAATCCCTGAAAATTTTACAATTTACCGTAAAATATGATATATTATGTACAGTCGATTTTCCGAAATAAAATGTCGATTAGGATTCACTAAAACTAGTTTTAGGGGGTTCACTAAAACTAGTTTTTATTTAGTTTCTTCAATTTTGTCATGAAACAGTGGCGTATCATTAATTCGCTCATTAATTTATGAATAATATTAATTTTAATTATTGAAAATATGTACTTGTTTCCACACCACTGACACCACCCAAGAGAGGTAAAGTACATGACGCTTTTATTTTAACGTGGTCTCCCCGGATACCTACTCCACTAGGTAAATTAAAAACTTTACTTATCTGCACAAGCCCGACAGACCTGGCTCATTGATGTCAAAGTCGATCGTGTCTGCTGTACTGGGCTCATCAGGGCTCTCAATTCATCCAACTATTCATCTTCAGCCGCCAGAGGGATATCTACAGGCAAGTCCAACTCCTCTTCATCGGATTTGTCGAATGACACTTCAGTGACGTTGTCACAGGATTTCCCATTGCAGTATGCACAAATCATTGAACATTTTAATCCTGATTTTCTGCATCCGCAGGCTTTACCACAGTTTTGGGATTTTGGAGCTGGATCTGTCAACGTTGTGACTGGAGTAATGCCTGTTTTTGTTTTCTTCCAACCCCATTCCTCGGCATCTTTGATACAACCAGACCAATGCTGAACCTGGTGGTAAGTTCGCAATGAATGCTGTCCAGCACGACAATTAATTATTCATAAATTAATGAGCGAATTAATGATACGCCACTATTTTATGACAAAATTGAAGAAACTACACTAAAACTAGTTTTAGTGAACCCTAATCGACATTTGATTTCGAAAAATCGACTATACATTTATCATACTTTACGAAAAATTGTAAAATTTCCAGGGATTTTGTGCCTAAACATTTGACTTTAGCGAACATTTTCATAGAACCTTTTTTATAGTAAATTTTCTTTAATTTTGTTCTCTTCAAATTTTTGCGAAAAACGCATAGTTTTCGAGATATTTACAAAATACCGATTTTGGGCGACATCTTGGCAAGATGGCGGCGCCGGCGGCAAGTCTGGACATGTGCATTTTATGGATTTTAGTTAGGGACCCCAAAACCTACAAACCTGCAAAACTTCCGGACTTTTTTCCAAGCAAAAATCCCCAATGACTGAACTATGATTATATTTAATATAATTCTAGTCAACTTATTTAATTTACTCACATATCATGTTGCTTGTCATTAACTATTTAAGTATACTGTATAAATTTTTGTAAATAATAGCTATCGTGTACATATGACCATTTTCTAATTAGATAAAATAATCATTTTCTTACAATCTAATCGAATTTATTATTATTAAAAAGATATATTGTAACGTACAGCTTGGAAAGCACCAATTTTGCCAAATTTATTTCATGGTTCTTAATAAGGAATATCTATTAATAAGGTAACATTAATAATATAGCAGGAGAACTACAATAAAAATTTAAGACTAAAAAAAAGTAGTAATTATGTCATCTTAGCAATTGCAACTCATAAAAAATACTTCAACTAAAGCCAGCGTATATACAGTATACCAAATATACTTTGGGCTAATCTTTATTTTATTGACTTATAAATAAACTGTCATAAAAAAAACGTGTCAAACTGAGGCGTTAGAAGCAATCCAATTCTACTGTATATACGGGGCTAAAAAAAGCAATTTCTCATTTTAATGTAAAAGAATATTTAACTAGAACAATTTAAAACTATAGTTAAGTAATCCTCGAACCCTATAGTGATCTCGCCTCTCATTTGCGAATCTCTTTGTCGGAAAGCCTCTGTAAATCTTTGAAGTTGGATACAAGTCAGAATAAACTGGTCGATGGAAATCGTTTTATGATTCTTTAAGTCGCTTTTTTCTACTAAGAAATGAATAAACTCCGGAGAAAACCGAAAGCCCATATGTTGGTATGCTAAAATTGAACAAAATGACGTGCTAAAATTATTCTGAATTGCTATACTTGCAGACAGTTATTTAGACTTAAATAGAACATGCACTTAACTCAATTTACAAAAACCATTCAGATTCTAAAAGAACAAAATTAAATAGATGTTAAAATCAAAGCTTACGGTCTTGTAAGTTGAGTTTTCTGTATAATTTTTAAATTATAGTAATTTTATCAATAAATTTTAAATGTTTATGAAAGGCATTAAGTACCAATAATGTAGCTTATTCTAAATTAATATTAAGATATTCTGAACTCTAGCTAAGCAGTCTAAAATAAGGAACTGAAATTAGCACATTAGCCTGACCTTACTCTATCTACCTGCCACCATGACCATCTTATTTATAGTTTATAACATTATAGAAATGTATATAGTACCTCAACAATTTTATTTTTCTTTAAATACTATAAAGCATTCTTACTAATATATGAAATAACTCATTAATCGAAATAAAATAACTACTGTCAGAAGATAAACATTTACTGAATAAGTTTTTCTACCTTAATATATTCAAATTATTTTGTACACACGTTCCTTTAGGTTAAGACAAAGTCACTGTACATTATCTACTTTTTTCTTCTTCAAATAGCGCCAGTAAAAGCCTCGTTATTTCAAATGTACTGTTGTTAATTAATAAAACTTTAAAATTGTACAGATATCTATGTAAAATTACCTGCACTCAGTTCAGATTCCTCAATACTACCAGATTGATCCCTGTCATACATTTTAAACGTGCTCAACCATTGATTAATGTAATTATACAAAGCTTGAAATTCGTTAACATTGATAGTCCCAGTTTTATCTTTGTCGAACATACCTATCATAAGTTTACATGCAGCATCGGAAAAATGCTCGCCTTGGGCATTTATCAATGCAGATTGAAGCTCTAATATAGAATATATAGAAGTCATTAATTTTCACGTAATTAAAGATGTATTACTGTACCTTCCCATTTAATTTCACCCGATCTATCCCTATCAACAGCCTGAAACCACTGACTTATCTCAGGACTTGCTGAAGCAGCAGCTGTAGCATACTGAAAAGTAGCGTTCTAAAACACATCGAGGATAGATAGTGGCAAGTTAAAATAAGAGGTTAAAAACTTACCTCGTACATTATTTCAAACAAAAAGACAAATATTCTTAACTTATAAACAGTAAACAAACCATTAAGTTAGGTTACTGTAAGTCTGACAGCTGACAGGAACGTCAGCTAGATGAGGTTGATTCATCCAAGGGTCTCATCCATAAAATAATAATACAAGATCTCATCTGATCTCATCCATGTCTCATCCAGGTCTCATCCATGTCTCATCTAGTCTCATCATACACTATTTTTGAAGATTATAGGTACTGTGATTATACTACGCTCTATATCTTTGACTACCACTAAGTAACTCTATAACTTTTCGTGTAGTTATTATTATCACAGAACAGATACAAATTTGTACTTGTTCTGTGTTATTATTGTCTATTATATTTTATGTTTCAAATTATACACTCCTCTCTAATTGTTATCAATATTAATACACACACCTTCCATCACTTTTCAACGCTTAGGTATAGGAAAATATGTATGTAGGTATGTCTCAATATTTCTATTTTTAAGAAGGAAAATGTGTTAATAATAAGAGAACATGTACAAATTATAAGAAAGATACTGTATTATTATCTATGATTGTTATATGTTAAATTATAGTAAAATTTATTCCTACCTTATAAACACTGTCCCCAGCTCCTGGATATCTGTTTGTTCCTAATGTACCCCCATTGGCCTGGTAATATTTGGCACAAATAAATTCAAATTTAAAGTATGTACGACTGACGTCTTGCTTTTATACTTTTTAGTGTTTTACATTTACGAGCGGTTTATAAAAATCGCGTAGACTCGACTATCCCTACATTACCGGCCCGGGACGCGCGACAAACAGGTGTCAACAGATTCCGCACCTACGAAGAGAATATCTCATGGAATATTCCTAAGTACATGTGGAACTCATGCTTTACTTTCCTATGTTATAAAGAAGTAATAAATTACAACGATATAATTGAAAAACATTATCCTACGTCCCAACCTGCGAATTCGTTCACTGCAGAAAAAAAATGTTAATACTAATACGATTATCTAAAAAATGTGCCGAAGACCCGTAGAAGTAATAATATATGTAATATTATTTAAGATACTTTGTACATTGAGAGTTTTCAGAGAAAATTTTAATTTTTGAAAGACCCTAGACGCAAGACGCGTAAAGTCGTTAACAAAATGGATGAACTTTTTAAAACAGTTGAAAAGCGCTCAAGGTGCCAACCTAATTAATTCTGATATCAGTGATATCCCTATCTACATACAACTTTTTTGTATGATTAACAAAACAAAATTACTTAATTTTAGCTTATTCCAATGATAATTATTACTAGAACTGTATTACTAATTAAGCTCTTGAAAATAAATTTAAAAATTATTCTTTTTAATTTAAATAAGTGTTTAGTTAGACAACCAGATATACACTCGCAAGTCTCGTGGCTGGAGGTCAACTAGAGGTGTAGTTTTTGACAACTAAAATCGAAATTTGACGTGTATATCGGGTGAGTAGAGGCGCAGCAAAAACGAGTGCTAGAAATGCTTTATAAAATTTAATTAAACACTTAATTACCGTTTTCGGAAGCTGATCACATTTGTGCGTTAATCTTATTCTAAAATATATTATCATGATGCATTTAAACGCGGATGTTTCAAGTGCCCTTCAGCTCTTGGAAGACATTAAGAACACGGTAGATGACCTAGGGGACCCAAAATTACAAACGAATACTTATCCAGATTTAAAATTGCTAATATCTGTGTTAGAGAATCCCGTATTTAGGAGTATAATTACTGTTTGCGAATCGCTCAGCGAACTAAATCAACAGTTGGGGCAACACCCTTCAATTTTGCCTGTAGATTTTGATATAACTGCCGCAGGCGAACTTGTACTGAATGTACCCCCTGCAGGTGAGCTTTATGATCCAGAATATAGCGATTATCCAACTAGAGACTTTGATGAACAAAGAGTACCTTCAGCACCAATTTCTCCCAGTTCACCACAAACATTAGCATTTGCCTCTTCAGACAATAATAAAATGCTGTCTTTATTAAATAGCCAAAAAATGAATGGGTCACTGTGTAATCCAGAGGTTGGTAAAGATATTTAATAATGTAGTTCTAGTAGTAGTACAAGTATAATTTATTTTCTATGTTTTAGGCATTAAGAGGTGGATTACAAGGTACCAGTAATTTTAATCACCTGGATGATGATATAATTCACAGATCTCCTTCTGTGGGCAGTGATAACTCTAAAACTGGCTCTGATAATCTACCAAACAGTGAGTGGTCTCAGGTGGAAAGCATAGATCTTATTAATGATGGAACTGGTTTAGGTTTTGGCATTGTTGGTATGAGAAATATGGGTGTAGTTGTGAAGACTATTCTACCTGGGGGAGTTGCTGATAGAGATGGGAAACTTCAAAGTGGTGACCACATACTTCAAGTAATTCTTCACTGTTAATATTTTTATATAAATTGTTTTATATTTATTTTTATTGTAATAGATAGGTGATGTAAACTTACATGAAATGGGTTCAGAGCAAGTTGCCACAGTCCTAAGACAATCCGGTACTCATGTAAGATTAATTGTTGCCCGTCCTGTTGAATTGTCTTCCCCAGAGTACAAATATTTAGGAAGTTCCGCCCCTATAGTGCCTACAAAACTTTTACATGATGCCCCTGAATTAGATAAATATCTAATACAGCACAAAAACCCTCCTGTTTTTCATAAAGAAACTGATGTATTTTCTACTGATCTGGCTAAAACTTATGCATTATCTAGAATCCCAGCTTCGCCTTCCTTACCACTATTAAATCTAGATGTGGCTGTTAAAATGCCTGAAATGGAAAAGTTTGTTGTTGAGCTGAAAAAGGACACCAATGGTTTAGGTATTACCATTGCAGGATATGTTTGTGAAAAGGAGGAACTATCAGGCATTTTTGTAAAGAGTGTAAGTAAAGGCAGTGCTGCTGATGTCAGTGGCAAAATTAAAGTCAATGACAGAATAGTGGAAGTTGATGGGCAAAGCTTACAAGGATATTCAAACATTCAAGCTGTGGAGGTGTTAAGGAATTGTGGAAATGTAGTGAAACTATGTTTGGAACGGTACTTACATGGTCCCAAATATGAGCAACTCCAACAGGCCATTGCTGCAAGTGAAACCAAGCCACCATCACCTCTAAACTCGTCACGGTAATAGCTGAAAACTGCTGTTAAATGTACCCCCTTATTAGTAGTTTCCTACCTCTTGTATCGATGTAAACATTTTTCCTTACTAACACTTAGTATTGTATGTAACTCCGGGTGTATGGTCTAAGTCACTGTGTCTTGCTAACAATTCTCTAGAATTTTTATATAAATTTCAGATATCCGAAAGAAGATGGGAGCCTTCCTATTGGAGGCGACGAGCCTCGCGACCTTTTTAACGACACAATTAAAAAGGAAGACCCCCCTGTCTTTACTGATGAACAACTCCAAGAGAAATGGTCCCGTATCATGGGACCCGGTATTGAGATCGTCGTAGCGCGATTGAAAAAGTTCGGCGAAAAGGGAGGACTAGGCATCAGCCTGGAAGGGACCGTTGACGTAGAAGATGGCCGCGAAGTGAGGCCCCACCATTATATTCGCTCCATTCTTCACGAGGGACCCGTCGGGAAAAATGGAACCCTCAAATCAGGGGACGAGCTCTTAGAAGTCAATGGACACCAACTTCTTGGCATGAACCACCATGAAGTAGTCAGCATCCTTAAAGAACTGCCTCTAGATGTCTGCATGGTTTGTGGGCGGAGCCCCACAAATCTCTTCAGAGAAGAAGCTTATCCAGAAAGAAACATTCTCCTGACGCGTAGTTTAAATAACTTAATCCCCGCCTCAGACAGATTAGTCAAAGCAAAATCAGACGGCTCTCTCGCCAGCAGTATCGCGATGACCGGTTCTTCTGAAGCCTCTTTTTCCAAGATGAAGTCTCGCTCTTTGGAGCCCCTCACGGGACTGGCTATGTGGAGCTCGGAACCTCAAATCATCGAGCTGGTCAAAGGCGAACGAGGCTTGGGCTTCTCGATTCTGGACTATCAAGATCCCATCGACCCCAACGACACGGTTATAGTTATTAGAAGTTTGGTACCGGGTGGCGTAGCTCAGCTCGACGGTAGGTTGATTCCTGGGGACAGGTTGCTGTTCGTTAACGACACGGTATTAGAAAACGCTTCTCTAGATCAGGCTGTTCAAGCCTTAAAGGGGGCACCTAAGGGCATAGTTCGAATAGGCGTGGCCAAACCTTTGCCTATCCCTGATACAATGGCTCATGGATCACTAATGGATGTTGATCCAGATAGATATCTAAGTTCAGACTCTTTTAATTAGTTGTAACTATAGCTTAGCCACTTTTTCGAATTTTTAAAGTTAATTGTTAAGCAGCGATATTCTGCAGTTGATTCTCTAACTTGGATTCAATTCAGTAAATCAAAGGTATTTATCTTTTATTTATTTAATATTTTTTATTAATATAAGATATTGGTCATTTCGGGAATACCTATACACCTCGAATAGGGTTTTAACTTGTACTATTTTTGATGAAATCATACAGCGTGTCTCAAGTTTCAAGTTATGACAAAAATCGAAAACAAATATCTTTAATTTACTTAGTTTATTACGAACTAGAGAATTACCCTGTACATAAAATTAACTCGAAACGATAAGTACCAATTACACTCCGAAAATCGTCATTTATATACTAGGTTTATTTTCATAACCAAAATAGGCCGAACATAGTAATAATAAAATACCAGTTATTATCTCTTAGATAAGTAATTCCTCATTATTTGTTATGGGATATATTTATTTTCAACTCTATCTTCTTTTTTGGAGTAGCATATTTCCTAAGAATCATTGCTATATATATACAAAATACAAAAATAGAATATATATAAAATAAAAAAAAATAGAATACAAAAATAAAACGAACTTAGTAATAAGTAGCAGTAATTTTTCAGTGATCTTAATTATTAATTTCTCTTAATTATTTTATTATTTCCAGTATATTGTTGTAAATAATATGTAGGGAGCCTTGGTGCCACATTATATATAGACTATTTAATCTGTTGATATACATAATAAGGCGAAATAGTAAGTATCAGTTACTTTATTTAATATATCTTCTTTCCATAATAAGTAATGGTCTCCAGTAAATATAAACATTAAAATACTGTACATATAGTAATAATAAGTATTCTTTACTTGATAGTAATATTTTTATGTAAGCCACTGCTTAGTTTCAATACCTGTCTAGGATATTTTTTTATTACTACTTGTTATTGGAACAACGTACAGATTTAGTGAGAGCTTTGATATTAATATATAAAAATAACGCGAACATAGTAATAAGTAATACCAGTTCTTTCAGTAATCTAACACTCCAATTGTTCAGACGCTAAATATTTGGCTCGCTGTATATATAATAGTGGTTTTAATGAATATAAATTAGTATATTATACTCTCGAATACCGTATATTTATGTACATACGTTCACTACAGATTGAAGATACACACTCTGGAACAAACTCAGTATTTTGAAAGGGGATATTAAGCATTTCGATCCATAACTACGCTCTTTATCGTACTTTTATATAGATCTACATATAATACTAAATATTATGTACTTAAAATTGAGTAGTTGACTAAACTGCCTGTATTTACACCAATTTTTAATAATTGTTAATTCAAGAACGAATCAAAATATATTTAAACGACTCCTTTAGGATAAAGTTTGTATTATTAGGAATAGGTCTCTTAATATATTAGTGTAAGAAATCAAAAAAAAAATCAAAAATCAAGAATAAATTACCGTACATATAAATATATAAAAGTAATATTGAACTATAAAGAGGGGGTAATTAAAATTCTATAATCAGGTAATAGATATAATAAATATTTTTTATGTTATGGTTTATAAATACACAGGATCATGTGCCATAATTATCATGCTTAAACTGAATATTTTCAAGCTACACCCTGTGTATATTTAGGAATTCATATTTTGGATATTTTACAGCCTATTCGATTTTTGTACTATATAGATTTTTTTTTCAATTGCATTTTATATAAATAGATGTAAATAACGACATTTTTTTGGAAGATTTTTTATGTGGTATGTTAGCATGTAAGAGCACAATAACACACATATCTGATATGAACACCCGAAAAATAAATAATACTGGACCGTACAATATCATTTTTGGTTTATAGGGCTCAAACGCACTGACGACCAGCTCGCAGCGACCAGCATTTGATTTAATGGTATTACTGGTTGGTATCAAAATCAAGACCAAGCTGCGACCAGTAATATCAATAAATCAAATGCTGGTCGCTGCGACCTGGTCGTCAGTGCGCTTGAGCGTTTAAGAAGCTAAGAAAATTAAAAGAAAATAAAGTCAACTACTTAATTCGTTTTGCATTTATCTCATATGTGATACAGTGATAATAGGAATATAAACATTGTAATAAGATTATTAAAGAAAATTCTTTTAGCAATAACGAGAGTTTATATAGATTTACCCAATAAAAATATTTCAAAACCATTATTGTTTTTTCTTTTGCATGTTTCTCTCGATTTCTCAAGCCGAAAAAATTCGATTTTATTTTTAAATGTTTGTAAAATGAACTTAAATCTGTTATTTGAAAAACGGGTCACCGAATTTTCGAATATAAAAATAGGTTCATTTTTATTTGACATGGATTTGGAGGAAGAATATAAAACCCCGTGTAAAATTAAAAGTTTTATTAATTTTTGCTTCATATTACATATTGATAATTACTTAATAAGCTAAAAACAGTATCCCAGTTCAGCCTAATTCATAAGTTGTACTTTTGTTTTAATAGAATTGAAAAACTGTGGAAGCCAGAGTAAAGGCAAAAAAATTATGAATTAGACTGTACGTTTTTGATTTACGGTTTTATCAACTATGAAATATTAAAAACGCTATTTAGATTGACTTGAATCGTGGAAACCCATTTTAAAACTTTGATCGCGTTCGAAACAAATTATAATAAAATAAAGAGCTTTCACTACGAGCCGAAAAACATTACTGTACTTTATATATCACATTGTTAGTTGGGATAACATTTTCTTTTTTGTTTAGTATAGCGGCCATAGAATTGAGTGTAATAACTAACACTTCAATAAATTAAAGTCTGGACTTAAAAAATAGGCACCTGTTTAAATTATATCATCTGATGTGGTGTCTCTTGTAGTGGCAAGTTCCAATTAAGTGAGAAGAATACAATTAAGTTTGAGTGTCCATTTTTATTATACCCACAGCAACTAATAATTTGATTTGCATGCCAATTAAAATTGAGAACCTGCCACTGCGAAATTTCCATATAAACAAACACAAGAGAAATAAAATACAATATCATAAATAATAAATAATACATTAAAAATAGCACAAATAAAACTATAATACAGTTTCACAAATATAGTTATAACATCTGTTAAATCTAGCATAAGAATATGGTACAGTATAACTTTTATCCAATCATCTGCAATTGTTGAAGAGCTTCATATATTCATAGCAACAAAAAAATATTTATAACTTGATTAAAAATATGATATACATCAGAAATAATACATTTCGGGAAATAACATCCACTTTTTCTATATATAAACAAGGCGAATAATCCGTGTATCTTTAGAAAAAAAGACGCTAAAAGATCCTTAGTCACAAAGAACATTGTCACATAGTTTAAAATATTCCCATAAATAAAACTTGCCAACATGTTGCCAACCTATATATATATATATATATATATATATATATATATATATATATATATATATATATATATATATATATATATATATATATATATATATATATATATATATATATATATATATATATATATTTTTAATGCATTATTTATTTTTTCTCAAATATATACAAAAGATATCCTTCCCATTTCAAACATAAATATTTTATGCCTTTAAATGAAATATCCAAAAACGAGGAAACAGTACATAGGAATAACTTATTTTGCAAGGACATAATCGATACATAGAAAATGTAAAATCTTACCAGTCAGTATCTAACAAAATTATACAAGTGAATACTTGAAACTAAACAATAACTTCCAGAAATAATTCAAAGAAAGTTACTAATTGGTTTCAAGTTAATAAAAAATAAAACGAATTTGATGTTAAAATTATTTAGCAAACTAAAGAAATGGTAACATTAATACCTAAATTCCCATTATCTGCAAAATGCTGGGCGATAGAATTATCAAATACCAAACAATCTGAACCCATTATAGCTGAGGCAACACCTTCGTGACTCGAACGCGGCATTGCTTCCCATATAAGACGTCGTCTGTTACCATTTAATTCCAATCTACAAGTAATATTCAAATATATTTTAAACATTCTAAAATAGAAATAAGTAACATGTAATACCTGTAGGCAAATCTCTCGGCTTGCTTTCTGGAGCCAATTAATTGAACAATCGCAAAAAACTGAGTGTGGCCATCAGTTTTTTCTTGTTTTTCTAAAACCAGCATGAAATGGTGCCCAAAACAGCTTTGCATCATGACCCAGTCCACTGCTCCAGCTAAATTGATTTCCGTCGCTAAAAACACAATGTCTTCTCCATTTAAGGTGGTGATATTCTTATGGGAATGTTGCAAGTGGACCATAACTTTATCTAATTGTCCCTGCCACGAACAGGAAGCTCCTGGACAGGGACAACTATAAGGGCGGTATTCACAAATTTCTTCATGCTCTGCTTTTTCATTCAGTCCTAAAGACATTCTACAGCCGGTGGACTTGTGCTTGCACGGGAACATCAAATTATTGGCTACCTTTTCCATAGCTAAGTTCCTAATATTACCCAAGGTACCCCGGCAAGTTGGACAACATGATAATTTCGGCCGGCAACTGGCACAAACTAAATGACCCACTTGACACTGCATTATAGGAGGTAGGACTATTTCGAAGCATACTGGACATTCGAATAGAGCAGCTAATTCGTCAGTTAATGCACCTGCGGCAGAGGCTAATGTGGGAAGTTGAGTGGAGTTCCCCGACGATGTATCGCCACTGGTTATTCCACGGCGCTTCTGCCCGACTACTTGGGCCATTGCAAGAGGCTCAATGATGGAATCTCTAAAACAGAATTAACTTTTAGGCATTTCTTCACAAGACACTTGTGACTACTACAAAACTTGTATTATTATGAATTCTTTATAATATACATTTGAGATTATGTTAAAGGATTTTAAAAAGCACTTTGAAAAATATAAATATTGACAAAGGTAAATGTCATGATCTTAAAAAAAATGCTTTTTGTCACATCATAATAATAGAACTCTTGGCCAATAGAGCTTAGAAAAAAATCATTTAAAAAGAGGGAATTGCGCTTTCTAATACGTTTGTCCTGTAGAATAAACTCAACTGCTTTGTTTACCTACCTTTATTTTTATTTATGTAATATTTTCGATATGCAAATTTATGAAATAAATGATGGTTATAAATCGATGTAATCAGAACGAAATTTGATTTTTCGCCTGTGGACGTTAGGTCTGTTGATCATACTGTAAAGTCTTGTACAAAAATGTTTATAAAAAATATATTTAAGGCTCTATTATCGCCTTTTTTACTAATTTGTTCACCACAAAAACTCTAGAACGTCAAATTGACAAACCTATGCGACAGAAAAGTGCATGTTTCTGGATAAACTAATGCGCATCTCTTCTAAGACGTCAAAGTCACAAGTATATCTGGTTGTCTAACAATTTATTGATTTAATATTTAAAATAAAAAATACAAATAATATTAATTCATTTTATTATTTCTACTGCCAGTAATGTAAAATATAAATAAAATTATTTTAAGAATATTTACTAAGCTTTATTTTTAAAAGAAAGACTTATAATACTCTTACTTGACATTCCATCTAAAATGCCTTTAATTTGAACTATTTTGGCAAGACTAGATATGTTATTATTAATTAAGATAAATATTTATTCGAATATAATTAAAGAAATAATGTGATTCTTAATAATTTAATAGGCTTTTCTTTGATAATAATTAGAAAAAATCAAGAGAAAAGATAATTTAACATGTAGCGCCACCTGCACAATTTCTGCTGAAACTTTATGCGCAAATTAACTTTGTTTTTTAATTAAAATAATCGTTTAGTGTCCTTATAATTCTGTTTTAGTTTATTAGTACTAATTAGTATTCTACTAAATAGCTAAGTCAAATAAAACACATTTTTATTTAAAGAAAACTTGTTTCAATCGCCAAGATGCAAAATAAGTATAAATATATGGAATTAAATATATAAAAATAATTTTATTGGAAGCCAATGTCCAACTCATCGTGTTCGTTATCTGAACCTTTTTCCTCAACAGTTAATAAAGATGTTCTTTGCTTATGATGATTTTCAATCAATTCATAAAGATCCTCAAATAGCTTTAAAGCGCATGTCAGAGTACCATCTCCCATTCTTTTAAATCCTTTTTCTAGAACAATTTATATATTAAAGATTTAACAAAAATATATTATGCCAGCAAACCTGAGGGAACAATATTATCATTAATTACAACACTTTGTTTAGATAATGCTGCTATAAATCTCTTTAACATATTTTCAAGAACTGTTTTGCCTATAGGTTGTAACCTTGATAGAAAACTAAGCAAGTATTCAATCAAATAAGATTCTTCCTAAAATTTATATCAACTAGTTATAGCAATAAGTAAATACCATGAGCTTACAAGTCCAAACTTTTGAAAGCATGTCTCTGTTTGTTTATATAAAACAACAATTTGTTCATAATGCTCTAATTTAAGCACAGGAAACTTTAATCCTTCAAACCACTCAAAAAGTAAAGCAGCTAGGATGCTTAAGTCTGTCTCAAGAGCTAATTTTAACCAACCAACTTGAGAGCAATTTATTTCATTTTCATAGGATCGCACTTTCTTTTTATAGTCGTTGTCTGACTTGCTATAATCAGTCATAAGTACGTTAACAACTTCTTGAACATCGTGTATAATCATATCTTCATTGTTATGATCTTGTGCAAAACTTTTTTGCGTTTCCAGTTCTTGAAAACAGCGATTCTCCAGTAAAAGTTCTTCGCTGATCTCATCTCCATCTAATGTACTGATATCAGAAAAGGAATCTGTTAAATCACCATTCTCTGATTTATTTGGGCTTGATGGAGACGGTGATTCACTTTGTACGTTCAGAAAAATTGCTGTAAAATATTATATCAGAATTATTATATTTGAATAATTTTATAATTTTAAATAAGACCTCTGGCGGAATGCGGCCGAACTAAATTAATATGTGTATTGCTAGTTGCATAATAAATTTTAATTTTTTTTTTTTTAATTTTGATGTTTTAAATTTAATCTAATTTATACTTACTTTCAGTATTCGGACTAGGAATACTTGCTATACTATAACTACTTTCATGCCTTTTCATGCCATTGTAAACTCTTTCGGTATAAAAATCTGTAGTAAAAGGCATATTTTTGTGTTGATAATCAGCGGCATCTGAACAAGCGCATAATTTTAAAAGTCTCTCGCAAGTAACATACACAATCTTTGGAAGATACTTAAAATTTCTTTCTTCGTAACCATGCAGCACCACTCTTTGCCTTTTTAAAAATCTGTGCAACGTAAATTCGTTCATATATTTATCCTTCGAAGCGTTTTCTCTAAAAGCAAATATATTTATGTCTGCAAGAAGGTATAATTGTATGTTTCTAAGTAGATACTTGATATAATAGCTAATGGTTTGGGGCAATATAAATTGTGCAAAGTGGCGAACACAAAGGATTTGTCCTCTGGTCTGGACTGACCCTGGTCTTTTAAACCTTACAAAGCGAATAGCTTCGTTAGCAGTAACTCTTAGAGAGAAAACCAAGTAACACGATATAAGAACACCTGTTCTACCCAATCCTATAAACAAATAATTTATTTTTAAGCAGAAATCGTACGTGTATATTTAAAATTTACCTGCATGACAGTGGATTGCTACTCTGCCTTCAGTTAAAGCAAAAGCTACCACTTTAACCATATTTAAGAGACCTTCCAGTGTTGCATCTCCATAATCTTTCCAGGCAAAATTGTAATAATATACTATAAAAAGTAAATTTAGCTTTAAATATATTTTTGGTAATTTAAAATGCCAAATGAGTTACTTTTTGTTAAACAAACAATGTACCATGTCAAACATCACCTACATTTTAAGTGTTGTAAATAAAAAATAATAACAAATCGATAAAAGCATTTGGCGTGAACTTTTTCGTAAATACCTACTATTTTGTTCCATAAATATATTAGGGTCGTATGAATAGCCAGAACTTTCCAAAGGCTGTCCACAACTGGAGTGTTCTCTCGGGCATTGTAAATTAATTATCGATTTAATACCCAAACTGAAATTAACTCATTTGAAAATGCTACTTTGTCAGAACAAAGAACTATTAATTAATTCGGTACCTTTCAAATTGTTGTATGACATTTTTTTGAATTATTACCATGGTACTAGGACGTGCCATTGCTAAAATATCATCAGTTACCCTAAAAATAATTTTACTTTATCCTTTGTTCCCATAAAAATAAGCTTTTATAAGAAAAATAGGTAAATGTAAGCAGAGAAATACTTTTTCACGACGAAGCACAAGCATATAATTTATTTAACAATAACAATTTATATCTCTTATGTTATAGTGGTATACATTGATTGATTGAAAAAACAGTTTTAGAAATAATCAATATATTGTGTGTGAGGACATTATAACACACGTACTTCTTCAATTATTAACAAAACATTTGATTGCTTTCAGTATAAACGCATCATAAATCATAATAATAAAAAAAACCTTAAATATATATTAGGGTATCAAAAACATTTCTGAACGTTTTAAGATCTGTATTGATTAAGTTTTAATAATAATTAGCTTGTAGCCATGACTATGGTCTTTGTTTGGTCCCATTCCTGAAATGCACGTATTTTATTGTATATTAATCCATCTGTGACTTAAATTAAAAATAGTACACAAATTCCACAATTTGGTTTAAATTTCAAATGTTAAAATTACTGGATAATAAATATTGCAGTAGTTAGAGGCAGCTACATATATTTAAAAGTTGAAATTATCAATTAACAAATTACACTTTCTTATAATATAAACAAATCATTAATAATGAACTTATACGACAAAACATAAATAAGATACACCCTTTCATGTTTATACTTCTTGTTTTTGATGACCTGTGAAAAAGAAATTAATTTTTGTACTTTTTTTATAAATCGGTTTATTAAAAGCTTTTTTTAGTAGATGGACTTTTCTTAGTTCTTAATTATAAGTAATATTAATTTAAATAAAACATTTCTACGAAGCCGCTCAAGTTGAACAAAATAAAAAATATGGCTCAACCAGACACTATAAGTACAAAATGACATAATAAAAGTCGTTGTTAGAGGACTGTTATCAGAAATTAATATTTTTAGAGACACAAAATAGATATTAATATAAAAAAGAGTAATATATTTGAATGAAACTGATTTAAAAATAGACTCTATGTGTGAGAAAAGCACATACACACGAAAATACGTTTTATTAATGAGGTGTTGGCATTATTTACATTGAAAAATAAAAAGTAAAAGTAATTTAACGGTCACGTAAACCCTTTTTTGCGATGATTTAACATAAATCCACCTATTTTTACTGCTGGCGATAAAAACAATCACAGCAACAAGTCGACAACTGGTCATTAAAATTTCGTTAGCTATCTAACATGTTCCCAACAAAAAAGTCTATGAAACAGAAGCACGGTTCCTACTTTATATGTAAAGCTATTCGGAGGACCTGTTGAGGTCGCGTGTAAAATGATTTAAGATTTCTTTCCGACGCTTCTTACCAATGAGAATATATTCCCTGGATAGCTAAACTGTCTGGCTTCCAATTCTCGGGGGTTTCGTATTTACAATTGACCCCCCCGCAAAAAATACTGCACTGTATCCCGTGGGGCGTAAGCCTCCTGATATGATCCGAGAGCTTGTTATAGTTGGCCTGTACCGTTTCCACATTGCTGTTGCTTTTCAAATCATTCACGTTCATGTCTTGGATTACGTATACGTAGTATACATTTGGAGGACCGTGTATGATTCTTGTTCGCAGGGAAATTTATTTAAACTACCCTTAAGGGAAACGGGCTTACACGGACGGGGAACTTTCTTTGGAGTTAGTGGCGCATGCCTATATTTATTCGATAGTTTCATTTAAAAGAACACGCTATGGAAAGTGGGAGTTTGTTTTCATTTAGAAAAAATAAAAATACGTGCGCATTGCGTCAGTTCATTTCACAAGGACGCTATAATTTCCTTTAGAACTCTATATTATGGAGCTGATTGTAATAACAGGAAACCTGAAGGGTTGCTTAACGTATTTTCAGGGCTGAAAATTATTCTCTTCAGGGCTTAAAAAGACCGCCTACGAAAAACAGAACTATTATAAATATAGCCACAAATCCGTTGATTTTTTAGGGAGATATCACAAAATCAATATAAACATTACTTATGGTATCCTAAAGCTTTTATAGGTTGTTGTATTCTAAATCTACATGAAATGTACTATAAATAGTAGAAAATTTTAGTATTAGTTAAATTATTTCTTCTACAGGGAGAGTCTATGAAACAGATAAGTGCAAATATTTTAGGGGTAGTATATTTTAACACCAGAAACACGATTATGAGGTTTTTTCGCGAATTTTTTTTCCAAAATTTGGAATTTTTTGAAAAAAAATTTAGATTTCTTTTAGTTAAATAACATAATTTCTTGATAATATGGCAACATAGGTAGTAGGTTAAATATACAAGAAAGAAAACCCAGAAAATATCCAGTGGTTCTCAAAATGTAAGCATAAAATGATTTTATTTTCAAATTTTCAAAGTAAAATAACTAGGGACTTATTTGAAAAACGGTAAAGAGAAAATATGTTTCTTTTATCGAGATCTACCAGCTCTAAAAATATTTGCACTGATTTGCAAGTCACCTTGTATAATCCATAACAAAGTGTAAACATCCACAACAAATTTTGTTAATAAGTTCACTAAAAATATCTAACTAATATCCTAACATCTAATTTTGATATTTAGATGTTAGGAAGGAAAAAAATACTCTCATATATTTTATCAAATTATATTTGGCATCACAAGAAAAACAGTCTCTAAATTTTTCTACAAATATGTAATAAAAACTAGAACTACAGTATCTATCTGAATTTAACTAAATTATATTTGTATGTTTTTATTCTAACAAAAATTTGGGTTAGATATTCAAGCCTCCCATCACAGAATTTTCTTAATTTTATGAGTTTTGTTTTAATCACAGACATCATTTTTTAAAAGAATAATACTTAAAATTAATAATTTCATTGATTCATTGAAATACAAAGTGAGTCCCAAATAAATGCAAATATTTCTAGGGGTAGCATATTTACATAATATCTCGATAATATGGCAACATAGGTTGTAGATTAAATTTAGAAGAAAGAAAATCCAGAAAAGATCCAGTGGTTCTCAAAATTTACAGAAAAAAAAAATATTTTTTTTATTTTTAAAGTAAAACAACTTGGTTATTTTGGAATTATTTGAACTGTAAAGAGAAAATATGTTTCTTTTATTGAAATCTACCAGCCCTAAAAATATTTCACTTATTTAAGGCTCGCCCTGTATATACGTATTAAGTTCGAACAAAGTTTGGCATATGTGACAAAACTCTGAAAAGTTTGTTACCAGGGCAGGCAGTTGCTGACACTTGTCGATGTCCCATAAGGCGATATTGACCATGAATTTTTTCTTCTTTGACACCACATTCAATCAAGCTTTCAAGGGCCATCAACTGTGCGGCAGAAGGATTAGTTTCTATATAAATATAAGAAAAAAAATCAGTACAATAAATTATTTGTTATTATTTTATATCATATCGTCGGCTCTTTGACGAAAAGGCGTATCTCGATTTTTGCTACTTTTCAGGAGAGCAATTTAAAGAAAATCACTTACTTTATTTTGCCTATAAATGTAAAGTCTTTAATTTTTTAATAGTGTTTTTGTATTAACACTTAAACGGATACATTGAGGAAACGTTCTGAAGATAAATTGAGCGTAAATTCTAATAAATAATTTATTTATAGTTGTTTAATTGAGATAGGGCCTTTTTGTTATAATAATAATAAATTTATTTCCGAACGAATAGTATACGTACGCCCATATAAAATAAATTTAAAAATGATGGTAAAGTGTTCTTAATAAGGAAAAAAATAATACAGTATTCACATTATGGAATACATACAAGAAAATACAATACATACATACAAGAAAAAATCTGAAAATCACCAAAAAATCAGAAACAAATATTTTTAAATACTTTTATTCACGTTGGATTAGATCAACTGAAAACAAAGACAATTTTCATTCCAGAAGCAAAGACAGTAATCAATTAAAATACTCTTATCTAGCTTATTTTAATAATATTGTTTTTTATACAAAAATACATTTTTTAACTAATATATTTTTAGTTAATTGAGGGCATTAATACAGGGCATTTAAACACACGGTCCATTTAATAAAAACGAAACTAAACAAAAACAAAACATGTTTCTTCATTCGTGCCTTTTTCATAGAAATAACTGTGGAGTAACAGTTTCTGTTTTCCCTGTTCAATGATAACAAATTCGACTTCCATTCTACGGGTTTATGCTGGATGATGATAGGCTCAATGGGCTCAATAAATAAAATTTTCCAAAAATTCCCAAAGGCATGACAGGATGAAAATTATTGTATTTTTCAGGCAAGTTTTTGGTTCGCTAAAGTGTTCTTAGGGAAATTATGATTTCGGGAAATTTTCCATTAGTTCAATTTTCGTTTTGTTGTTTTACTTTCGATCAATTTTCCTTCGACCATTTATTCTCAGACAATATTTTGCATACCCGATACAGCTATGTGCAGAGTCTAGCTCATTCAAAACAAAAAAAGCCATTGTTAGTTTTTGGCAAAAACTGACTCAAAATCACACTGTAAAAGAGAGCTGCTGCCACGATAGAAGTTTTATTTTGTCCCAAGCAACCATCAGAAAATAATTAGGTAGAATGGTGTGATTTTCTCTCGCATGCATTTTCATAACTTAAAACAAAAGGGCCTATCTGAAATTCCATCTGTCTTGTAGTATAACAATTGGTATAACAATTGATATAACAAAGAGCCTTATCTCAACATACGTCTCTTCGTCATAACGAAGAATTGTAGTATTTGAGATGGGGCAAATTTATAAACGAATATAAAATGAAAAAGGTACAATACTGAGATGCGCAAATTCGCTATATTAAAATATGACCCGTTGGGCATGTCATGACGTTGATATCTCAAAATCGCCAAAAATCGAGATACGCCTTTTCGTCAAAAAGCCGACGATATGAGATATTTACCTTGAAAATTACCCAGAAGACATATTCCGATGCTGAGGCTGTTGTATTTTACGGCATGTGCTCCAGTAAGACCCCATCCCCGACCTTCAAAAATTGTGCCATCTCCTCCAATCTAAATATATACCTGATATTAATACAATTAACTGTTACAAATAGTTTTCTTTGAAACTATTAAATCGTACAGATATCACTGTCGAGTAATGTTACTAAATGCATTTACTGATAAGTTTTTAATTCTGTTTAGAATTAATTGAGTTTTCCTAGAACCAAACCATACGATGAGTATTTTATTGTACCTATTGATAAAATGCCTGGTCAAATATTTGAATGTTATTCTTTGCGAAATAGATATCGTAGAATATTATTACAAATTATTTATCTACAGGGTGCTCCGAATTGTATTCCGGAAACTTCGGCAGCATTTTCTAAAGATAAAAATATGTAAAAAAGTTCGTATAATTGTTTTTCCTAAAATGCTTAGTTTCGGAGATACAGGGTGTAAAAGTTTTATTTTTATCTCGATTTTTTTTTAAACTATTTATGAACTAACGCCGATATTTGCATGAAAATTGGTGTCTGGGAGTTTTTTGACGAGAGAATTTGATTTTGAAGTCAATATGACTCCTACTTGTAGAGGGCGCCACCTACATATTTTTAACTGATTTGAAGAGTAATAACTTTTCATCCGTACCTGTATAAAACTACTGAGAAAAGGTCTCTTGGTAAAAGTCGCTATGAATAATATGGTTCTCGAGATATTTGGAATCGAAATTCTCAATACCTGTCATCATTGACACAAATTAAACATATGTTGACTAAATAGTTATTAGACTGAAATAATAAATTTGATATGTTTTTGTACCAATTCAACAGAAACTGTTTTATCATAATTTTTTCGAAGAAACATTTATGATTAACTTAAAAAAATAAGAAGTTTCCAAATTTATTACATATTTTTATCTGCCGAATATGATATGCCTTTAAATTTTTACGTATTATAAAAGTACACAAATATTTCTAAAAATTCTGAAATTTGGACAGAGTTGATTTTTCCAGGAGCTTTGAAAACGTGTAAAGATATAGCCAAACATTGTCTCTTTATCGCCATTTTTTGAATAGAAAACAGAGATTTGTTCAGTGTACTTACCATAAAGTTATAACCAATATCGTCCCAACCCTTCTGGTCCATGTGGTAGTTCTGGATACCGTGGAGTCTCGTCTTGCAGGCCACCTCATTGATACACTGAGGTGTATCTGAATGGTGCACCAAAACGAAGGGTGCTGGTTCCTGACGTAGCAGGGATGTACTAAGGGCAGGCCTTGCACCCCATTCTGCCCTTTTTAAAATGGCTGGGCATGTTGCAATAACTGAATTTCAGGAAAATGGGAGAAAACGATATTGTGAATATAAAACTTGTTATTAAAGAAATTTAATAATTTAGGGTGTGTTATATTATAAATATTTATTAATAAATCATACCTATGCCAATATTAAGGACACTCACTATCACAAAACTCAAGGAAGACATTTTAAAGACCTGTGACCGTCCTCCTCACAGGCAAAGATGTTTTAAACAAATTCAGTTTGTAATTCCCCACTTCGTACTGTAAAAAATAATGTATGCAAATTAATGTCTTACGATTACAATAAATAAAGGTTAATTTTGCATCAATTCGATGCGTTGTGCGATAACCCTAGCGTTTTGTTGATGACATTGGCGTACTATTTAAAAATAATATAAATAAATTAATTTTAGAAGTGTTTTCGAAGCTTTTTTCCAACTGGGAAAGTCCAGTATTTCAGATTTATTTTCAATATAAAATGAAAGCTATTGAAGCTACGCAGATATTCATTAAAATTAAAGAAATTCTATGTTTGGTATAATAGAAATTACTTTGACGAGTGTTAAGAAAGCTGAATACAAAACATGACCACTAATTATATTCAAGGTGTCCCAGAAATGCAAGTATTTTAACTGGAAGTATAGTTCAACCCCAGAAACACGCCTATGAGGTTTTTTCGCAAAAAAAATTGAAAATTCGAAATTTTTTGAAAAATTTTTTGGATTTTTTTTTTAGTTTTTAGTTAAAAAACATAATTTCTTTATAATATGGCAACATAGGTAATAGATTAAATTTACAAGAAAGAAAATCCAAAAAAGATTCACTAGTTCTCAAAATTTGAGCAAAAAATCATTTTTTTAAAGTTATTTTGGACTTATTTGAAACACGATAAAGAAAAAAATATGTTTCTTTTATCGAGATCTACCACCCCTTAAAATAATTGCACTTATTTCTGGGACACCCTGTATAGTTATTTTACTTTTAAATCATTATTACTATCATAGAGCCTACAAAAACTTTTGAATTCTTCATATTTCTTAAAGGTGAAAAGTGGTAAGTAAAATGAACTATTTCCTACTATTCTATAATAAGAATTTGTATGTACATTTATATTCTAGGCAAAATAAAAAAAATTACCAGTAATTTTATTGTTTATTTAAAACAAACAATATTAACAGACAAAATCAATAGGAAGCCATTTAAAATTTAAAGGTGTAATTTTGTAATTTATATTGATTTTGTTTTTGATACAAAGACCGATATGTAGCTATTATTGCCTTCTAACAAATTAATAGCATATCCTTAATTTTTTTATTAAGCTTAGAGCCTTAGAGCTTGGCAAAACTTTATTCAGAACAGAAATAAAATTAATTATTACTCGTCTATAATAATTCTAAAATACTGACACTTTTTTTTTGAACAGGGGTTGCCGAATTGATTATATTTTGTAATTGTAAGATTCGAAGTTAAAAAAAAAAATAAAAATTATGAATAGAATACAAACAGTAATTTTACTGTTGACACTTCCCTAGGTTTTTTATTGTGGAGTAAAATTAGAAACAGGAATTTGTGATTAATGAATTTTTCCTTTAATGTATTTTAGATGCTCTAGATAAATGGTTGGAGCATATAATCTGTGAACGGCAATCTATGAAATTATTCAACTATGTCAGCATGATAAGTAGCTATTTATCCCTCCTACTACTACTGGAAACCTACTAACTAACTTAAGGGTTAATTTTACGTTTTCCATATCTTCCAGTTCGATTTTTTAAATAGATTTGTATTTTAAAAAGTAAAACATACAAGCAAACACAATAATTTTAAACATTTACTTTCAAATATTTTAAAGTAATATCTCTTCTATATGAATTAGAAAAAAGTGAAATATTTGGGGACAAAGTTCTCACATACCTTGAAGAAACATTTCCTGAGTCTGCATTCCACCGTGAAAGATTTCAGACTTAATACAAATGGAATTTTCTGTAAAAATGAGATATATTTTGAAGAAAAGGATCTAGTAAAGGTCAAAGGTTCGTAGACCTTACAATTTTAATAACTACCATAATTTATTTTAAATAATTATTAGTTTCAGTTCTACTGTGTTTTTCTCATTTATCTCGAAAAATAATTTTGGCACTTACCCCCTTTGGTATTTCCACTCTTCAGTTATAAACAGCTACAGATCATTATACAGGGTGAATCTTAAATAAGTGGAAATATTTTCAAAGCTGGTAGATCTCCATAAACGAAACATATTTTCTCTTTACCGTTTTTCAAATCAGTCCAAAAAGAAATTTCAAAAAAGTCCAAAATAACTGTGATATTTTACTTTGAAAATTAAAAACCAAAAAAATGATTTTTCGCTTAAATTTTAATTTTTTTTAAAGATATTACGTTTTTCAAATAAAAATTATTTTTTTTAAAAAACCCCGAATTTCAATTTTTTTTCGCGAAAAAAACCTCACAGACATGTTTCTGGGGTGGAAATATAATATCCCTAAAATATTTGGAGTTATTTAAGACTCGCCCTGTATAATATCAATATGGTAAATTTTACAGTACTTTATATACATAATGAGTTGAAATTTATTTATTTAATAATTGTATGAAGTATTTTAACACCTCGAGTTCTCTTAGATTCAGGTTGTAATACATTCACTTGATTGTACTCTTTGTTTTCTCAAATTTTGTTACTTAATACTGTATTGTTCAATACTATTAAATAATTATATTAAGTTTTAAATAATAATAGTAATAATAAATACCAAGAAAATCCCAGGAATATGGATTTATAAGACAATAACGATAAAAATTCTTTCCAGTATTTTCAATAATTGTTATTTTGTCGTAGAGTATATGGCGACCTTTAGATATTTTTCTATAGTTTATTGTGCAATTTTCAGCAATCTGGTCTGTCCTAGATCTAAACCTTAACTAGATTATATTGCATAAGTCGTTTTACGAATAATTGCTACGTTCTATAGCCCACATGTAAATATTTCATTAACCAAAAAAAAATTTTTTTCTTATGTGAACTTAGTGATTAGGAATTATATTTTTTATGGACTTAGGAAGTCTTATTTGTTTGAAGAAAAACCCTTTTATCTAACTTGTGTTAGTTTGTGTATATAATTTAACGTTTTTGTGCTAGAACTGGCCAAGCGATTTTAGGAAAAAATTCGTTGATTTATTATTAAAGCAAGACCGGGCAAATATGCATGTTTATTATGACATAATTTTTAGTGAGCGAAAGTAGCTAGCTAAAGTGGTGCCCAGCTTCTGATTTCAAATCTACCGAGTACTTTACTTCTCGTGATTGAACGGTTCGGTACTGTTATTTTTGCTCTAGATAATATTTTCGATATTGTTGCGATGATTTTGAAACTCCTGTGTCTCACACTCGCTGGGTTCGTCAGTAGCATCACTATCGTAAGTTTAAACTATTCCACTGAAACGTTTTTAAAATGAAACACCTTTTCCAGAATGCTGGATACTATGACTATTACACCCCAAACGCGGAACATCAAAATTTGGTAGCCCAGCCCATACCAAAATCCGTCGAAAAAGAACAGAAGCAAGATTTTTCTAAAATTCCTGGAAGACCTGGAGTGGATTATCCCCTTTACCATTCTGTGCCAGAAACTAGGTTCTCGTGCCATAATGTTCCAGCCTTGCCAGGAATGTACGCTAATATAGAAACAGGATGCCAGGTAAATACTTTATTTTATTTAAAAAACACTAAATAACATATTATTATATATCTTTTTTTATTATCAGGCTTATCACATTTGTCATGATGGTAGGGAAGGTGAACAAGGTTCTTCGTTTCTATGTACCAACGGTACATTATTCAACCAAAAAGAATTTGCTTGCGATTGGTGGTACAATGTGGACTGCCACGCTGCTCAGAGCCTTTACAAACTGAATCTGGACCCGAAAAAGAATCCTTACTTCCAGAAACCGAAGGTAGAACACCAAGAACCCGAAGATCCAGAGCAAGGGGTCTTTATTATTAAGTATTAAAACTCTAAACAGTATTTGCTCAGGTATTTTTGTAAATATTTCGAAAAAATTGTCACAGAAAATTCATAATGTGCTTTCTCTTTTTCGTTTTTTTTAAACAAAACTTTTACTTTAATTAGATATTAAGACGGAAGTATGTAATAGGTTATTTTGTTAATTAAAATACTAGATTTTTTTGTGTAAATATTTAATATTCTTTGTACGTTTTCGAATAAACAAGTTATTATAAAAAAAATCGTTGGATTATTTCTGTAGGATACACCACGTCGCCGAATTTTGCCGGGGGAAGTACGATTGCTTGAAATCAAATTAAGTTCGTTATCTGTCATCAATTGACCTCCTCTCTGGACTTATCGATTGACCAGTAACAGCTAGAATATCAGGAATCCGCTTTAATATTTCGCAGTATTGCCTGTAAATATTTCGCAATAAAAAGTAATCTATTAAACGATTTTTTTTGTGATATTCATACCTTTCATTTAACATTGACGGTACTTCTGGAAGGGAGTACCTTTCCCTGGGTCTAGACAAATGGTATCTGCTTGTACTAGTTTTAGTTTGTTTAGGGATTATTGTTGTAGGCGCCATGGACAAATCTAAAGACTCCCTCTTAAAAAAGATCATTTTTAGAATACTAGAACACATACTCAAAGATATACACGGTGTGTCTAATAACAGTCAATAAGTGCAAATATTATGTTTGTTTCGCAAAAAAATTGAAAATTTGGAAGTTTTTGAAAAACATAGGTAGTAAATTAAATTTACAAGAAAGAAAACCCAGAAAAGATCCCAGTGGTTCTCAAAATTTAAATAAAAAATTATTTTTTTTTTGGAAATTTTGAAAGTAAATAACTCCGTTATTTTGGACTTATTTGAAAAACGGTAAAGAAAAAAGCTGTTTCTTTCATCGAGATCTACCAGCCCTGAAAATAGTTGCACTTATTTAAAACTCACCCTGTATATAGGCCTTAAGTCAACCATAAAGAAATATTTATCAGAAACCATAGATCAAAAATAGTAATTTTAAACTTACTGTAGTTAGAATTTTATTTTTTTAGAAATGGTTACCAAAAAAATAAAAATATTAGCCAAAAATAGGTTATTCTGATTAATAAATTGTTAGTGTATGGAAATTAATAATATTCTAATTCAGAATTGAATACTTGTTATCAAATTTTTACCGCAAACTAAAAAAATACCGGCTCAAATTTAGATACTGTCTAAAACTTCATAGAATTTTCTATAATTGTTGAACTTTAAAGAAATTTCAGACCTTTATTAATATTTTTTTGAAGCTAAATAGATACTTATTGTACTGTTTTGCCAGCTTTAAGACATAATTCCCGGTAATATCGAGACTCTCCTGAGTTTTTCTTTAAAACTACTAACATTCCAGCTCAAACTAAGAAATATTCTTATGCGACGACAAGAATAAGTTTCATTTATTTAAAAAATTTATTTAAACCAAACCAAACTCGTATTTTATAGCCAGGCTATAGAAATTCTTACTTCTTTATAAATTTAAAACTAGTAATATTCTTTCTCCGAATTAAACATTTTATAAATATATATAAAATTACATAACTGCTATTCTTTATGGTTAATTTTAACCATTTTTTGGGTACCTCAAAAATTTGAATAATAAAACACAATATAAATATAAATATTGTTTTTAATCGATACCTTTTTCCTTCTAGACCTTGCTGTGTGAATATTCGGTAAATTTTCATTCACTGAATCCCTCCCTGTAATTTAAAAACAAATTAGTACAGCTCAAAATATCCAGAATAAAAATACTTCTAAATTTCCGTTCTAAATCCTGTAGTTGTCGCATACTAGGAAAACTCCTTTCTTGAATATTTTCTTCTCCTAGGCCTGAATCTGAATAATGTCGAGTGCCTGTTGAATATTTATGTTTAATATTAGGAAATTTAAGCCTCATTTCAACGTCAGGTGCTGTTTGGCCGTATGTATTTGAGCCACTTATCGTCACCGACCATTTTGCTGAAATACAAAAAAAAATCAGTTTTATATCAGGATAATAAAAGGTCAGACATACTTACCAGAACTTTTATCTTGATAATCTTCATGTTTTGTTTTCGGTTTCCTTTGGTGGTTCCCAAACTTCTTAAAAGAATCGCCGTTCATCATATCGGAGTCCAAAGTTTTGTCGTCTTCACTTGAACAAACTGAGAAATCTTTGCTTTCAGTCTTAATAATGTCTCTAGGCAAGTTACTTTTAGTAGGATGGCTTGAGCGTGCTTCCTTATTTTTCACTAACTTAACGTCCTTTTCGTCTGCATTTATACCGAGTAATTTCTTGCCTAAATAAAATCATCTATATGTTGCGAAAAAAACATAACAATAATATGCTTAGGGTGCGGGCTATAACGGATTCCTTAAAGGTGCTGTTTTACTATAATTTTTGATAATTTTTAGAAATGTTTATACCTTCGTCAGAGGTGCTATCTGGGGTTCCCATGTCCTTGTGCACGTTGTAAAAAGTCACCCATCCATGGGGAATAGACGACAAGCATTTTCTACCCATGGGTCTCAGAGGTATTTTATTTTTATTGCTATCTCTCGATGTATTAACGTTATTATTATTATTGCTGGCATTTTTTTCAGAAGGTTTTTTTTGAGCAGCGGGCGTTTCTTCAGCAACTGCTTGTATCTGAGCCGAAGCTTTCGAAGTTTCTTGTATCAAGCCCTGATTTTTTGGAGTAAAATTAGCATTTCTCTTGTCAGTCTCCTTCACTGAAGAATCTACGTCATGATTCAAGGAGTCTATTAGAATATTTGCTATCAATTGGTCAAACTTAGGGTCAGGAGCTTGATTTTCAAAATCCAAATACACGGGCTTGATAAAATGAGGTTTCTTCGAGGCACACTCGCTTACAGGTACAGGTATTTTTGATTTTTGAATTCGGTCAGGCATGGATATGCATTCCACTATTTCCAGTATTTCTATTTTCTTACCAGAATTTTCATACGACTGCTTTTCGTATATCTTTCTGGTGTCCGAGGACCAGTCAGTTTTTTTGCTTTGATCGTACAGAACAGAATGTTTCTGACTGGTCGAATCTGTCCCATTTAAGGCACTGGTGTGTCTCTGTCTATTAAAGGCATCTTTAGGACTTCCTCTGTGTTTCTTCTCTTTGGAAGGATTTTTTAATGATTCTATGCTAGGAAGAACTGGTTTGATTCGTTTTTTTGGCTTGTAATTTTGTACAGTTATAGAATTTTTAATTTCGCTAATACTGTCGAAAGTCCTGAAGGCGCTTCTGAGTTGTCTGGATTTTTCTTCTCTTTTATGTTGTCTCTCGTTCAATTTTTCTCTTACCTTGACAGGTAGGAGTTCAGAAACAGACTTAACTTCTTTCCTGTCTACCTCTATAGGAATATAAAAAGTGGAAGACTTCTTAGGCGAGGCATTAATTCTTCCTTCAGGTAAAAGGTTTGTTATATCCGCAGTAGTGTGTTTGTTCTTGTTTTTAAGCCTGGGGGAATTAAAATCTTCTAAACTGTCAGCGAAGCTGGCAGAATCTGATTCTTCTCTATCCATTTCGCTGGTGTTTACTTCCATGGAAGATGTTCTAGGCACAGCAGAAAACCTTGGTACCGTTGTAGACGCTTTTTCTGCGCTTTTTTCATAAGAACTTCCGCTCCTAACATTACTAATAATAAACTTTTCTATTCTAGCCTTGTCAGATGACAGATCAGACATTTGGGAGTTGTTATTTAGAAAGAAGCTAGGTGTTTCTTGAACTGTTATTTCGTTTTTATCATCTCGAGTAACCGTAGCAGAACTAATACTGATTTCTCCCGGCGTCAACTGACTCACATCCTTCATAACTTGTTTAAATATAACATCCAGAGTTGCTTGGCTGAGGCTGACGTTCGAAATAACATTTAAATTAGCCACATCCTTTGTCTGAACTGCTGATTCTTGTAAAGATGTACTAGAAAGTCTACTAGAAACGTCTACACGATTGCAGTTCTCATCTTCTGCATTTTTTCTTGCTGTGCTAGACACAAAACTTAAGTTCGAAACACTGTTCGTGTAAGCTGAATCGGAGCTTGTATCAGAATATGATGCAAAACTGGAGTATTTAGTAGTACTGTCCTTAGATAAAGCTGTTTTGGACATAGTGGTTCTTCTTTTAGGGGAGACCAAGAGTAATTTTTCATCGTTGTTGTGAACTGAAGAAGGTTTAGTTGTATTTGAAAGAGGTTTTCTCCTTGGCAAGTGTTCAGGACTGGAGTGGGTGGAACTAAGAGATTGAGTAGAAGAAAGTTTCCTAGAAGAATGCTGCCATTCTTGAAAGCTCCCTGATAGTTTCTGTTTACTGTTATTGCCCCACAAACGTCTTAATAAGGTGGATTTTCGAATAAGATTACTGCCAATTTTTCTATCTAAGTTTGGATCACTAGAATACTCGAATTCCTTTCCCCACTGGAAGTTTCTAGACTCTTGAGATGTTAGTTTTTCCTGAGCTAACATATGCCTGGAAAAGCAAAATTTATATCACATAAAATATATAATTTTTTAACGTACTTTCTCATTATGGTTTCAGGTACACTTAATCTCCTACGTTGTAGTACAGGAAAAAATGATTCTTTTGATGCCTTTTTTGCACTATTGATCTCCATATCAGTTTTGATATAAGTCTGTCTAAAATTTTTAAAAAATTGCCTTAAAAAATTAAACCATATTTAATATTTCTTAAAATTCTTCTAAAAATATTTAAAATATGTGCTAAAAATAAATGTTTATTTTTAAAATATTTTTTTTCATTTCTTTAAAGGAACACAAAAGAATATTTAAAATTAAACATTTAAGGAAAACGTTTTTTTTTATATTCTAACAAGCAATCAGATACAAATAAATTTTGTTTAAATATTCTTAGCTTGGCTTTAACTTATTTAAAAACATTATTACCAAATAAAAGATAATAAAATTACTTACGTTTTATTTTGGTCCATCCAGGCGCACTGAATTGTGGATAAAATTTCTTCTATCGTAAGAGACTTTCTTCTTTTAAAATGACTAAACAAACCTGGAGAAAAAATCGTTGAAACAGGCGAAAATAATATTTGCGTCTCAAGGCACTAGGATCGAATCAAAACGAAAAGGTTTCGTGTATAAAAATGAACTGTAAAGGGTCGATATTTTTGCTTAGGACAAGCTATTCTATAACCTTTTGGCCAGTGGTAGAGCAGTAAATGCGAACAATTAAACAGGGAACGCGAATAAAAAAAAAACGATAAATTTTAAAAACTCGATTTAGCAAATTTGTTGGTGCACGCGCCAATGATTGTTGCGAAAATTATTTGCTGAATATTCCAAGGATATAAAAAGCATTTTATGGCATATTATTTGTATTAGTCGGTTAATAGAACTTACATGCATTTAGTAGTAATAGAAAATTTAAAGATTAATAGAACTACAACTAGCGATACTTGCATTATTAAGATGCGTCATTTTAATTATGAGCTAAATAAGGAACAATGTATGGTATTTTTGCTCTAAGCACGTCAATGGAGTTTTCTGGACACGACAATGTTTTTCCTCAACTTGCGACTCGAAACATTTCGATTTTGTTGTTGGCAGAAAAAAATTTAGCCTATCGCTCCTTATATCTATTCAGTCCGAAATATTTCACGAACACATCGATTTTTTAAAAACAACCGTGTAATCCGTGTTGTAAATCTTAGATAACCTTTGCGATAAGAGAAGGAAAATCCATTGAACGTGTAATACAAACAAAATAAACAAATCAAATATAAAATTACAGCTATTATGTATTCGGCTACCTACCTGGAATGGATTGGAGAAAATAACTGGACGATTTTCTTCGGAAAAAACCACTTAATCGGACCCTGGAATGGGATGGAGTGGATTGAGGGAAATTAAGGCGACTAGCTGGCGCCAAACCACGCGTTTCTGACGATAAACAGCGTAGGGTAAATCCAGGCGATAAACAAAAATCACATAAAGGTTCTTCCTCGCAACCCTACAATTATACGACATTTCAGTTTATTATTTTACTAATTTACTAAATTTCATAAACACTTTTAAGCTACCTGAGAAGCGCGATCGCTTTTCATTTTCGGTTAAAATATTCAGAGCTCACTTAAAATGCATTTTCTCTTAAATGTTTTCGTAAATAACCCTTCTCTTAGCATATATAAACCTATAACATGCTCTAAAATTTACCTACCAATATAGCTCTATAGTATCATTCTGTGCGCGACCCAAATTTTTCCTTATTTTCCTTGAAATAAAATCAATAAAGGTATTAACAGCATTCACCAATAAACACAACAATTCTCCCACATAAATCTCGTAATTAATCAAAGAGCACTTTAAATTATGCACTGATTATTTCTTTAAAATCATAGATACTAATTTATTTAAATTAAAACATACTATTTAATTTCCCGCCGCGATAAACCGACCATAGAATATTTAATACTCAACGCATCATTCCTAGATCATATACAATTTCGTATATGATCTAAGGTACTATCGAATTCGCTACAACATCTCCTCCCTACCTTTGAAATATTTTGACGTTTAACTTTAGCCTCACTTTTTCCCATCAAAAATTGATTTGTTTATTTATGATTTTTTATTATTATGGCTAAATCTGAAGATGATTTTTGGAATACCAGTAGCCACTCAGGGTTTAACTTTGATGAGGACGAAGTCTGTCATTTTATGGTCTTTCTCTAACTAATTTACTACTGATTTAATTCATTTTAGGACACTGAAGAACAGGCTAATGATAATGTTTTGTTTCATTCGTTAGAAGAAAACGTAGATCTTCCTATACATTTACTTATTTCGAAGCACGGTTTAGATATTCGTAAGCAGTAATCTACTATTTTATTATAATGAATCATAATTGTGAATTATTTCTAGTTCTTGAGAATGTTAGGTCCACACTACCAACTATTGTACCACCAATTGAAGAGACTATTAAAAAGATGGTCCATGGACATAAATATAACTTACATTGTTATGTAAAATTTCAGGACAAAATGAATCTTTTGGATCAAGCTTTACAGACGTATGATGCAAATGTTATATTAAAGGTAAAAGAAAAAGAAAATATACACCTACAGATTTATTTGTGTTGCATTTAAAAAAATATGTTTTAGGTTATTACTTATATCAAAACTACCTTAAAGAAAAATATATTTTTTCATCAAATATCTAAAAGAAAGGTTGCAGTTAAACACTATGCTTATCACTTAATAACAAAAAATCTCTTAGAGGAGCTTGCAGATTTTTACATGTAAGTTTGTCACTAGATATTGACTTATTAAACAACTAAGTATTTTTTAGGGCTACAGGAAACTCAAATTTATTGGTATGTTTTATTAGTTTGTATTCACTAAAGTAAGTTTTAACATTTGCGTATGTATTTTATTAGACACAAATTTTCTACTTAACTGCCCATGGAATGGTAGTAAACAAGACCTACTTGCACAAGAAGTTACAATGTAATTTAGAACATTTGCTAGAAATAAATCCTAAATCTAAGTCAGAAATATCTGATAATCTTCAGTTAATAAGTAAGTAAAACTAAAGTATTTTGTAATAGAAGTGTAGTAGTCGGTATATTTTAGATTACCAACTTGAAAAGAATTTTAAATCTACTTCTGTGATAAACCAGTTGGTAGAACTATGTAAGGCACAGCCATCAACAGCTAAAGGGATGGAGGATATATTAGAATTTAAGAAATATTTTAGGATAGATGACTTTACTTTTGACTGGACAATAACCAATGTATTTTGTACTATGAAGTTATGGAGTAATCTGAAGGATTATTTTATTAAAAGTGTAAGCTGGTTATAATATTTTAACTTTCAAATACTATTTTAAAAAGTATTTTGCAGAATTGGCTGACAAAGAAAAATTCTCTAAAAACATCAATAAGTGCAGAAGCTTTTTTAGAGTTATTACATAAACATGATGCACCAAAGGAAGTGCTAGAACAAGTGTTAGGGTGCTTCTCTGACAGCGAAAGGGCCCTATATTTTGCTAATTTATATAAATGCCATACTTTTATTATCCAGTATTATGTTCAACAAAAAGATAGGCAAGCTTTGATTCACTATAGAGAAAAGATTGTCCCATATACACCTGAATATTATCTTATAGATATTTCTTTGCAAACTATGGTAGGTTTTATGTTGTTTCTCCAGCACCTACAACTATAAATAATTTGTTTGTTATTTTAGGAAGGGAAAAAACGAAACTAGAAGTTATATTGCTGTTTAGACTGTTGTTATATATATTTTTTTATGTATTTATTGTACTGTAAGGAAATAAAGCACTTTATTAAATAAATTAACATTTTTTATTAATAAGAATAATACTGATACATTTTTCATGCCATCATTGTAAAAAATATATATATTTTTTAACATACTAATCAATTTTTAACAAAGAGTTGTCAATAAATTAAGTTTAAATTTTCAATTACACAAAAAACTCTAAATTCAATCAAAATGAAATACCTATCTCACTTTTAATAATTACCTAACTTTTCTTAGCTATATTGAAAAAATAATTTAAGCTTAGGAACTTACACTTTAAATGTATAGGAATAAAATATAAAATTGTTATGTACATATTTTTATCAGAGAATGGATCACATACATGGCGTCTTTACTGGTCATCTTTTAATTAATTTATTTATATTCTTTATTAAACACGCATATACAGAATATCTGTTTGACGAGGAACATATAAAATAACACTTTATATTACCGCTACGTTAATAGAAAATAAATGTCTTTAAATACAAATTCTTCTGAAATAACCTGTGATATAACGGATCAAAGTAATACTGTAGTGTAGATTGTGGAGAGCTCAAAAAATACATATAAATTTTTAATGCCACAAACTAATTTGTTTACTGACCATTGTTTACATAAGTATAATTGCCTTGAAATTAAAAATATATATAAAAAAATACTCGATAATACTTTTGTAAAGTTAAAAGTTTTCAAAGGTAGAATATTGCACTAATATGCACCACTAGGAGCAACGCTAAGGTGTTTCTCTGTCTGCAGACTCAGAACGACCATTTGAGGGATGGTTTCTTTTTGGTGGGGGTAGCAAAGGAAACAATCTCCTCTCAGAAGGCCAAAAAACTGGTCGCTCCACCTCGTCGCACATGGTACTAACCGGAGGAACGCTCATCGAAGGGACAAACTGTTCAGGAGTCCAGTCAAAGGAAAACGCACCACCAGATTGAGTACTTGGAGTGGCCGTCGGTGTAGGTGGTGTGCTCCCAACGTAAGGACTCAGTTCCTGATGACACAAGTCCGGTACTTTCTGCAAAGTATCCGACCAAGGAGGACTAGGGTTCCACTGATCCATCAGCTCTTGAGGATCAACCTTAAGCAGTGTCCTGGGTCTTTCAGAAAGATGTGAGATCACTAGTAGTCCATCTCCTCCGCCACCAGCATCGGTTTCAGTAGCCTCTACGTGCAATTCTATGGTTCTGAGATCTTTGGGTTTTCTTTTACCATAGCTGTAATCCACGGGCTCGGAATCAGCACGCCTGTGATGGTGGTGATGATGGTGTTGATTGTGATGTGCGTGAGTAGCTGCAGCGTGATGCGTGAGTTGTGGTTGTAAAGCTACAGGCATCGTAGCGATGTGAGGGTACGGAGCGGCTTCGTGGGCCGTACCAAAATCCACTGTACCATGCCCAGCTCTTTCAGAATAGTAAAGAAGTCTAGAAGGATGACCTGAATCGTACGCTAGTCCATACTGTAACTTATTTTGGACGGAATAGTAATGGTAAAGCCACCCGTTTGTTCTCATAACAGCGGCTTCAGATTCCATGAGGACTTGATTTGTACAGACAATCACAGGCTGTTGATTGCTCTCGGAGCTTTCTTTAACTTGTAGCACGCAGTGCATCCAGAGCCATTCGCCAGAACGCCTTTGCATTTGAACTAGGAGTATACAGGATCTCTCTTGCTCGGATTGAGTTACTGGAAAACAAAATAATATCATAGTCTCATGGAGTTTTATGAAATAAACCATTCTTACTCAGTCTATGTTTAGTTTGGGCTTCTCTAATGCTGTCCCAGTGAAGCAATCGATACCATGACACTCCTTGGAGCTCAGCACGTGGAAATCCTAAGTAAAATTCTCCGCTAGACAAAAAAAATAATTGTTTAGCAATTTGTACATCGTCATATCAGAAGTAGATGAGAAAATGGCGAATGCGCCAGAATTTAACTTATTTATTTTAGAATTATTTCTTAATTTTAAACGAAAATTATTATTAGTCACCTTCACCATTTTGTCGGGCATATAAACTAAGTTCTAATCTTGTTCTAATATGATTACACAATTTAGAACAGAAACAAGCTTATTTTTTTGACATTTCTAGTAGGAATTCTTAATGTAAAAGTGTTTTTTTTTCTGTAACTGATCGGCAGAGTGTATATTTTAAGTCTTATCAAGCGATACGGATAAGCAGGGGCAGTGGTAGCGTTCGTATCTTAAGAGTTGTTGTAAAAACTAGCTGTTTATTCTTGTCGGATGTCCGGGCCAGCGATGTTAAGAGCGTACGTCGCGGGTGTCCACCGCTGGTTCTGGTACCACCACCACGGCACTGTCCGCAGCATCGGCGGCATGTGCTGTATGCCCTGGCTTACGGCTTTGTGTGCCAGCAATATAAATCAACGTCATTCGTGAGGCCGGGGCGGTCCCCCTGGGTCAGCGGGTCGCGGGATACCTGGTGACATCCAGCGCATTAAATCACTGGAGGACTGCAACTCCTGCTCATCCCCGATGAATGGCCGATCCGTCGATTTACCTCAAATTTTTGATTGAGAGAGAGAGATTGAGATCAGAATTTTGATTTTGATGAGATAAATTTACTCAAACAAAGGTTGTATGTAGTAAAAGTTTCTGTTGAAAGCAATTTAAAAGACCAAAAAGTTATAATACGTTCTCATCGTTAGTTCTCTGGGTCTTATGATTTATTATATAATTTTTTTCATTTTTCATCAGAATCATAAAAGAGCGGGAGGTTAAGATATCTCATCTGGAGGTAAATTGTATTAAATTTTATTTTAGTGAGGTAAAATACTTATTTTACCTCATGGCTCCAGTATTATTATATTATTCCTGGTGAAAATCGAAAAATATTCGTTTTATATTATTCATAAAAGAGCCACGAGGTAAAATATAATATAGGATGGTCCAAATTGTATTTTGGAAACTTCGGCTGTATATTCTGCAGATAAAAATAAGTAAAAAAGTTCGTATAAATGTATGTTCTAAAATGCCTTGTTTCGGAGATACAGAAGTTTCATTTTTATCTCGGTTTTTTCCAAATAATTTCTGAACTATAGTCGATATTTGGATAAAAATTGGTATCTGGGCGTTTTTTGACATGAGAAATTTGATTTCGATGACTCTTAAGGTACATTCAGGCTGAGAGCGTCGAGTGTCGCGTCGCGTTTGCGTCGCGTCCGTCCCATTGAACTCGAGCTCCGACGCTCAGCGGACACGTGGTCGCGACGCAAACGCGACGCTCGACGCTCTCAGCCTGAATGTACCTTTACTTGTAGGAGGCGCTACCTACATCTGTTTTAACTGTTTTGAATAGTAATAAATTTTCTTTCGTGCCTGAGTAAAAAATATACATTTCCGTCATTTTTTACGTAAAAAATGTCTCTTCTTATATTTTTAAATTCTTCTTATTTTTTTTAAATTAATAATACATTTTTATTGAAAAAAATTATGATAAAACAGTTTCTGTTAACCTTTTGATTTGGCAACACATTTCAAATTTATTATTTCAATCTAATAACTATTTAGTAAACTAAATTTAATTTATGTCAATAATTGTACTGATAATTTCGATTTCAAATATCTGGAGAATTACTCGTAGCGATTTTTACCAAGAGACCTTTCTTATGTAAAAAATGACGTATAATGAATTCTACACCCTGTATCTCCAAAATTAAGCATTTTACGATATACTCTTTTACTTATTTTTGTCTGCAGAATATGCTGCCGAAGTTTCCCGAATACAATTCGGACTACCCTGTATATCCTAAATATATTATTTTTATTAATATAAATTAAAAAAAGAGAAAGCTGAGTACTATAATGGTATTAAAGGTATTAATAAAATACTTACTTGTTGTCTATATGAATGAACTTCATATCCATTGAATGGATTGATGTGAATACATTTGTCGCACCTTGGACAACACATTCTCGAGTTTCAGGCATGGCCACAGGTGTGCAGGTGGCCAAAAACACCGGCTCATTTCGACTGCACAGCGGTAGAAATGACAAATAACGTCCTTGTACAAGTACGACCTAAAACAAAATTTATTCCCTAAGTTTATTATTAAAAATATTTTATAAAACAGTTTTATAGACCAGGAACAAACAATAAATAAAATATATTTAGCATTTTATAATTGCTCATAAAAAAATCGGGAGTGCCACTGTTTTTTTTTATTTCCGCATTATTATTCTTTTTTTTTCTACCTTTATGTACCTATTTTTTTAACTTGATTTAATAAAATCTCATTGTAAAAATCATTACAACAAAAATGACAGCCTTTACGTGGATTCAACGTCAAAATGCCGCTCTGTACGGAAAAGAAACTGAGATGGAAGCAAAAAAAAGACATCATTGTTTCTCGTATGGCATTTTAAGATTACGTAAATTGTTTCTATAGTATCTAGTATCGACACAGCAGCAAATGCAAAAAGCAGGATACCCTAATACGTGATTCATAATAAATATACGGTTTATAGAGAGGCAAAAATATATTTGCCTGTTTTGAAACCACTATTTTTAACTAATCAGAAAGGGTAGTTTACGAAAATACGGGGCACGTTTTAAATTTTAAACTCAAGAGTACCGTGTTAGTTGCAGTCGATATTTTTTCCATCTCGAAAAAGCATAGGCCCGAAAAATCGATTTTATCAAAAAACTAAAGCATTTGAATCTCTTTATGTTTATATGTTCTAAAAATATATAAAATTTACTACAAACCCTGAAATTTTCAAAGATTTAGGTATACATTTTCTACTTTTCTAAGAGCTTTGAAAACGTGTTAAAAATAGTCAATTTTTCACATACATTTAATATACATATACTGTAGTGTAGATTGTGCCTATATATATACTCATGTACGAAATTCGCTATTTCGGTCAAGCCAAGAATTTTAGAAAAACTACTTATTTACTGACCGAAAAGCGTAGAACACGAAAATATAAGCCGATGTAATCTTGCGAGTATTGTTTTTACTGTAGGCTTAGTTTTATTCATTACCAAAATTAACTCAAAAACAAGGGTTCAAAAAATCTCATTTCTTACCAAAACTAAAGCACTTAAACCCTTAAAGGTTTATATGGTATAAAAATACATAAAATTCTCTAAATTAGTAGATCTGTAATTAATTTTTTAGTTAAATATATGATTTTAAATTTCGAACTGCTAAAACTCGTCCATGCGACTGTTGATGTCTCCTGGGGTTACTATTGGACATTACCTACTTAAAATATATTAACCTACGCGTAATAAAAAACCTACGCATAATATTAACCTACGCGTAATAAATTCAAATAGTACATCTTATAGAACTTTTGGGGTGCTATTCAGAACTCTAACCAGAACTGTTTTTCAACATTGCATTTCCTTCGTAAAGTCGATTTTTATGTCTATCTATAGAGTCGTGCATCAATGAAATTTTTAATTATTGGTATTTTTAAAAATTAAAATAGTACATCTTATAGAACTTTTGGGGTGCTATTCAGAACTCTAACCAGAACTGTTTTTCAACATTGCATTTCCTTCGTAAAGTCGATTTTTATGTCTATCTATAGAGTCGTGCATCAATGAAATTTTTAATTATTGGTATTTTTTAAAAATCAAATAGTACATCTTATAGAACTTTTGGGGTGCTATTCAGAACTCTATTCAGAACTATTTTTTAAATCATTTTTTACCTAGAAAATCGATTTAAACTGCGCAGGCTGCCGTTTTATTTTTGTTCATAACTTGGTTAATACAATAGAACTCTTTTGATCAATAGTCAGGAACTATAGAACTCTTGTTCTAGAATATATTTCCACTATCAGAACTGTTCCAGAATAAAAAAAGGGTGCTACGTGAAGTTGGCACCCCCATGTCATATCTCCCGAACTATTTTTCTAACTTATCAAGAACTATAGAACTATTGTAAATCTATCCAGAACTCTCAAATTCCAGTTCATTTTTTGAAAAAAGGGTGCCAACTTCACACGAGTTATAAATTTGTTGTATTTTAATGTTTCTGAATAAATTTTGACATAATTTCCTTTTAAAATAAGTTTGGTTTAAAGGTTTAAAATGTTTATATAAAGTATGAAATTAGAAATCAAAAACCTCTTATAACGGTCTAAACACAAAAGTGCTGATATAACATTATTTTTCAGTACTTTCAAACGGACAAGAAAAGGTAAAAATGATCAAATTTTTCGACATTTTCCATATATACAGATAATATAGGCCATTATAAGTCTTACGAGAATAGTAATAGATGTAGGGAACGTTTTAGCCATCATCAAACATAACTCAAAAACCAGGGTTCAAAGAATTAATTTTCTCACAAATCAACGTTCCTAAGCCTTTAAAGGTGTATATATTCTGAATCTACATAAAACTTCCTACAAATACTGATATTTTCATAATTTTAGGACTATGTTTCCTATTTTTCTAAGGCCTTTGAAAATGTGTAAAAAATAGCCCTAAGTCATGAAAATTGCCGATTTTCGTCAGGTCACAGATTTTATTGTTATTTTGAACTGCTGTTATTTACTAATTAAAAGGCATATATGGTCTTTCGAGTATCCAAGTTTAAACTATCAACAAAAATTATTCGAAAACAAGGGTATAAAAAATAAATTTTCTCAGAAAACCAAAGAATGTAAGCTCCTTCAAGCTTTATATAATTTAAATCTACATAAAATTTTCTGCAAATAGATAGATTTTCAACATTTTTGAACCATGTCTACTATTTTTGTGAGGCCTTGAAGATGTGTAAAAACTATTCATAAAAATTGTATTTTTCTAATGTGTATATTATGGTTAACTTGATTTCAGGTGTTTTGTACAAAGCGATGGATTCAAAAAGATGCTGCACCGACTAAGCAGAGTGTGTTTTGGCTCGCCGTGTAGCAGAAGGATCGAATCCTTGATGTGGGTGGAATCGGTACTGTTCTTACTGCTACTCTCGCTCCGTTGGTAGAGTACCGGCGCATTGTGGTACGTCCATAGTGGGAGATCGGCGGGGGGCCAAGGGGGCAGAACGACCCGCACTCCCGCTGAGGTTACTGCATAGTGAAAGGTAGATCCGGATCAGCTCGCGAACGCGAATAAATCCATTGGTGTCGGTTGGGACCGGCAAAAGGACCATTTTTATCAGAAGAAAATATTTTTTTCTCTCAAAAATGTTCACTCCCTCAGAATTATATTTCCCAATCCACTTGATCCATACTTTTAAAAATGTTCTAGTTCAAAAAGTACTCCTGATGACATGAGCTTTTTGTACATGCACCCTACTATATTTTAACACTTATTTTTGTAGAAGAAATTTGTAGAAGCCTGAGTACAATGAGGCTCCTATTGACATGTTTTATCTATAACTGAAGACACGGACTTCTTGTACATCTCCTGGTGTTCTAATCCTTATTTTTGTTAAAAAAAGTTGTTAAAAGGTAATATAATGCTTCTAATGGCATGTACCTGTACAACCCATGTCATTTTTAAACTTATTTTTGTTGCATAGGTCATTATTAGTTAAACAGGTGGGGTTCTTCAGGCAATAATGCTTTTGATGGCACGTTCCATTAAAATCTGAAGACATGATCGGATTTTTGAACACTCCATGATATTTTAAACTTTAAATTTAAATATGCAGAAGTTAAGACCATTAAAAAAATTGTAGTAGTCAGAGCTATAAAATTACAGAAAATTTAAATCTTTTTTTTATTTACATCATCATTTTAATGACTTAAGGCATTTTTTAAAAGCTGATTTAAGGCTTAAAAATTCTTCTTCTTTTTTAGCTAAAATAGAAAAAAATAAGCCTTTTTAGAAAAGACTTAACTCAGTAAAAAGACTTTTATATATTTTTAAGGTGAATTTTTAACATCAGGATTTCTTTTTAAACTGTTAGTTTGAAACTGACAGCAGACAAAAACAATACTCAATACAAATCAAGTGAACCCCTGATATATTGAAGAGTATCTTAAAATGCTCCAGGCCTTAGCTTATGTCATCGACATATTACATAGTGATCAAAACATATCACCATTTTTTAATGAACATGTATTCAATGAAATCTAAACTGTAATGGATTCATAATATAAAATACTACAAAATCAGCTAAATTTTTGTAAAAAAACATATTTTTGTGTTTGTAGTTATTCTGAAAATGGACCATTTTATTTTATGTGTTATAGGTCTCATTTATCTACAATAAATTAATAATATAGGTAATACAAGGAAAACGGTAATCGGTAATATAAGAAAATTTATATTAACATTAAAAAATAGGTACTTAAATTGAATTTTGGCTGTCTTGACGGTAATTATTTGGACTCAAGTCATTTTGCCGAGTTAACTCGCAGATCATGGTTTAAATAAAAAAAATAGACTTAATAAGTCATAAAAACGACTTAAATTACATTATATTGATATAAATTTTTACGAAAGTGACTTGACTTGAAAGAAAATTATTGAAGTAGTAAGCAATGGAGTATTCAAACTAAAAAATATATACCTACAAAATATACGAATTATAAATAGGTACCTATTTCGGCTACGCCTATGCTCGCGGACACGATAATCCCAAACATTCCAAAACAGAATCTATCCTATTGTTTAGTCGAAAATAAATTTTGTCTTATCACTTACCTCCTCGGGTAGGTACATTACCTACGTTTTTTAATAACAATCTGGACTTAATAGTCTACATTTAATTATTTAATAGATTTGGAAAACGTTTCGCAGGCGTGCCCGCTGCCCAGATCAAGGCAGGGCCTTACCAATTTACACAATACCGTTCAAGCGATATTTACCATCAGTACTTTCATGGGAAAGCACAGTGTAGAAGATAATATCACTCTGTGCAAATCAGTTCAACACTCACGGCCACTTCGAGCACTTCCATAACTTAAAAATATTCTAATTGATTTTAAAATTTATTTTTTCTACTAACCTTTTGATCCCCGAACCTCATTTGTCTCCTGGCATTCCTGGAAACGTTCATCCTGCATAGGAACAGCCTGATTTCATCCTGGGGATTGTTGTTTGCTCCAGAATTCAGCAAGGGCCTTCCTAGTTCACACTGAATGGCTTGGTGGTCTTGCTTGTCTATTATATCATACACACTGTCTCCATGGATAAGTAAATCCTCCTAAAATAAAGAGAACAACTAAAAGATTCTGCTGGAATGCTTAAAAACGTTTAACGCGTGAAAATAAGCCTGTGCGTTAATCAAAATTAATTTTGTTTACGTAGACAGGTGTTTAGAGTTGGAAATAGTAATAAAATAATTTACCGGTGTCATATAGTTAGCATTTAACGAGCTTTGCTAACAAAGGTAGGCCGTGTACTGAACATATTAATCAATATAAAATGCCCTGTCATTCTGTTTGATGACATGCAATCCTCTTTAAAAAGCGAGTTGAAAAAGACCGACGGTTTTTTAACGTCTAACGATGAAACTAAAGCTCACTCTTTAGCTTTGAAAGCTGAAAAAGTTAGCTCACCTTTATTACACTCACCATGGAATGACCCAGGTACTCAGCAGCGTTATCGGATATGTACAATAGTTTTCCATTTTGCGTCATCATCATGAGAAACCCACTCAGAGCCTATAAAAAATGAAAAACATTTAAAAATAACTCTAGCTTGAGAAATTCAAATGTCTGAAGCCAATCCTGTATATCACACACTTATTTGGATATCAATTTATTTTATGGTAAAGATCAGTGAATAAATTAATAAATGTAATTATCAAAGAGGCGTAGATAAAATATTCTTAAACGGTTTTTCAGCTATTAATATCTTGAACTTTGTTTCAATATCTTTTTATTAAATAGACTAATAATTATGTCTAAAATTTTATGTGAAGGTATTATTAGTCTTGAACCGTTTAAAATTCTTAGAATATATAGATCTTATCGCAAAAGTTAAAGGCTAAAGAAGATGATTCAAGACATTTCAAAATCAATCTTGATGCCATTAGAGCTTTTGAAAATTGTTTTTCTAGCCATGTTGCCTCTACGAAAAAAATATCAGACCTTAAAATACTCTTAAGTAAAATAGGGCAAAACTGAGCATCTCTTAATTATATTTAGTTACGATAATCAGTGTAATTGAAGTGATAAAGATATAAAAAACAAACAGGCCAAAGATAAATTACGGTCGATTTTTTTTATTTCATTACGCATTAAAAAACTGTTCTAAGGGTACCTCGCTCAGCTTTGAAACCGAGATTGTTTCACCAGATAGATGATCATTAAAGAATATATTACACGCTGAGAGCATTACATTACCACAAAGCTCGCTCTAAGAAAAGTATCTCACCATAGGCGCGCGACAAGACTAAAAAACGACACTGCCGTTTCCTTTGTTTGTTTTTTCATCCTCTTGCACGCCTATGAAATCTATTAGCTTCATTTATTTTAAATAACAAGACAAGACATTCAAATTTCCAAATTTTATGTTACAGTATCAAATGATAAACAGCTCTTAAATCGTTTTCTTTTTATTTAAATCGCATTTATTAATCATATTTTTTCTAGGTATGTAAAACTAAGAAAGATCCAAGAAACGCAGCATTCAATAAAAATATGTTGTAACATTAGTTTAAAAGTAGTTTGTTATTTTAGATTTTTGTATTTATGCATGAGTAGCTTTAGATTCCTTATAATTAATGAAATATTGTTTATACAAAGCGTTCATTTACTTCTATCATTAATTAAGGTATATATTCAACCAAAATTGTTTCTAATTTCAGTATTGTTAATAACTATATAAATCAACTAAGCATTGTTTTAAATCACTACTTGATCTGTTTTACACATTCTCAGTTCTTTAAATATATGTAAGAGACTTACAAATCTGTAATGTATGATTATTTGTAATACGAATAAAATTATACTAAAGTATCTGAAATTGACAGAAATTTTACGAAAGTCTATTATACAGGTTTCGAAAATATCTATTTTTGGCAAGAATATAAATATTTTTAGCTAGAATTATATTTTTATTTTTCTTATACCTTACTGATGGTTTGGCTAGAAGTTACTATATTCACTGTTTAAAAAAATATTACCAACGGTCCGAAACAAATAGAAATATACTTTTCGAATGAAAATTATATATACTTTTAGAATATGTTTTCTTCTGAGCTAGAATATTCGAAGTTCTTCGGCTCAGATCTTCTCCTACAGCTCGCGAAATATTAAGTTTCTCAATTTGGCTTCAAAAAATATTAATAGTGGTCAGAAATTTCCGAAAAATTCAGTAATTATACAAAATTGTATATACTTTTAGACGGTACCTAACGCTAAGACAGACTTATTATTGAGGTAAAATTTTAAATATGGTAAGAAAGTACGAGTTCCAATGTTTATAATCCATACTGTATGTATCAATACATAAAATTTTATCTTGAGCTAAAATTTTATTAGTTTTGTGGGAGGACCCGGGAGAGATTCCAGTTCCCAAAATAGTACAGTTTTTCAGTTTAGCTACAAATATATGTATATTGCCATATAAAGTCAATCATATTCAAATCGAAAATGTCACTTTAAAATATTCGACCAATGTGTACTACCAGTCATGACCTATGCATGCAAAACCTGCACACTCAAAACGGACATTATAAGGAAACTGTACGCTCAATGGATCGAAATATGCTGGATTATTCCAAAAAAGACCATAAAAGAATAGAGTGGATACGACAAAAGACCGAGGTAAGTGACAATGAGCAGGACACCTGGCAGGAAGGAAGGACATCAGATGGACAACAAAAATTACAGCAATATAGTACCCACGAGAAACTAACTAGAAGAAGGCCAAACCTGCCAAACTTGGGCCCACATAGCCAACAATAGACTACAAAGAGAGTATCTAAATATGTGAGGGAGGCTACACCATAATTGGATATGGTTGAATAAGCTGAAAATTATTATAATGATGATGATGATGCTGATATATGAACAATTGTCTGAAATTTCGACAAAATTTTACAATTATATAAAATTTTATATACTTTTAAACATTATCTAACTCTGAACTGGAATATTATTATTTTGAAACCATAGGCATTTCTGGAGATCTAGTCTTAATATAACGTCAATCGATATACTTATGTAAAACAACGTTAAAAGCCCAGGTAAGCTGAAAATCTCTGATATAAAAACGCCATAAATTTTTACAGAGATCTGAAGCGTTGTTTGGATCAGTATCTTGCTGCAACCTTAAAAATAAATAAAATAAAGAAACAAGGGAGTTCAGTAGAGCATCTGGGTGATCTGTGATTTATATTATGAATAAATAAAGAGGCTCGATATGGTACTTTACTGGGACGACAGATTTACAAGCGTTGCAGAAAATGCAAAATGTATTTGCGAACCATCTCGGTGCTTTGGATTAACATATTTTAAATAAAAGACAATAAGGTACCCGAAGCTAGAGTATAAAGTCTTTGTTGTGTGGATTTTTTACTTGTTTTATTACTTGAAGAATATACGATATTTATAAATAAAATAAATCGAAACTATGCGATTAAATTAGTAAAAATTTTACGCCAGCCAGCTCTGATCTTATTCTCTTAGATTTAAAGTGGATTTAAATAAAAAAAAGTGTCAACGTTTAAGATAAACTTCTCTGTTGATTTTATCGGCAGATTTACACAATGGTAAGCTTAATCTCTCTGTAGTGGAAATGTTCAAAATAGGTGTCAATTTAAGCAGTCTGAAGTTTGATTAAAATCGATCTTATCGTTTTTATATATTATTCTTTACCTGTCGGGCCGTTTTCATTTTCGAAAGTACGTTCCGTAGTATTTGTTGTTGCCTGTCAAGATTCTATCTCTCCAAAGGTCATTTTACCAAAATTATGTTTCGTCATAAGAAAAAAAAATCAGAGGAATATTTTTAGAGGATATCAAAACCTTCTTTAATATCTAGCACCCTCAAATTCCCTTTCTCTAATATCAAAAATATATATTTGTTATCTAGATATCTCTTATAAAGATAGTCTTTCCAAATATTTCTATTTTGTGACACAGAAAAATAAAGGCAATAATTTTACGAATCGAAGAACAATAATTGCTTGATCATGGTTGTCTGTTGCGACTTATAAGTTGTATTTTATCTAAAATAACTAAAACTATACTTGTTGTATGTAAAATTTTATATTCTTTTATGATACGTTGCATTAAAGGCCAAAATTTTATTAATTTTGTAGAAAAACCCGAGAGAGACTCAGCACTATCGGAGTTTTTGTCCTACAGCCGAAACAGTACATGTTTCTCAACGTAGCTCAAAAATAATATTAATAATGATCTCAATTTTCTCAAAACTTCATCAATTATACAAAAATATATATACTTTTCGATAGTATCTAACTTTAAGGAGGAATGTTCGTATTTTTAAAAAGATCCGTATTTCTGGAGATCTAGTCGTAAGTCTAGTATTCTTATATTCAGCGTTCTTGAAAAACACACAACTGTCTGAAGCCACTGAAACTGTACTTTTTGTATGTGGAATTTTATATTTAGAATATGTCTCATTTTAAGCAATAATGCTTTTGAGAGAGAACCAGGGAGAGACTTCACTATATCCGGAGAACTTCCCTACAGCTTGCGAGAAAATAAGTTTCTCAATTTAGCTTCAAAAAAAAATTAATAATGGTCTGAAATTTCTGAAAAGTTCAGCAATTATACAAAATTTTATATACTTTTAGACAATACCTAACTTTGAGTTACTAACGATACCTAACTATTAGTTTTAAAGAGATCAGTATTTAATATACCCTTATTTTAAAAGTGTCCTTAATATTTAGCACCCTTAAATTCTATTTCTCTGATATCAAAAACATAATAATTTTATTATGCAGGTATTTCTTGAAAAGATAGTATCTTTTAGATACTTTTATTTTGTGACACAGAAAAATAAAATTAAGTTTGGACGTGATGAAATAATGCAATAATTTTACGAATCAAAGAACCATTGCTCGATTATAGTTGTCTGTTGCTACTCATAAATCATTTGTAAGATCCTAAGCTAGGCCGGCATGTCATTAACAAACATAGCATTAACCAAATCAAAATTGATTACCAACTTATTTTTTAATAGGTTCTTGTAGCATTGAAAAAAAATATTCAGCTGATTTTCTTCATAGTTAATATAAACAATAAACTTATTATTTTGTTTGTTCTATTATGGAAGGTATATCAAATAATTTTCTAGAAATAATTATTTATAAAAATCTAGTAATAAATGATGAAACTAAAGTTCTTGGACGATTAAATAAAGGTTTGTAAGAAAAATAATCGAAATTTTATGCACAATACCGTGATGTCAGCTACAACAAAACCGAAAAAATTTAATCAAAAGACAACAACAGTACATCCTTTTGTTTTTAAATTTGGACAAGCATTTGTTCGGACAGGTCATCCCAGTTCAAACCGAAAGCTTATAAAATCCATTTATAATAGTGGACGAGGAACGAGAGTTTCGTTATTTTAATCATAGAAAACCCAGCCTATAATTTTTCAAGAATTTCTATTTGTGCAGATTGTAATTATTTTAATCATTTACTATTTTTAGTGATCGCGTCATATATCTATATGCAGTTT